GTAGCAACAAACTGCCAGGAAGCTTTCAACGAAGTCAAGAACCCCTTGAAGTTGGTATCCTAGTTACCTTTGCCTGATATCCTAGTTGTCTTTCCTATTCCTTTACTACTACTACTACTACTACTACTACTACTACTACTGCTACTCCTGCTCGTAGTCCAGCACTAGTACTACTAGTACTACTAGTACTGGTACTGGTCTGGTACTGGTACTGTTACTGGTACTGGTACTGGTCTGGTATTGGTACTGGCACTGGCACTGGCACTGGTAGTACTACTACTACTACGACTACTACTACTACTACTACTACCACTACTACTACTACTACTACTACTACTACTACTACTACTACTACTACTACTACTACTACTACTACTACTACTAGCACTACTACTGCTACTAATACTACTGCCACCAGAACCACGGCTAGTACTACTACTACTACTACTACTACTACTACTACGACAACGACGACGACTACTACTACTACGACGACTGCTTGACTTTTGTTTATCAAGTCTCTGTGTCGACTGGTGGATTCAACGATCCAGTAGCCGGCGACCTCGTGAAATGAGGAAAGCAATCTGTAACCCTGCCTTACTTTTTACTGGGCTTTGGAGTTCCATACTGTATCACTTTTTTAAAGGAACCATTATGAACACAAGTCTATACTTTTCTCCCTGGTTACTTAAAAACCCAGTACCTGCAGCTGCAAGCATGAGAAGAGAAGCATGCTCTGGTGCAGTGTTGCCTACCCATAGGCCCCAAAGTAGTTCCTTTTGGTGTTCATATTTAGAATCCTATGACGTCATACCAAAAATGACTTCTATGGGGGCTATGGGTCGGCTTGGAAGTAAGCTGCCGCTGAAAAGGATGCGTAGCTCTGAGCTGAACGTGCTGAGGTTCGTTTGTGTTTACCTTGTTTGGGGCATACTTAGAGGCTCCATAGTAGTTCCTGCTACCTCGTCGTACTTCTACAGTTGGCTCGCTCCGTTCACACGGCCATCACGGCCGCATGAAGCCAGCGAAGACATGCGAAGACCATAATACGAAGAGAGCCCGATACCCCTTAATTAAGGAATATAGCTGAAATCATAATATGAAGCCCTTTATAATTGACGCCATATTCTTTAATTAAGGGGTATTGGGCTCTTTGGGTACTACTGTTGTGTCAAGGGGAGCCGGTTTAGGAAGGCTGGCCGTCAGGCTCATCCCTGAAGCCGAAACCTGAATCATCGGGTGTTATCCAGAGACTCCAATACCCCTTAATTAAGGAATATTCTTATAAATCATATTAGGGATCCTACTATAATTTAAGGTATATTCCTTAATTAAGGGGTATTGGAGTCTCTGGGTAATCAAGACTCAAGCAACACCGCCTGGAATTCGCTGGCATGACAAAACCCGGTGTCTTGAGTCCCGTCTGCGCTCGTGGTAAAGCTGTGTCCTACATAGAGGGGTCGCTACCTAATCCTTAAGGGTCCGAATACCTAATAATCATATACTCTCCAACATCCTAACCTACATCACTACTATCCTAAAACCGAGTACCCGATGATTGGGTCCTTTGGAATCTTAGGCAATGATTGAGTCCTTGGCCGTCCTTGGAAGAGCGCTGTAATGAATCGGTCCTAGGCACCCTACGCCTTAAACCTCAATCGCTAAGCTACTTAGTGTAAGAACTCAACCCTAAACGCGTTTAACCCTAAACCCTAAAGTCCTAGACCATCCTAAACCTTTTTATAAACCCCAAAAGCCTCCAAGCCATAAACAGCAGCTTTAGACCTTCGGTTAATCCATCAATTCATCTGGCACCAAGCTGCTGAGGCCATGTTGAAGACTTTTTTTCGGCCCAGGTGCCGCTGCCGTTAGGGTTTCGGGTTTAGGGTTTAAGGCTTTGGGGGTTTAGGGTTTTGGGCTCCATGGGGTCGACTAACTAGCAAAACGAAACTAGAAAGTGCATTTTACCGCAAACCCTATTCTATCTCCTCATGCTGCCATATTAAGTGCTTCCGGGTGCGCGGTTGAAGGGTTGAGGATTGTGGTCTCTTCATTGGCTTCGGCGTTAAGGGCGCAGGGTTTACAGTGGGTATCGGTTCTGGGATTAATTCGGCAGAGATTTCTGGAGTCTCAACACCCGTGGCACCTTGGGGTGTAGATCGTCTTTTGTCGGTAATGTGGCTGACAGTTTTGAGCATAAGGTAGCAGGTAGCGAATGTATCAGGAATGTGGCGAGTGTTAGTGTACAGCAGGGCTCCTCAGCAGTTGGTGTCCGCTTGTAATGTGTGAGGGATCGTAAGTACCCCTTCTACAACCATGAATTTGGGCTTTGTCCAGCTTTGCCTTAGGGCTTCGATTGCCCCAAACGGGCATAACTTGCTTGTGCAAGGTCCGTAAAGTATCTTCGCAACGGTTCAGTAGCACAGATGGGGAAAGCCCTCTCGTTCGGTGAACACTCACTGTACCTGCTCAAAGGCGAGCTATGCTGCTGTGGGAGAATCGGTATGTCCTTCATGTGGGAGTTTCCGATAATAATAATAATATAGTACCCTAACTAGTAGGACCCTTATTATGGACCCCCCAAAATAAGGCCCCCCTTATTATCGGAAAGTAAAATGTATGAGATGCAACACGATGGTATATAAATTGAGAGGACTTTAGGTGTAGCTAGAGGCGCCTTAGGAGTTGCTGCATGCTTCTCATGTGGATACCAAGAATCCTTGCCTTCTAAAGCTTAGGCCTAAAATATTGGACACTTCAACCCTCAACCCGGAACCTGCAATCTCACCCCCCCCCTTCTCCCCCCTTCTACCGGCCTTCCCTCCCTCCCCAAACATATTTATCAGCTACCTAAACCGCTGGCTTGGCATATTTCATCTTCATGGGTTTGAAACCCATATGAAAACCAATAGAACCCTGTCAAGAGATGCTTATACAATCCCGACGAAGCTCTTGTAAGCCGCGGCACTTTGACCAGAAACACTAAACAACCCTAAACCCTAAACCCTAAAACCCTAAACCCAAAAACCCTAAACCCTAAGCCCTAAACCCTTCCCATTGGAGGATAGTTAGGAGCCGACGCGGGCAGGCGCACAAAGAGACCGTCAACCTAACTTTAAAAAAAAACCTTCCATCTCAGAGGCAGCGCCCAGCGCAGGGCGCTTCGGCTGAACCTCCCCAGAGCAGAGCGAGGCCGTCGTCCAGCGCGGTTTAGGCTATTACTTGGACGGTAGTGCCCCTTGCCGGGCCAAGTGAGTTCATGTTTCCTTTTGCTCACGTTCACAAGACGGTTTAGGGGTTTACGGTTTAGGGTTTAGGGCCGTATAGGGTTGATGGGGTTTACCTGGACCCTATAAAACCTTTTTTCTATTAGGGTTCCTTGTTATGATTTCCTGATATAGAGTCCTTAAAAGGTAGGTTCTTTGGGGTCCGGGTAGGGTTTTAAAGGTTCAGGGTTTATAAGGGAGTAAAACCTCATAGAGTTTAGGGCTTCAGGAGTTAAGGTTGAAGGGTGTAGGGTTTGCGGTTGAAGGAGGACAATGCAGGTCTAACAAGGTTTGTATAGGGTTTTGACCAAGGCTTTGTAGGGCCTTCCAGTTTCAGTCGGCTGTTAAGGCCCGTGTGGGCTCCAAAATATGCCCAAAGCCCGAAGCCCAGCAATGAACCGTAAAGACCTTCTCCTTGAATGGATGATGCCTTCCTTGCGGCCCTTGAAGGTTCAGGGCACATGCTCAGCGGTCATTCTGTTTTTCTATGGCCGTGCTGGTTTGACATTGGAGCCTTAATCATCTTGTCATTTCTGGATCCCTGCCCTGCCTTCATAATGAAGCACACCTCACCAGAGCCTCGCGCTCCGCGTTTGGTATCGTGCAGACGTGCGCAGTAGAAGCCTAAAAGTTGAAAACCCAATCGCGTCTGTCCTGAGTAATGTCAAGGGAATCCCAGCGCTATTTGTCCTTAACCCGGTTTCCAACCTTCTGGGGTTCACTGTAGCCAGGCAGTGTTCCAAGTCATTGGGGCAGTCTCAGCCCTGAACCCTAAGACCCCAGAGTCTTACTTTAAAGACCTAGGGCTCAACTTAAAGGGATCCTCTAAAAGGCTTAAGGGATCTATAGGGTTTGTAGGATTTAGGCAATTCTTGGGTTAGTAGGGAATGGAGGAATGAGGTACCATTATAACTACTATTACTACCATTCTTCCATTCCCTACAAACCAAGCGTAAGGAGTGTCCTGACCGAAAGACGAAGGACCAACTAGCCAACTAGTCCTACGATAATTCCCATAGTTTAGGGTCCTTAAGGTAATGCAGGATTTACATCATCAACAATAGTAGTAGAGTAGGCATTCTTTAACCTTTTTTGGGGTAGTATAGTCCCCATATCATCCCTATATAACCAAAAAGGTTAGCCTTTAGTTCTCGATGATACCCGGCATGTAGGTAGTAGGGTTGTAGGTTCCAACACTAAACCCTGAATGCTTCCCGGAGTCATGTCTGGCCCAATCGCCCCATGCCTCGTGTCAATGTGTTTCTTGGTGTTCCGGCGGGTTTGGTTCTTCCCAATAGTCTCTATCGTAGTTGCTTTTCGTGGGTTACCCAAATGCTTAGGATCCTATACGGTAGCCTCATATGGGAGCTACAATGCACACCACAGGTAGTTTCAAGGTCAGAACAGGAGCTCTTGACCTTCAGCAGTATGGAAAATACAGGCCCTGGAAGCCATTTTTTTGAGTCCCTTGCACAACTGGTACCCTTAGGATAGCCCTAAGGCATGTTGAACTCTCAACAAACCCTACATCCTAAACCCAAAACCCAAAACCCGAAACAGGACCCGTAAAGCAACCCGTATGGGCACATGGACCCCAGACCTTCCAAAACCCCTTAATTAAGGAATATACCTTAAATTATAGTAGGACCCTTAGTATGATTTAAGGTATATTCCCTAATTAAGGGATTTTGGAAGGTCTGGGACCCTCAGGGATAGATCTTTCGTTGTACAGCCATGCCGTTCTTCATGCTGCAGCCCTTCGCCGGCCTACCCACTGCAACAGGTGGCTAGGTTCCTGAGTAGTACACTTTTCGTCCTTTTTTCTTGCGGGGATTTTTTTAATTACTACGGGGCTACTCAGGAACCTAGGTGGGGTGGTGTTTGGCGTTCTACGCTTTTTCAGGTTGAGGTTTTCGGGTTTAAGTGTCAGGGTGCAGGGCTTTTTGGTTTGGGGTTTAGGTTGAGGTTCTTATCAGGTTTGAGGGGCTTGGATTGCTTTGGGTGTGTGATGTTGGGAAGGCTTCGAAGATTTGTTATTTGGCCTGCAGGGCTGGGGGGGTCAAGAACTTATGACTCTGGCTGGCAACATAGGGAACGTTGATGACCAGAAACTGTTTACCCTGAATGCAAAACCTGTACCCAGACACGAACATTCTTATGCACAAATGCTCATGCTCAAATGCAGTACAGTAAAAGCCAGAAAGTTGGAATATGGTTATCCTAAACCCTTTGTGGTAAATTATACGGTATCCTACCCTGAAACCATATTCCAACTTTCTGGAGTTCCCTTTAATTGCACATCTCATCCGTCAGGGCTTCTCATGATACCCATTGTGTAGCATGGGCGACAATCGCATTCTGAATCCTAAACCCTACATCTCCCATATTTTCTGTCATGGGGGGGGGGCCTGGCATCACAACTCAACCGCTTCGAGGGTGTCGGGACTGGAGTTGAGTGTAGGCTTTGGGATTGCGTTGCGGGTTTCGGGTCTGAGGTTTGGGACTAACCCTAAACCCTAAACCCAAATTCCCAAAGGAAAGACTCTCTTAAACCATCCTAAGCCCTACACCATCCCAAATCGTAAATCACCCCAAACCCTAAACCATCCTAAGCCCTAAACTCTAAGCCATCCTAAACCCTAAACCATCCCAAACCCTAAACCATCCTAAACCCTAAGCCATCCCAAACCCTATACCATCCTAGGCTCTAAAACCCTCCCAATCGGATTTTGGGTTCCGGGTGGAAGTCCGAGGCTTTTGGGAAGCTTGGAGGCTCTACCCATAGGCCCCAAAGTAGTTCTTTTTTTGTGGTTCATATTTAGACTCCTATCAGGTACTCCCAAAAAGGAACTACTTTGGGGCCTAAATGTAAAAAGAGTGGCCTAGGGTTTAGTTTAGGGTTTAGGTTCTACGGGTTTAGGGTTTTGGGTTTTGGATGGTTTAGTTTAGGGTTTGGTTTCGGAAAGTTTCGGTTTAGGGTTTGCCTTAAACCCCGAAAAACCTTCCTTTTCAGGCCGTATATAAGGAACTCATAATAAGGAACCCTTAACAAGGTAGGTTATTCAGGGTTAAGGTAGGGTTGAAAATGGTTTTGGGTTTAGTTTAGTGTCGGGCCTCCATGGGTTGTGACGAGCGGCTCAGGGGGTGTTAGGGTTTTTGTAGAGTTTACCCATAGGCCCCAAAGTAGTTCCTTTTTGGCGCTCATATTTAGAACCCAAGAAGGCAATCCGAAAAAGGAACTACTGTAATCAACGCAACGCCTTGAAGCCCCTGAGCCCTCAACCCAAATAGCTTAATGTAGGTTTTTCAGGGACTATTTGTACACTTGGAGCAAGGGTAATTAAAGCCCTCTATGCCCTAAGCTCTAAACCCTAAACCCCTAAGCCCATACACCCTGAACCCTAAACCCTTAAACCCAAAGCCCCTAAAGCCTAAATCCTATATTCTAAAACCCTAAAGCCCTCTTTGCCCAGGTGCCCGTCTATGCCTGCCTGTGGTGGCTCTAAGGGTGGCTGCGCAAGTCGGCAGCTTGCTCTCCCACGGGTCAAAGGGTGTAGTAGGGTTCAGCTTTTTGCGGGTTAAACCCTAAACCCTAAAGGTTAAGGGTTTAGGGTTTATGGTCTAAGGTTATAACCTAAACCCTGAAGGTTTATGGTTTAGGGTTTAAGGTGTGGATTTCGGGTGTGTAGGGATTAGTAAGGGCCTCGGGATTGCGATGCGTTTGAGTCTGGGTGTGCAGAAGGGTCTGGTTGCATGGTCATCCTAGCATTATCATCTCCGCATCCCAAGTCGATGGGTTTCGTGACCCAACCCTAAACCCTAAACCCTAAACCCTAAACCCTAAACCGTTTCGTGGCAACGAAGGGCTGATTGTCGGCATCATCATTCAGCAGCCAGAGCTGGGGAAAACTCACGTCATTTTGCAGCTGGTTGGCATGATACTGAGCCTTGTCTACTTCCCACTGGAGCTTTGGATGTCCTACAGGTACATCAGCAAGAACTTGAATGAAGACGACGATGATGACAGAGTCGGAGGTTTCTTCTGCACTGTCTTTGTTTGCCTACCATTCCACACTCTGAACGGCACCCTTCTGCTGATCTCCTTCGTGATTCTCGCCCAAGGGACAGATCAACTAGATGATATACTCGCAGTGGACGTGGTCGTCCTTTTTCTTGGCAGCATTTGGTTACTGCCTGCCGTCGGGTTAGCAGTCATGGGCATTTGTTCTCTCCTGGCGTGGCTCGTTACTGGCTGCCCCGGTTTGAGGGGGGCATCGTCACCGGCGCAGAGAACAGATAGCGTAGTGGTGGATAGTGAGATGATCGGTGCCCACCTCGCTTGACTTGGAGCGCAAACCCTCCATGTGGGAAGCTGATCTGAAACGGCGTTGCCCTAACTCTCGGAGACAACAGGACCTAACAACAGCTATACATATATATATATATATATGTATGTATATATATATATATACATATGCTCTGTTCATCAGATTCCCGCTCTGATCTGCCGGAGGCAATCTCAATGATTCTTCGCTCCTGCCCTCGGGCCGTAAAGCCACAAACACTACAGCAGCTATAAGCCCGTGAACCGTAGACCCGCAAACCCTAAACCCCTCGACCCATAAGAACAATAGCTATAAACCCCTGAACCCTAAGCCCACACAGGCTGATCTCCCAAACTCCTAAACCGTGAACCCTGGTTTCCTAAAACATCAGGAAGCCCGGGGACCAATCCCAAGGCCCGTGAAGTGAGCTTTTAGGGTTTAGGGCATAGGTTTTAGGGGGTAGGGTTTAGGGTTGTAGTCAGTCCTTCGGAGTCGTTCCGAAAGACCATCCTCACTGTACAGGCCGTGAGATTTCGTTGCCAGAACTCCAGTGGCTTTAAGAGCCCAATCCGGATCTTGGCAAAACACGGGCCGTTTAGCACCCTAAACCCTAAACCCTAAACCCTAAGCCCTAAACCCTAAACCCTAAACCCTAAACCCTAGGACCCTAAGTGTAGCGTGCCACCTAGAAGTGCCCGAGCGGTCCCCTTCCCCTCAACTTCAAGATTGCCCCACGGTTTAGGGTTTAGGGTTTAGGGTTTAGGGTTTGGGGTTTAGGGTTTAGGGTTTAGGGTTTAGGGTTTAGGGTTTGGGGTTTAGGGTTTAGGGTTTAGGGTTTAGGGTTTAGGGTTTGGGGTTTAGGGTTTAGGGGGCATGATGAGGACGAGTCTCCTGAACAAAGCACCATGTGAGCCTGGAAGACCGTAGGTATAACTGATGCGAGTCTCTTGCATACATGAGGATAAACGATAAAAGCCTCAATAACTAACAACTCCATTCCTTGGGGTTCCTTGTTATAGATATATTTTGCTACAATAAAGGAGACAGACGTCCTTGTTCTAAAGTACTACTTGGAGGGTCGGGGGACTTAGTAAGTAGTTATTTTAGGGACTTATAAGTACCATAATCCCAATTAGGGTCCCTTCAGGGTACTTATAAGTCTACTTACTACCTACTTACTAAGTCCCCCGACCCTCCAAGTAAGGCCCCTACATGACTTTCCGGCCCAAGTTGTTTTCAAAGGGTCTTTGGTCCGATTGCGCTCGGAAAACCGAAGTCCCAGGCCCAAGTCCTCAGTTCGCTGGTTGGCATTTAGGGTTTATAGGGTTTTAGGGTTTTAGGGTTTAGGGTTTCAGGGTTTAGGGTTTTAGGGTTTAGGGTCTTAGGGTTTAGGGCTTGTGGTTTTAGGGTGTAGGGTTGAGGGTTTAGGGTTTGCAGAGGACATGTGAGATGACATTAAGGGCCCATGTACTAAATAGTAGATAGTTACTGGAACTGTTCATTACTATAACATGGTAATACATGTATGATTCCAAGGGATTGTTAACAGTGCTGTGGTTTATGATGGTTCCAAGGGCGCGTAAGTGAAATAATGGGTTCGTGAAGGCTTCCTACAGGGGTTCCTAAACTTTCCACCCTAAACTAAACCTTATCGGTAGCCAGGCTATCTTCTAGGGGCTCTTTCATAAGATGGGGCTTTATAAGGGGTTTGATAAAGTCCTACAAGGTTGTAGAAGCGACCCTACGTGGGGATCCAATAACTTGAGTACAGTTTTTGGATAGAGACCCTACTACCCAAAAGCCCGACGGTAGCTCCTTATTGCGGCTACCTTATAGGATTCTAGATATGAACCACGAAAAGGAACTACTTTGAGGCCTATGGGTAGCTTGCAGGATCTGGGGCTACCGGAATTCGTTAATCGCATGCTTCGGACCTCTGCGGAGTCCTTATCAGAACAAACAAGGCAACCTACAGCCCGAAAAAGCCTACACACCCTCAACCCCCTAACCCCCTAAACCCCCTAAACTCCTAACCCCCCAAACTCCTAAACCCCCCAAACCCCCAAACCCCTAAACCCCTAAACCCCTGAACCCCTAAACCCCTAAACCCCTAAACCCCCTAAACTCCTAAACCCCTAAACCCTAAACCCTATAGATCCCTTTACAGGAACCCCTATAGATCCCTTTACAGGAAGCCCTAAGCCCCCTCTAAACCCCTAAACCCCCTAAGCCGGGAAGTCGGAAATTCAGCAGGCCGCAACCTGTGGAGGCCATCGTGGTGGGCGTCTTTGGGGCCTCCGTTTTTGTGGGTTTAAGGGTTCAGGGTTTGGGGGTTCCTTTAAGGGGATCTATGGGGCTCAGGGGTTGAGGGTTCAGGGGTTTAGGGTTCTGGTTTAGGTCCGGGGGTTTTGTAGAGTTTAAGGTTTCGTGGTGATCTTGTGCGGGAGGAGTGACAGCTATGTCCCTTACCCATAGGCCACATAGTAGTTCTTTTTGGGATTACCTTATAGGATGCTAAATATGAACCCGCCCAAATACTGTTTTGGGGGTTCCTTACTAGAATTATAGTATAATTGGCCCCAAAACCCTATTCTAATTATTAAGGCCCCTATAGCATGTACCTTAGATGCTCCGCGCACGGGTCAGGTCTACGTTTCGAGTTTCAGGGTTTGGGCATTCGGAGGGTTTCATGAGAGTTCGTAGGGCTAGGGTTTAGGGGTTTAGGGTTTGGGGGCTTAGGATTTACGGTGCAGCGGTTTAGGGTTTAGGGGTTTAGGGTTTAGGGTTACAATTAGGGTTCTTACGGCTTCCAGCATGTTCCCTGAAACCCGTGACGGGTTGCATTGGCTTTACGGCTCAGTGACACTACTCTGTGGTCTGTCTGATCCTCCCCTGAGCCCTGAACACCTCAAGCCAAAAACCCTAAAACTCTCAACCCCCCTAAACCCTAAACCCTTAAACCCTAAACCCCTGAATCCCCTAAACCCTAAACCCTAAACCCTTAAACCCTAAACCCCTGAATCCCCTAAACCCTAAAACCCTAAACCCTAAATTCTCAACCCCTGCTCCCTACTCCCCTCAACCCTGAGACCTCAAGGCCCACCCCCCTAGAACTGCAGACAAACCTTGCTTAGAGGATCATGGGACCTCGCAAGTAGGATATAATTGGGCTACAAGTCCCCCAAGTGGGGCCATTTTTCATGATAACCCACTTATAACCTTACTTACTAAGTCCCATGAGCCTTCAAACCCTAAAACCCTAAACCCTAAACCCTTCAACTCAACGAAAACTCGAGCCCTGAAGCCCCAAGCGATTCATCCTTGAGTCCTCTTCGTCGCCCTAGACCATAAACCCTGAACCCCTACGGTTTAGGGTTTGGGTGTCCTAAAGGGCTCTTTAAAAGGGATCTATAAGGGTTTTGGAAGGAGGGTTTTAGGCTAGGACCCAGAGTAGGCCCTTATTCCCTTTTTTAGGGTGTAGGTTCCCTTATATAACACCCTTTAAACCAAAAAGGGCACCCTTTTTGTTCCTGGGTTACTCTTAGGTCAAGTAGGCTTCTTGGAGGCCCAGGGGACTTAGTAAGTCGGGAGTAAGTAGGGTTATAGTTATAGCTGGGGGAAGTCCGAAACTCCCCTAGGCCTTGAAGTAAAGCCCGGAAAAGGCCCCACAATCCCAATAGGGTTTAGGGTTTAGGGTTAGAGTTTAGGGGTTTAGGGTTTAGGGGTTTAGGGTTTAGGGGTTCAGGGTTTAAGTCTGAATGAACCTTGTGCCTTCAACCGAATCCTAGTACCCCAAAATCCCGAACACTCTGCAAGCTACTTTGCTGTGGCACAACAGTGAAGGTGCCGGGACCCTGGCAAACAGAGAAGTGTGAAGTATGTTGGGTCAACGTGACATCCTATTATAGAACCTTCATGGGCTTTGGGGGTTTGGAGTTTAGGGTTAGGGTCTAGGGTTTTAGGGTTTTTCCCCACCCTCGGTTTGGGGTTGTTAGATTTTAAAGTCAGCTATTACTCCTCGCCCGCTGAGATTACCTCCTGGAGTACCCAACCTCACAGACTACCGTGAGAATACCGTGAGAATCCCTGGAGTGCCCAACCCCACAAACTACCGTGAGAATCCTTGGAGTGCCCAACCCTACAGACTACCGTGAGAATCCGTGGAGTGCCCAACCCCACAGACTACCGTGAGAATCCCTGGAGTGCCCAACCCCACAGACTACCGTGAGAATCCCTGGAGTGCTCGGGAACACCAGGGTTTAAGGTTTAGGCTCGGGTTCTTTAGGTCTTAGGATTTGCGTGTAGGAAGGACAAGGCGCTAGGGTGGGGATGTTCGAAGCAAAATAATTGTTGAGTCTAGAGTTTAGGGCTTACAGTCTTGGAGAACCTATGAAGAATGCTTGTAGGGGCCTGTTCGGGCCCTGATAAGGAATGCCCGCATCTCCCTCATAAATCACTAGGAGACTAGGAATGCCTACAACCCAAAGGGTCCAAGTAATAGTATGGTATATCCTTTTGGGGACCAAATACCTAGTGAGTACCTACTGTATTGGTACTTGGAGCCTTTGGGCAGCAAGCCCTTAGAACAAGCGCCCTAGCCATAAATATTCGTTAACCAGCAAAGCTAGTTATAACCGCCTTTCCAACGAAAGCAGATCAGCACACAAGACACAACCAGCAACGTCGGAAAGCCTGGATCAGGCCTTTGAGGCCAGGCCCAGGGAACGGCAAGCAGCCGGGAGCTTACTTGAGGAGGTGTTTGTGGGTTTATGGGCTTACTTACATCCTTGAAAAGGTAGGCTATTTGGGAGTTTGGGGTGGGTAGAAGGCTTCCAGGAGAGCGTGGAAGCCACACCTAAGCCACACCTTTAGAGGGACCTACGAATCTTTAAACCGAGATGCCAAGCATACCTTCCTTCACCAAGCATCCGAAAGGCACGGGCACGACTTAAGATAGGGGCCTGAACAAGACTAGGTTTGGGGGTATTGTATAGTATAGTTATATAGTTCCAGTAATGGCGTAGTTCATCAAGTATTCAAGCTTCTATATTCGACCAAAAAGGCTACGGTGCCAGCTTCTGACGATTTGAACCCTTGTGGCCCGGAGAAAGAAGCACCGAATACCAAACTCATCGAGTCCTAAGAGTTCAGGGTTTTGGGTTCCGGGTTCAGCCAGCGTTCGGGGTTTCGGGTTTGAGGTTTCGGGTTCAGGCTTGCTGCTTGAGTTGTTGAACGCCCGCTTGGTGGCTCAGGGGACTCCGTACGTGGTCAGTGATGAGTTATCAGGTTTGGGGCCGAGTATTTAGGGCATTTATAGCTCTAAATCATTCTGATGAGGCCCGCTGCTCGTTTAAGGGATATAATCCATCACATCTACCCCCCGAAACCCAGAAAACCCTAAACCCCAAAGCCCCTAAACCCCTAAACCCTAAACCAACACCCCAAACCCAGTAAGCACAGTCTGATATACATGTCTTTTTCAGAACGAGCCCCCGGACTCGTAGGTGTTTTGTTTAATCCGAAGCCCAAAACCCCTAAGTCTTTGTAGCCCCCAAAAAACCTGAGCTCCAACACATCGTCCCCTAAGCCCTCACGGCTTGTGGATCCCTTTGCAGAACCTTTTCAGAAAAGAGCACTGGAGAACCCAGAGAAACCTTTAAAGAACCCCTCGAAGGTCGACAAGGAACCCTGCACAAGCCCTTATAAGAGGAACCCCACTGAAAAAACACTGAAATGAAAGAAAGCCTTAAAGCAACCCCTACACAAGGCCTAAAACCCTGAAGCCCAATCCCTGAACCCCACACGGCCCTAAACCCTGCACGGGGGCTTAAAGGAACCCAAACCCCGAACCCTACACAGCCCTAAACCCTAAACCTAAGGGGCCTAAAGGAACCCTAAGCCCACCGAGCCCGGTGGTTGCCATGGCTACAAGTCCCTCCATGCTCCGCTGCCTCGGAGGCTCCCTTGTTAGGGTTGTTGTTGGGTTTAGGGTTTAGGGGTTTAGTTTAGGAGTTGCGGGTTTAGGGGTTTAGGAAATTTAGGGTCTTATGGCTTTGCCAGGGTTTTGGACTGAGGGTGTAGGATTGGTGGGCTTCTGTAAGTGTTCCTGCAAGGGTTCCTTCAAGAGTATTGTAGGGATAGTCGATGGGTTTTGGTTTTAAACTTATAGGGGTTCATGGTGTGGGGTTGTGGGTCTTTAGGGTTGGCTGGAACGGTATGTGGCATGGGAAACCGTAAACCCTGAACCTGATTTCTCGGTTGCCGAGCCTCAGAGTTGCTTCGAACGCTGCCCCAGTGTTTACCCTAATCAGCTTGATAACCCTACGAGTCCATGTATTCGTAAAGTATATACTTCGGCCTCAGTGTAGTACCGTTTTTTTGGGGGATTTTAGGGCCCAGGTATGTATTTGTTGGTTCATGAAGCCTGAGGGCATTATGCATCAGGCATTAATTATTGTAGTTGCGTGCTTCGGGGAGTATCTGATTTTCACTGGTTGAGCTCTGAAAGTAGAAGGCAGGAAGTTGGAACATCATCATCCTCATGCCGATAAAAATGTAGGGAATCCCAGCACAAACCATCCTTGGTCCATGTTCCAACTTTGTGGGGCGCACCCACCTTACAGTTAGTCAGTCAGTGGCAAGGGCAACGACTCCCTGAGCAGCACTCGCGGATCTGAGAGATCCGGGGATAGAATACTGGAAAATGACCAGAATTGTTCCCCAGGGTTCCTGATTATGCTGTAGTAGAACAAGCCCCAAGACGCCTGTCTAACTACCGGGCCCCCTGTATTACGGAGGCAGCGATACGCCCCACAGACATCGGAGGTTCTCAAGAACTCAATTGCTTGATTGCCGAATTTGCAGTCAGCCTAAGAGGGATTTGCTAAGTTCCTCCCGAAGAGCTACCCTTAGCGCATGGGTTTCAAGGCGATGTATGACCGCGCTGATGTCCCGGCATCTGACCCGATCGTTGAAGCAATCGAGTCGCTGATGGGAGCGACCCTGACCGAGGAGCTAGTTGCCATGCTCATGGCTGCATCAGGCCGGCGTCGCGGAATTGCCCAAGTCAGGCCGTTCCAGTGACATGTTGATGTCTGCGGTGGGATGTCGCGATCGAACTTGGGTTCAGGTTTGGATCTCAGTCGGCATGCTACCCGTAGAGAGGCTTTTAGATCCGAACTGGCAAGCTCATGTATTGAGTTTGTACGCGCCCAAGAATGGATGCAAACTACAGCGTTCCATGGGCCATCGTACTCTGAAGCCCTCCACTTCTCACATTCTTGAGCATCAAACCCCTTATAACCCCGCAGCCCGAAGCCCTAAACCTTACCCAGAGGCCCCAAAGTAGTTCCTTTTTGGGATTACCTAATAGGATTCTATATATGAACTCCCAAAAGGAACTACTTTGGGGCCTTTGGGTACAAAAGCCCTTCAAGGACCACTTACGGAAGCCTCAAAGGACCTTGGAGCTCCCCTGAAGTACCTATAGATCTCTTTAAAGGGGCCCTTAAGGAACCCCTTACTAAGTCCCCCGACCCTCCAAGCAGGATCTGTGATTTCCCAGGAAGTCCCAAGGGCCATTTGATAGAGTCCTTACGGCCCTTCATAGTCTAGGATGCCCAGTAGTACCCTTATTCCCTTTTTGTAGTCCTAGGTTCCTTATAAACTTACCTAATACCAAAAAGAGAGGCCTTTTTATTCTTAGGTTACTGGGTATCCTAGAGTACCATACTTTTAAGCTTTCTCTGGGGGATCTGTTCCGTCGAGGAACCATTAGGAGCTAAAAGCTTAGTGTTTAGGGTTTAGGACGTCTACTAAACTTCATGAACAAAGAGTTTACTTGGGGTTTAGGATTTATATGTTTTTGTCCCTGCTTACTTCCAAGCCCGAAACCCTAAACCAGCCTTGAGAGGTTCGGTGGTTTCAGCCGATCAATGGGCGGCTGCCCCCAAGCTGTCATAGCGAAGGAGGTAGGTCGAACATCAATGAGGGTTTTTATGCCGGATCCACTGAGAGTTTGTATCAGGGTTGCTATAAATGTAATCAGGTTCTATAGCCTACTTTCAGGGTTTAGGGTTTATTGTTGGTATTTGGAGTCTACTTTATTTAGATTCAAGGCTTTGCGCTTAGGGTTCAAAGTGCTTCGACCTACCAGAACCCACCCGTGTTGGTTTTGGTGGTGTCCCTCTAACTTCATTACGCGGATGATATTAGGACCCACCCAGGAAAGCAGCCGGTTCTAGTAAGTGAGAGTAAAGCCTATTTGTCATGTCACCGCTGGGCCCAGAACCTTAACCTAAACCCTAAACCCTAAACCCCAAGTCTTGGCCTCTCTGAGTGCATGCGACAGTGAGGATGAAGGTTCAAGTGTTCTGCAATGGCTCCAACCCTCTATAGTAGAGTTCCCTTATGGTAACCCTTATAGACGCCCTTTAAAAGGCAGCCTATTCTAATTATTAAGGCCCCTCACATCCAGAACTTGTCGCCGTCTGTGCCGTGCTGATGAGTTTCCGGTTGGAGGCTTTCGCAGAACAACCCTTAAGGTCCAAAGAACCGTTAAAGAGTATAGGTATTGGGACAAACGGCGGAAGTCCGAATAGGTTCGCATGCACTGGAATGCAGGATTAATTGCTGGGTAAAGCCTTGCCCTAGACCTGAAACTTCTTAATTTTACTTAAACCCTGATCCCGAAACCCTACACCCTAAAACCCGCTGTGGTTCCGAGGTGAAGAACATGGTTGACTCCTGGGTGGACATGGAGCTGAAGCACGCAAGGTAGGGCTGGGTTCCATTGTAGCTCCTTGTTCTGGTTTCGCCAATTTTTTGTGGAGGGTCTTCTAAGAGGAACTACAATGGAGAGTATAGGTCAGGTGTTCCGGTGTTCCTTGTCGGCTTCGGTCCTCTCCTGTTCCCGGGCCCTTGTGCCCTTGTGCCCTTGTGCCCTTGTGCCCTTGCGCCCTTGTGCCCTTGTGCCCTTGTGCCCTTGTGCCCTTGTGCCCTGTGCCCTTGTGCCCTTGTGCCCTTGTGCCCTTGTGCCCTTGTGCCCTTGTGCCCTGGTGTCCTTGTGCCCTTGTGCCCTGGTGTCCTTGTGCACTGGCATCGGGCTTGTCAAGCTGGTATGAAGTTTCGAACGCCTCGCTTTCGTTCCTGTTCTTTTGCTGATGATGCCAGGATGCTTAGAGCATGTGTATTTATGTTTATATGTGTACATGCATATATTTACCTTTATATGTACGTGTATATAAGTATGTTTGTATGTATGTTTATATATTTATATGTTTACATGTGTACATGTATGTACATGTATATGTGTACATATATATATATATGTATATATGGAGCGTGGGGGAAATGGGTGCAGCACCTCACAGTTGCGCGGTGCGTCGGTGCACCGCATGCAACTCGGTTGCGCCGATGCGCCAGCCAGTGCGCCGTTGCGCCGCTGGAACACGGATGCGCCGATGTACCGGTGCGCCGGTGCGCCGACCCACCACATGGATGCGCCGGTGCGCCGACGCCGGCTGCGCCGCTTGCGCCAACTGCGCAGCTTGTGGAGCCTTGGACTGATGGGGCGCCCCTGATTTTAAAATCAGAACTCTTACCACCCTTGAACTCCGAGGATGGAGCCTTGGACTGATACGGCGCCCCTGATTTTAAAATCAAAACTCTCACCACCCCTTGAACTCCGAGGATGGAGCCTTGGACTGACGGGGCGCCCTTGATTTTGAAAAAACAGAACTCTTACCACCCTTGAACTCCGAGGATGGAGCCTCGGACTGATAGGGCGGTCCTGCCTTTAGAACCAGAAGTCTTATCACCCTTGAACACCCCTGATTTTAAAATCAGAACTCTTATCACCATTGACCTCCGAGGATGGAGCCTGGGACTGATGGGACCCCCTGGGTTGAAAATGAGAACTCTTATCACCCTTGAACTCCGAGGATGGAGCCTCGGACTGATGGGGCGCCCCTGATTTTAAAATCAAAGCTCTAATCACCCTTGAACTCCGAGGATGAAGCCCTGGCATGATGGGGCGTCCCTGATTTCAATATCAGAAGTCTTATCGCCTTTGAACTCCGAGGATGGAGCCTTGGACTGATGGGGTGCCCCTGATTTTAAAATCAGAACTCTCACCACCCTTGAACTCCGGGGATGGAGCCTCGGACTGATGGGGCGGTCCTGACTTTAAAACCAGAAGTCTTATCACCCTTGAACTCCGAGGATGGAGCCTCGGACTGATGGGGCGCCCCTGATTTCAATATCAGAACTCTTATCACCATTGAACTCCGAGGATGGAGCCTGGGACTGATGGGGCGCCCCTGGATGAAAAATGAGAACTCTTACCACCCTTGAACTCCGAGGATGGAGCCTCGAACTGATGGGGCGCCCCTGAGTTTAAAATCAGAACTCTTACCACCCTTGAACTCCGAGGATGGAGCCTCGGACTGATAGGGCGGTCCTGTCTTTAAAACCAGAAGTCTTATCACCCTTGAACACCCCTGATTTTAAAATCAGAACTCTTATCACCATTGACCTCCGAGGAAGGAGCCTGGGACTGATGGGACCCCCTGGATTGAAAATGAGAACTCTTATCACCCTTGAACTCCGAGGATGGAGCCTGGGACTGATGGGACCCCCTGGATTGAAAATCAGAACTCTAATCACCATTGAACTCCGAGGATGGAGCCTGGCACTCATAAGGCGGCCCTGATTTTAAAATCAGAACTCTTACCACCCTTGAACTCCGAGGATGGAGCCTTGGACTGATGGGGCGCCCCTGTTTTTAAAATGAGAACTCTTACCACCCTTGAACTCCGAGGATGGAGCCTCGGACTGATGGGGCGCGCCTGATTTTAAAATCAAAACTCTCACCACCCCTTGAACTCCGAGGATGGAGCCTTGGACTGACGGGGTGCCCTTGATTTTGAAAAAACAGAACTCTGACCACCCTTGAACTCCGAGGATGGAGCCTTGGACTAATGTGGAGCCCCTGATTTCAGAATCAGAACTCTTATCACCATTGAACTCCGAGGACGGAGCCTCGGACTGATAGGGCGGTCCTGTCTTTAAAACCAGAAGTCTTATCACCCTTGAACTCCGAGGATGGAGCCTCGGACTGATGGGGCGCCCCTGATTTTAAAATCACAACTCTATTCATGTTTATATGTATACATGTGTACATGTATATGTGTATATGTGTATGGGTAATTATGTATTCTTGTGTAGATGCATATATTTAGATGTGTATATATGTATATATGTATAAATGTATATATGTATATGTGTACACGTGTTTTGTGTATATATGTGTACGTGTACATATGTGTATGTGTATGTATGTATGCATGCATGCATGCATGTATGTATGTATGTATATATATATATATATATATATATATATCATATTGTATATATGTATATAAGTAATTATGTGCATGTTTATATACGTATATGTGTATATATGTATAGATGTATATATGTACATCTGTACTTTTGTATATGTACACACATATGTATGTTTTATACGTGTTATATGTATATGTGTACATATGTAGAAATGTATACATGTGTATATGTATACTTGTATATTTGTATATATGTCTATGTGCATTCGCGCTCTTGTGCCCTTGTGCCCGTATGCCCTCATGCCCTTGTGCCCTTGTGCCCTTGTGCCCTTGTGCCCTTGTGCCCTTGTGCCCTGTGCCCCTGTGCCCTTGTGCCCTTGTGCCCTTGTGCCCTTGTGCCCTTGTGCCCTTGTGCCCTTGTGCCCTTGTGCCCTTGTGCCCTTGTGCCCTTGTGCCCTTGCCGTGCCCTTGTGGTGCCCTTGTGGTGCCCTTGCCGTGCCCTTGCCGTGCCCTTGCCGTGCCCTTGCCGTGCCCTTGTGCCCTTGCGCCCTTGTGCCCGGGATCACAGGGGGACCTCTCTCTCCTTGTCCCAGATTGGCACAGGATCCTCGCTCGCTTCTACTCCACCTTAGTCGAGGCGGATGCCGTGGAAGAGCACATACAGGCTTGCCGGGATTTAGGCTTTAGTCCAAGGGTAAAAGGAGGGACCCTTAATCAGGACCCCCAGGTATATACCCTTAATATAGCTATTATATACCCAGCATAAAGCCCATCACAGGGTAGGGGTCCCCATTAAGGGTCCCTCCTTTTCCCCTTTGAGTTAGGCCTAAGCCATAAGCCTGGGTGGAGGCCTTCCTCTTGCTGCAAGACAGTTTTAGCACCAGGACCCTCCTTGTACCCTCAAACAGGGGTATATGGTCCCAAATAAGGTGGATTTAGGGTCTAATAGAGGGTAGATGGAGGGTCTAGGCATCCTTTCTCGATTGCCAGTGCGCGCAGCTCCAATGCTGCGCAATAGTAGGCTATGGACCCAGAATAGTGGAGTCTAGAGCCTAGCCCTTATAACAGTAGGTGATTAGATCCAGTGGTACTTCCTTCCTAAACGCCTATGAGCACTATATCCTACAGAAAGTCGTTCTGCCTTATTTAGAGGCTGTCTACGAACCGCTACATTAGCAAAGCTTTGCCTGACGCATTGCCAACGCTTATAGCTTTAGGTTAGGGTTATTGAGGAACTTCGATGCTTAGGATTCAGGTATTAATATGAGCATCTAACGCAGGCTGTCCTTGTTGGAATTCTGTTCTACGGCCCAGTGTACTCGACTGAGAGGCCTCGGTTGAAAGCTAAGAGGTCCGTACTCAGAATTTCACCCATGTAGGTTGTTGTCGGAGATTCAGGGTTTCAGGTTTGCGGCCCAATAACCTTCTGTGAACGGGCTTGTGGTATTGCATGGCCAGAGGTGCTGTAGCCAGTGCAATCATCGTGCATGCACCGGAACCCAACGTCCAGCCGGAATGTCCGTGGCAGTGCTAGTGATGACCTCGTCATGCTGTATACACATCTACTGCACGGGGTTTCGGCATGACAGGTTTGGGGCTCATCTGTTTGCATTCAGGGGTCCTTTACAGCAGGAATACAGCTCCGCCCTGTTTGTGATCAAGCCTTGCACCTTGCGGGAGGATTGTGGCTATGGCGTTGCTGTGGTCATGATGGGCGGTGTGCGTGCTGTGGACTACGATTACGGTCAGGACTGCCAGGGTCACGTAAGGCTTTGGGGTTTTACATCGGCTTCTTGGTGTGCGAAACGGTTCACACTGCTTAGGGTCCTCGGTTTAAGGCTCAGGAGGATTCTGAGAACCTCATCAGGGTTTTGTAATGTCAGTTTTTTCTACTCACGAAGTCCCTCATGCTTGAAGTGCGGGACCAAATTGACCCACTTCTGTCTGGTAAAGCCCAAAACCCGGCATGCTTTAGTCTTTGAGATCCCTGTACAAGGGGTTACAGCACCTTCAAGCCTCTTCGATTATGCTTCCGTGCTTGGCATCTTTTTGGCATTCTGGTCACAACTGCATGGCGCAAGCCTTCCGAACAGGCGAATCCATTGATGGGCTCCTAACCCGCCAAGCCCTCATCCTCCGAAATCCTGGGAAGAAGGACGCTGCGGCAGAGGTGGGGAGTTGCTTGCGTTCGGATATCCGGGCAGGTTGAACGTAATCCCAGCTTAAGCTTCAAGGGCTGAGGTTGCACGCCTGGGTTGTAAGTATAAACCTAAAGCCTTTAGCCCAAATTAGCAGTAATGTCAATCAATAATACTTAAACCCTAAATCCCCACACTCCAAAACCCGTATGTAAACTCTGAGGACGCCCCAGCAGAGAATTTAGGCTAAACTCTGTCATCAATAGAGGTTCCCAGGGTGTAGCACTCTGATCCTGAAAAAGTACGGCCCTATACCCTGAAATCCCAAACCTTTATATTCCCGAATCCCAGTTCCCGAATCTCTACAATCCTGTCCTAATCCCTGAAACCCCCAAACACCCCAAAGCCTTGAACCTTGACACGAAGCCCCAGGCAATATTTGGCTAAATTCGAAAACAGAAACGGGTGCCTTCGGGTTCCTTCATGTACATCTGCCGTCGTAGTCATACCCCAGAACTCTAGTCTTTTCATTCAGGCCCTTAGTAACCCTTACAGTGACGCTACAAAGCCGTATCCGCCCCAAACTCTGCTAAATAGTTGGTTATGACCCCCCAATTACAGGGTATAGCCTTTTAAACTGTAGTGTATTGGAGCAGGAAAACTACAGCTGTGGTCGCTACAGTAGGGGACAGTCGACAGTCGAAGGAACCCCAAACACAAGCTAAACCCGAGACACAAACCCCGAACACTGAGCGCCAAGCTCCCCAGACTGATGTCAAGGGTTTAGCGGGTATAAGATCTGGGGTTTCGGGTTTAGTATTTTTGCGTTGCTTATAAATTGGCCCGTCTTGCCTATCTCCAGAACCTTTGAGGCATCGCGCTCACAGCCTTGAGTCTTTAGCCCCCTAAACCCCGGAAAACAAGTTAATAAAAATCTTAAAGTCTTAGAGCCCCAAGTTTTACTCCTTCCTGCAAAAGCCCAAATAAGTATTATACCATCCTTAATGTAATTGTTTTCGTACACATGTCCCCAAACCCTATTCTATTCATCAAGCCCAATAGTGAAAACCCTTAACTTTTACAGGCACTGAGATTCTGGTATTTAATGCCCTAAACCCCAAAGCATAAATCCCTAAACCCCTAAACCCTAAACTGGAGCCCCTCAACCCCAAACCCTAAAAACCTAAAACCCTAAACCCCTAAACCCTTAAACTTCTTAAACCCCTAAGCCCCTGAACGCTAAACCCCTAAACCCCAAACCTTATGCGACTTGGGGAACCCCTATAGATCCCTCTGAAGGAACCCCTATTTTACGAAATAGAATTGAAAAATTTAAATAAAACAAATATAAAAATAATATATTTCTTAAAATATTCTATAAAACAAAACAAATAGTTAGTAAGGTCCTAAACTCCTTTAGATCCCTATATAGTAATCCCCATAAAGTTGGAAACCGGATTAAGGCCAAATAGTGCTGGATTCCCTTTACATTACTCTTAAGGACTGAGGCTATTGGGTTTCCAACTTTTTGGCTTCTACTGTATACGGCACTTGGTAGAGCTGCCCGACCCGAAGTTTCCCGAGTTTGCAGGTCTTCAGCTCGCTCCAACAGCTCCTGAAGAGATTGGAGCCACACAACGCGGAGGCTGAGGCCTTCGAAGTTTTGGGGTTCATGGGCCTCTCAAGGCCCACCTGTGATCAAAAGACCCTGCCGTTTTAAGGAACTATATCTATTTCGAAGTATCAAAAGACCTACCATCTTTTAAAGAACTGTCTCTATTTCGAAGTATCGGGGGTTATATGGGCCCTTTTAGGGTTTAGGGTGGAGAGTTTTGGGGTGAAGTCTGGGGTTGAGGCTTTAGGGTTTAGGGGTTTAGGGTTTAGGGATTTAGGGTTTAGGCGTTTAGGGTGAAGTATGGGGTTAAATTAGGGACCCGAAAAGGCCATCAGCACAAGCATTTTATGGGGATATCCCTACCTTATTGGGCTTCATTGTAAGGGGGTTTTATATGATAAATTCCTCTCCTCATTTCTTGCTTATGTGCCTCTTTTTGGGCGCCTATTACGTTAATTCCCCTAAACCCTAAACCCTAACCTATTATATGCCTTATTTCGAGGCTCCCGGACCCTACCCTCCTGCTGAGATCCCAAACCTTAGCCCCGAAAGCCCACCCTAAACCCGAAACCCCAGAAAGCCCATGATCCCCTTAGGAGCCTTCGGGTTAGGCCTAGTGTTTTTAGAGCTGAAGGCTTAAGGCTTTAGGGTTTGGGGAGGGGTTGAGGGGCCTACTTAGAGGCCCAGGGGACTTTGTAAGTAGGTTATAAGTAGGGTTATACGTGCCTTAAACGAAGTTACTCTAGTTATAACCCTACTTATAACCTACTTACTAGTCCCCTGGGCCTCCAAGTAGTGGGTTTAGGATCTTTTGCGCTTCCGCTTGATGGCTTCGGTTTTTCTTGAGTTTTTTGTTGACTCAGGGGGTTTGTTTTTTTTTCATGCTCCCGGGTTCAGGGTTCTTGGTATTTCGGGCGGTGAAGCTCAGTCGCTCGGGTCTTGGAGGTTCCTAGACCCTCGTAGTAAGTTCGTTTTGGCACCTGAACTTCTACCAAAACCACTAACACTACCACTGCCACTGCCACTGCCACTACCACTATACCACTACCACTACCACTACTGAAGAGCTTTGTGTGTCGGCAAGTGGTAGTCATCCTGGTTTCGGTGCAGTTTCCGCTGAGTCGCCTATGCAGACTTGGGTTAGGCCCCAAGGTTCGCTTAGATCCCCAATACCTAACCTTTAAACTTTTTGGGTTGTTGTAGTTTAGTAGGAGTCGGAAAGCTTAAGCTGTTATTTCTTTGTCTTCTTGGGGTAGTAAGTTTGGGCTTTACAGGTTTGAGGGTTTGGGGTTCTTCATTATGGCTTCTTCGCAGAATCGCTAGATAGCCACTGGGATTACTCGGAGGCCCAGGGGGCTTGTAAGTGGACTGTAAGTAGGGTTATAGTTAGGGTACCTCCCTTTGGGGTACTTATAATACTTACAACCTACTTATAACCTACTTACTAAGTCCAAGTATTGGGTCTCTTGGACCCTCAAGGTGCTGGCTTGCTGAAGGCCGAGTCGGACCTTCTAAGTACGTCAGCTTGCCCACTGCAGCACTCTCACATTCTGAAGTCTGATCCTTCTCCTCAAAATTGAAAGTCCTTAAATCCTTAAGGGCCCATGTATCCCAAAGAGTGTATATACTTCGGCCTCAAAGTAGTCCCTATATAGGTACTTTGGGGCCAGCATATATACTCGATGGGTACAGTACAGGAACCATAGAGGGATCGACTACTATAAGATATTATTATAAGTTTTATGGGGACAGTATGGGGATCAACTCCCACTGCAGCAAGATGCGCAATTTCCGTGGAATTACGATAGTTAAAACCCCGTCCGAAGCCCTGACCCCCACAACGTTGAAATCGAAGCTGATGCGACAAAAAACAGGTAACTCCCTATAGTAGCTTTGGAAAGGCCTCAGGGAATTTTCTACCGGAGCTCTTGAAAAAGCACTTGTCCGAACTGCAAACAGCCTGTTAGGAGCTCGGATGGTTGCCAGACACGCCACTTGCCCGCTGCAGCCGGGGTACAAACACACATACTTATGTCAGCATTTGCGTAACTAAACAGCTCCATATCTACCTGTCTGATCTACTTTCATTTAGCATAGTCTAGACTAGTCTAACCAAAATTACGCTATCAGTATGGTTGTGTTGCAGCCATGCTGCTAGGTCCACCTGCACCACTTGTACTTGCACTCCTGGTCCAACTTGCTGCCTTGCATGTTCAGTTATTGCCATGCTTGTTTTGCCTCAACCTCCGTACGAGCATGTACATATGTATGCATGTATGTATGCCTGCATGCATGCAAAACCCTAGGTTATCTCGTGTCTCTTTGTGGCCGCATCCTGAACTGTATGCCCGAAGCTCCACTTTCTGTAAGCCTCAGGAAAGACTTGGTGATCTACCCTTCGTTGCTGGGCCTCGAGCCGACACACCACTGCCACTCAGTGCGATCTGGCAGCAGCCCTGCATTTCCCCAGCCCTACTTGGAAGCCCAGGGGATTTAGTAAGTCGGTTATAAGTAAGGTTATAATTGGGTAACTTCACTTAGAGTACTTACAACCCTATATACTTATAACCTACGTACTAAGTCCCCTGGGCCTCTAAGTAAGCCGACGACTTAGTAGGGCTTCGTATTTGTCGTTCCAGGCTGTGCAAGGGTACTGGGGTCCTGAGACAGGGGTTTAGTGTGTCCGGGTTTTTTGTGGATTCTAATTTTAAAGGGATTCAGAGTGTAGGGGTTGGTCTTGGACTGGTCCAGCGGCTGTGTGGTTTCAGGGAGGTAGGGTTCAGTAGACATAGGACTCAGTAGGATCGCAGAGAGTGGAACAGAAACCCATGGGGGAGAATCGGCAGCGCCTCTCAGAAAATGCCAGTGCGGGTCGTCACAGGTTTTCACAGGATCTAGCAGGTCTCGACGTCACGGGACTTTGTGGGCTTTCATCCCATTTCAAAACCTTCACAGATATCCAGTGTCTTGCACAGCACTTTTCACAACAATCGAAGCATAGCCGATCATTCACCAGACCTATATAACAACCATGCGAAAGCATGCATCCTGGCATATTTGGGTGCTATATGGGTTCGAGAGGGCTCCTGGAGTGCTTGCGAGCGAACCAGATCCACTCGATAGGTTCATGCGTTTGCCCATTGTGTTGGTTGTAGGCTACAGGCTTTCTATGAATATGGACATAGATATGTACAATACAGCATCACATGGCCTTACACCATATGACCAATACATTACGCCGTTACATGAAACCCTGAACCCTGAACCCTTAACCTGTAAACCCTGAACCCATAATAAACCCTAACTCAGGCTACGGCCCCTGAACCCTAAACCCAGAAACCCATCAACATCCAGAAGCCCCGAACGGTTGATGATAGAAATCCTGCATGACCTTTAGGACCCGAAACCATGGGAACTATGGTATTTTCCTTATTTTGGGTAATGCAGGACTTATATCATCAACCGGAATCAGGCTATGGTACTAAACCCTGAACCCATAATAAACCCTAAACCCTGAACCCATAATAAACCCTAAACCCTGAACCCATAAAAACAAATAAATCAGGCTATGGCACCAATCTCCGGTTCTACATCTACGAGCTGCGGGACTGGAGCCCCGCAGGGAATGCTGAGCGAGGACGGCCTGCTCAGGGCTATAGTCCCCTTAGGTTTTTGTTTAAAAATTTTTTTGTTCATATAAAACCCAAGAGAATACTAGGGCTATAGTCCCCTTAGGTTGTTTTTTTATTTTTGGTCATATAAAACCCAAGAGAATAACAACAATGTTACGTTTATTATGGTTCTAAGGGGGGTATAGAGGGCTGGATCTGGGCTCTAGGCTTGAGGTAAGCCCTGAACCCCGAACCCGATAACCGCTGCAGTAAACCCTAAGCCCTAGACCCCAAACCAACCAACTAGGACCCAGAGTAGGCGCTTATTCCCTTTTTAAGGTTTAGGTTCCCTTATAAGCCCCTTCAAGGCAAAAGGGGCACTCGTTTTATTCCCAGGTTACTCTTGGGTCTAGACCTACCTGAAGCCCTGAAGGGGTCCTCCACTGCCAGCATGGCCAGTGGGGCATGGAGGCACTGATCCCGCCTCCCGGACGCACGAAGGATCCCTTAGGTGTTTATTATAGGATCCTGAAGGGAGGGTGGCTCAAGGGGGGAGGGTATAAGGAATCCTTAGGGGACTGCAAGGGAACCTTAGGGAGTACTAGGGAGAATTAGGGATCAATAGGCTATATACCCCCCTTGGACCCCCCTCCCTTAAGGATACTACAAGTTTAGGGTTTAGGACTTGGGTTTTAGGGTATACCGTGGGATGCCGAAGGGCCCTGTGACTGTGGTAGGTGGGTTGGTTTGAGGGTTTAGGGTTTAGGGTATGCCGTGGGTTGTAGGGTTTTGGGATGTAGAGTTTGGGTTTAGGGGTTCGAATGATCAGGCTTAGGATATACATTACATATATATATATATATATGTATATATATATACATGTATATTGTTGCTTCTGTGTGCCTGCATAGGAACCTCCATTAAAGCCGAAGTATGGCCTAAGCATATACCATATGGGAACATGGAAGAGAGTGATTCTGCACTCAGGGCTCTGCGCAGGACAATCCTACCACTTAAACGCCAGGGGCCCGTGAAGCCCTTCCACCCAGCAAAATCACAGCAGAAGCAGGACAAAGCCCGAAGCAGCACAGCAGGTTCATGATGCGGTTTAGGGTTTAGGGTTTAGGGTACGGCCCCGATTTCGGGTTAGAGCTAGTAGGTTTCGCATGGTCTGGTTGTCTGGCGGTCTTGCTAAGGGTACGATTGCGTGCTTCGGTTCTTGTGTGCACTGAGGCACATGACTCACAGGGTGTAGGGCCATCCAGTGGACATGAAGTTTTGCAGTCAGTAGATTTCCGTAGTGAGCAGGTGTGCAGGTGACGCAGTTATGTACCAGGCAGGTTGTATTTTACAGGTGTGGTGGCCTTGCTTGCTGGCAGCCATATACTCTAGAGCAAGTATGATGCGTCAAGCACATCTTGGATTTGAGACTTCCTGGCCTCCGCCGAGGGTTGTCAGCGATGATTCTATACATCTGGAACAAGGGATAATATTATTGATATCATGGTCCTGGACATTAGATTACATATTGCCTACGTCTGGCTTTGCATTTCGCCCCACTGATGGGAGGCCAGGAGGTTGAGTCTGGGGTTTGCGGTTTATGGTGTTGGGCAGAGGAATCAGACTTTGTAGGTTTTGTTGGAGGTTTAGGCTAAAGTTGGGTCTGGGGGGAGGGTGAGGGTATGTTGGCATTAAACCCCTAAACCCTAAACCCCTAAACCCTAAACCCCTAAACCCCTAAACCCCTAAACCCCTGAACCCTAAACCCCTAAACCCCTAAACCCCTAAACCCTAAACCCCTAAACCCTGGCACCTTGTCTGAGGTACTGGTTTCGCCGAGGTTCCTGCCAGACCAGAGATCCCGAGGCAGCTGGGCCGGAGCTGACACCCTAAACCCTACCTGGACCCCAAAAGAATGTAGAATAATAGCCTTTTGTAGGTTTTGGGCCATTATTTTACCTGCTTTTGAGGGTCTAAGTAAAACCTGAACCCTAAACCCTGACTGTAACCCTAAACCCTGTCTGTAGGATACACTCCCAGAGGGTCCAAGTACCCAAATACGAGGGTTTCAAGGTCCAAAAGCCTTTCAGAGTACCTAGAGGGTCATACCCTACCCCTTTTTTAGGGTACCTGGTTTTATAGTTAGGTTCTCTTATATAGAGAAGTAGGTACCTTAAAAAAGGAGTAGGGTATGACCCTATAGGTATGGATTGTTTAGGACCTGAAACCCTGCTACTTGGGTACTTGGACCCTTTGGCACTTGCTTCGGGGCCATCGCAGGTTTTTTTCTTTTTTTTTCCTCTGGGCTAGGGCTTACAGGGTTTCGGGTTTCACCTACTTTTGAGGGTTTAGGTATGGTCATTACAGGGCAGTTTGGGATGCCATGCTCTATAGTTCTTGAATTCCAGATCAAGAAGATAGCTTGCCGCGAGGCGGTACAACTGACCCAACCGATCAACGTATGTTCCGCAACAAAGACCTGCACGAGGGCGAGGGGCTATAGGTCTGAAGACACTTTGGGCTGCCATGTGCCTTAGAGTTTAGGGGGTTAGGGTTTAGGGCTTAGGGGTTTAGGGTTTAGTGGTCCAGGGTTCAGGGGTTAAGGGGATGTCGCAGTTTTGGGTTTGAGGATTCTAGGGTTTTGGGGTCTTTGTGTCGAGGCACTGTGGACTTTTCGTGATTCGGTGGTTTCTGTCTGTTAGCCTCACTGCCGCTTCCTTGCCCCTTGCGCATGCTGTGCAGACCCTGTCCATCACCGGCAACACTTATGGCCAGAACCTCCAGGTTGCCACTGCCACCGACAACCAGACCAACATCAAGATTGCTGTGATCACCCACCAGATCATTTCTCATGCTGCATGCCAGGAGGATAATCATACATCTCACAGCTTCAGTGATCACACGACACTGCATGGCGGGAGTCGAACCGCGTCTCCTTCCGAGGCCAAGGAAGTGGCATCCGCTGTGATGACAGCAGAGAGAAGAGCTACTGGCCATCCTCTCTTGGTGCAACGCTTGAAACAGGAGGGCATTGCATCCCGGACAGACACTCCAGTCATCTCCAGTCCGTATTGATTAAACGCCCAGCCCCAAGCGCCCTTCAAGAATTCCTGATGGCAACCTTCATTGTCCCCGTATCCCCTCAACCTTAAATCCCAGCCCTAAACAATCCCAAACTCATCTACACCCTAAACCCTAACCCAAAACCCCTAAATCCTGAACCTTACACCCTAAACTCCTCAACCCCTAAGCCCTAAACCGTAAGGCCCTCCTGCAAACCAACAAAGGAGGCGGATTATTTCCTGGTGCCATGGCACACCTGGTGTGACTTGGTCCTTTTACCTACTTGGAGGGTCGGGGGACTTTGTAAGTAGTTAGTTTAAGGACTTATAAGTACCATAACCCCAATTAGGGTCCCTTTTAGGGTACTTATAAGTCTACTTACTACCTACTTACTAAGTCCCCCGACCCCCCAAGTAGGGATCTAAGGACTCATATATTAAGGCTTTTGGGCCCAAAGACCATACTCAAGAAGGCTTTTGGGCGATTTTGATCCCTAGGGTTTGACCATATCGAAACCTCTGTTCGGCCTAAGTACGTACTATGAATGAAGGCACATGGACACTTAGGGTAAGCTTTAGGCTTGGGGTGGCAAGCTAGGGTTTAGTGTTGCTTCAAGACTTAAGAGCTTCTATAGGGGTTCTCTAATAAAGGCTTTTGGTTTTGGGGAATAGGGTTGGTGATTTAGGATTTCTGGTCCCTTCTCCGTATCGGATTGTTTAAGCGTGTTTTTGTGAAACCGAGGTCTCGGCTTGGCTCCAACTTAAAAGGGTCAATTACAGTATATCCACTTGCTGCTCATGGATACATGCATGCACGCATACGTGCATACAAGATACAGTCATGCCACTTCTGGAACGCAAGACCGACGGCCCCGGAAGTGTCCTTGGACCGATGGAGTTTCCTATCCCATATGGTCCAAATACCACTTAGTAGCTGAGTAGGTGACTTTTAACCTATTGGGGGTTAATATTATCTTACTATACCATAGTTGAAAAGTTTAACCTTTTTTGAGCTAGTGGACTCAGTCCATAAGATCCAGAAACTGTACTTTCCTGTCCCAGGTTAGAGGACATCCTGTTCGGCGTTTAGGGCCTAGACGTCTTAGGATGGTTCAGGACGAGGCCGCCTCTTAGGGGTAATTGGGCTAGGGTCACAGTAATGTAGCTTAGAGTTAGTGGAGTATGCGATGATGATCCTCGGGCTTATCTAAGCCCATGTACCCCTACCGTAACCTTACACAACCTGTCTGATAAGGGCTCCACTGTCTGATCTCCTTACATATAGGTCCTTAGGTAGAGCCTACTTTGAGGCCCAGGGGGCTTGTGAGTCGGTTATAACTTTGGGTTTCATGAGGGTGACTCCATGTAGGGTACTCATAACTCTACTTATAACCTACTTAGTAATACCCCTGGGCCTTTAGGTACACATCCCAAACCCTAAACCTTTCTGGGGTTTCAAGGTTTACCGGGTTGCGCAACTAAGGTGACCGGATGATCTTCCGAATGAATCAGCGGGGCCCTTGGCGAGACCTTTGGGTGTAGGCGTCTGGATTTATAAATCTGGCCTCCGGTCTGAATCAGTACCGGCATTTTCTTTCCGGGGTCCGTAGGGTTTCGGGTTCAAGGTTTAGGAGTCTGATAATTGCAAGATACCCCGAAGCCTTCCGTTAAGTCTTCGGGCCCATTTTTTTTAGTTTGGGGGCCTAGGGCTGCTGAAGTTTTTTTCCTCACATCGGGGTAATGGAGGCTTAGATGCCCAATACCTAGCCTTTAAACTTTTGGATTCTTATTGTTTGGTAGGAATCGGAAAGTTTAACATTTCTTTGTTGTGGCTCACTGGGGGAGTAAGTAACTGCGAGGAGACCTCAGCTGACGAGATTAGGGCTCTGAAAGACAAGAGAGCACTGAGAGCACTGAAAGTGGACGTCCATGTCCAGGTAGCCTACATGCCCAAGAAAAGAGTCTCACGTTGAGGTGGCATATTGGAACATAAAGTATCCTGAAAAGCGACGCAATTCTGGAACGTAGGATCCTTCGTACAAGGACCCCCAGATAGAGGAATCTTCGAACGTAGGATCCTTCGTATAAAGACCCTCCCAGATAGGAGTCTTCGAAGCTTCAGAAGCTGGAAATCTGAAGTCCGTCCCTTCTAGGTTGGAGGGTCCGGCTCGCCGCAGAGCAGCCCAGTTTTCTACCGGCGACCTGTGCTTACCCCATTTAAGGATGTTGCCCTCCATGAGCCCTTACACAAAGAGTTATATCATCATACAGAATCCCATCCCATTTCCAGATCGCGTGAGCCCGTCGGCGACATCTCTGCTGTTTACCTGGACCTGATGCGGCGCAAGGACGGCGAAACGATGCACTAGGGATGGAGCTCACGCGGCTTCATGACCAAACCAAACAAACAGGTAGTTACTTGGGCTTAGAATAGCAGCAATGTAGGTTATCCGGCTAGCCATCTGTGACTAGTAGAGGTGTTCGGTAGTTGGAGTAAGTACCTGGACCGACCTAAGAAACTGACCGAAAAACTCAACGCCTAATCAAATTCAGTGACGAACCCTTGAAACCTTTTGGGAAAGAAAAGTTGTCCTAAACCCTAAACCCTAAACCCTAAGCCCTAAACCCTAAACCCTAAGCCCTAAACCCTAAACCCTAAACCCTAAGCCCTAAACCCTAAACCCTAAACCCTAAACCCTAAGCCCTAAACCCTAAACCCTAAACCCACCCGCCCTCAGCCCTTCAGCCTGATTCCCAAACCCTACCTCCAAGCCTCAACCGGAAACCAAAAACTCACCATAAAGAACCCTTTCAAGAAACCCTACCATCCCACTGGTCTTAAAGGAACCCTTAAAGAACCCTTTAACGGAACCCGTTCAGGAACCCTAAGTACTAAGCCTCTAACGCCCCATGTACCTATATAGTCGCGACTTTGGTCTCAAAGGCGTTCCTGTTTAGGTACTCTAAGGCCTGAGTATATACTTTACAGTTACATGGAGCCTTAGGGTTTGAGTTCGGGATTTAACATAGTACTTTTTTGGGGGATGACTTATGTTATGTTTAAACTACGATTCGAAACTACAGTGCCCAAAAAAAGTACAACATTTAAGGGTCTAGGTCCCTTAGAACCTAAACCCTGGACCCTTAGAAGAACCCATGAATAGCCCTGAGTATACATATGTATAAGAATATACAACTATCTATCTATATATACATATATATATATACACACACATACATATATGTATTACCATAATATGTATATAATATGGATATCAGCTCTCTCTCTCTCTCTCTCTCTCTCTCTCTCTCTCTCTTTGTACATATATATATATAGATATGTATATATATATATATATATATATATATATATACAGATAGAGGCACATGGAGCCTCTAGGAAAGTCCCCCCAGGATGAGCTGCTGCCACATTGGTCCCGGCAGCTGGGACGTGACCACATCTTTATCTTCTCCGATCAGGGGATGAACTTCTTTCCGGAGCCTTCTGGGTGGTTCCCTTAAATCCAAGGGTAACAGGAGGGACCCTTAATAATGACCCCTTCAAGGGGGTTCAGGGTTTAGGGCTTAGGAACTTCTTTCCGGAGCCTTATGGGGGTTCCCTTAAAGGGGGTTTAAGGGGTTTGGACCGGAGCCCCATGGGTTCTCTTGCCAGGGGTTTAGGGGGTCTTTAGGGTTTAGGGTTTAGGAACTTCTTTCCGGAGCCTTATGGGGTTCCCTTGAAGGGGTATATAGTTTATAGGGTTTTTTTTTAGGACTTAAGTGACTTAGGGTTCTCCAGGGTTTAGGGGTACGAGGGTTCTTTCAAGGGTAGCCCTAAGAGGTTCCTTCTTCAGGGTTCGGTTTTGAGGGGTTCTCTCAGGGTGCAGTAGGGTTTCGGCAACTTCTTTCTGCATTTGTGAGGGTTGGGAGGTTGCCTTAAGGCTTCCTTTAAAAGGAATCTTTGCAGGGTACTACAGGGCCCTCGCCAACTTCCGTCTGGAGTCCGACTTTTTAGGGGCTGGTGGCTTCAGGGTTTAGAGTGTTTAGGGCTTTCAGGTGTGTTTCCGAGTTGAATGCTTAGGGTTTAACGAGTTCTGCTTCATGGGGCTTTGGGCCGAGAATGCCGACAATAAAGGATGACGAGCGCGAGGGGCGGCCTTGGCCGGTGTTGGCATGCAAGTGGGTGGTGGTCAAGATGATGGTCCTTTTCTGGGTCCCTATTAGAATCCGGCACCTATTATTTAGAGTACCCAAAAAGGGACCTCATGTTTGACAACTGCCCAAGTGAGGTAAAGAGCGTGCTAAGACTCGGTATGATTGCCAGCATCATCTCAACCTTCATTTGGGAGTCTCCGAAAACAGGGGACCCCAATATAGTACCCTAAATAGTAGGATCCTTATAAGAAGGACCCCCAAATAAGGTAGCCCTAATTGTTGGAAACTCCCATTTTTGTCATCATCACCGTTAACATCTACAACATCGGCCTCGACACCATTAGACACAATATGTTCCAGCTGTTTCTGAACACTTCATCTTGCTTTTTGCCATGATCTTCATCAACAGTACCCTTAGGGGTTTGGGGTTTACCACTGGCATCATTCGCCTTTGAGTTAGAAGATAGTCCGAAGCATTGTTACTACCGACACCGTTGATTAGACTGCTTGCCGGCTTTGCCCTAGTTGCTGTTAGCCATTTTCTTCTGACTGGAACAGTCTCGCTGATGCTGATGCAGGTTTCAGCATGATGTGCAAAACCACCGTTACAATCATGCCTGAAATTTCAATACTTCGGCAGGAGTGGCGGGACTACATCCCACATTCCGTGTTCCTTACTACAGAGGTGCCAAGTGGTCAGGGGCTGTAGGGAAAATCAAGAGAAATCCCTTTGTGTGGGTCACGGCATCAAGCACTTAAGAAGTGATTTAACCCATACCGGATTAGTCCAAGGACATCTAGATTTGATCAAGAGCCGTTCTCTCTGAGGAGCACCCGCGGATGTTTCATTGCTTTCGATTTAAGTCTGCGTCAAATCATGGCATGTCCTCCTTGGCGTCTTCTTCGTAACGCCACCAATGTCCAAATTAATGTCAACACTTGGCAGAGCCGGCTTACGAAAGGTGCGTGTGACAGCTAGACTGCGCAGGTATGTTCCCCAAGCTCTTACAGCTCGACCCTGCGCAATAATCACATATGGGCGCATCAGCAGCACTATTCCTGCAAACCTGAATCGCCCATCGCTCAGAGCCTGTATGCCCTGCCCTGCTGCCGTGTGCTCCTCCGTGAGGCTCTGACTCCCGGCTGTGGCCCCAGCTGCTACAACCCATGGAAGGACCGGACCCTAGGGTTCAGACAAAGATCACGCTTGCGAGGGATTGGGTTCTGTGTTGATCCTTGCTACGCAGGTGTGTTGTAGCACTTTTTGATGTCCGATGTGACCAGTAGTTCACAGCCATGTACCTTGTCGGCTGTTGCTACTTTGTCGTGTAATGAAGAATTGCAGGCTTCAATCAAGGATTCAAGCACCATGCCATTTAAAGTTAAGCAGCGGATTGGAGGATGAAGGCGTGCTGGACCCTGCAAACCTCGAAACTTGGGGTGGTTCACGCCTGTGGTGTCCGCACAATTTCGGAGGCTCGAACAATATAGATTTCAATCATACCCATGCATTCGCAATTCGCAAGGACAAGCAGGAAGAATGTCCTCGTTTGTGGAACGACTTTGGTATATCTGGTGCTGTTGCCGCTGCTGAAGCCGGTGCACTGCGCACTCGCACCATGTCCGGCAGCAGCAGCCGTTGTAGTCGTCGTAGTAGTAGCACAAGCATTAGTGCTTTAGTACTTTAGTACTAGTAGTACTGGTAGTAGTAGTAGTAGTAGTAGTAGTAGTAGTAGTAGTAGTAGTAGTAGTAGTAGTAGTAGTAGTAGTAGTAGTAGTAGTAGTAGTAGTAGTAGTAGTAGTAGTAGTAGTAGTAGTAGTAGTAGTAGTAGTAGTAGTAGTAGTAGTAGTAGTAGTAGTAGTAGTAGTAGTAGTAGTAGTAGTAGTAGTAGTAGTAGTAGTAGTAGTAGTAGTAGTAGTAGTAGTAGTAGTAGTAGTAGTAGTAGTAGTAGTAGTAGTAGTAGTAGTAGTAGTGGTAGTAGTAGCAGTAGTAGTAGTAGTGGTGGTAGTAGCAGTAGTAGTAGTCGTCGTCGTCTGCGGTTCAGCACTTCAGCTGTAGGGGCCGCCATGTGAAGTTAGTGTAAAACTGCGGGCTTATTGTCCTTACTTAGAGGCCCAGAAAACTTAGTAAGTCGGGCATAAGTAGGCTCATGATTGGGGTAACTGCATTTAGGGTACTTATAACCCTACTTATAGCCTACTTACTAAGTCCCCTGGGCCTCTAAGTATTCCTTCCCGTGCTACAATGCAGTGTCGGCCCTCCAAAGATCCAAAGCCAAGTATTCAAGCACCTAGACCCTTAAAACCTTCAACTGCCTTCAACAGCCCTTTCAAAGAATCCGGCTAAGAAACCCCAAAAGCCCTTAGAGACGTGTAGTACATGGGAGTTTCCGAACATTAGGGGTACCGTATTTTGGGGTCCATAATAAGAATCCTACTATTTAGAGTACTATATTAGGGTCCCCCTATTTTCGGAAACCCACATCCTTGCGTGAGGACTTGGTCCTGCCAGGCCTGAGAACTGAAGGGTGCTACTCGACTTTGGTGGCTTTGACAACCCAGAGACTCCAATATCCCTTAATTAAGGAATATACCTTAACATATAGTAGGATCCTTAATATGATTTGAGGAATATTCCTTAATCAAGGAAGAACTTCAACCCTAAGGGTCCAAAGAACCCAATAATTAGGTGCTTGGGTTTAGGATAGTAGTTATGTAAGTTACTATTTTGGAGAGTATATGATAATTGGGTACTGGGACCCTTAAGTGAATAGGGCTTTCCCTGAACCCTAAACGCCCTAAACCTCTAAAGCCTAAGCCCTGAGCCAAACACAGTTCTACATTATCTGCTGCTCTTGCCATCCCTGTGCTGTGCGTGTTTGAACTTGAAAGTGCATACCTTTGTTAGAATTCGGGATCGCTTTCCTATAGCGATTGTAGCATTGCATAGCTTGCTTTTAGAAGGGCCCGCCTATAAGTTTTGAGGGTCGATTTCGGGCCATGCAGCCTGCGAGGGCTTGAACCTCCAGTGGTTTTGGTTGCTTTGTCCATGAGGATGCCAATTTGAGGCTTCGGGCGTTGCTGTGAAGACTCGGGCATTTGTGTGGGCTTAAGTTAAGGTTTAGGGCTTTAAGGCTGTCGTAAGGTTTAGCATTTAGGGTTTCAGGACTCAGGGTTTAGTGCTTCGGGTTCAGGGCTAGCTCAGTTGTCGGGTGCCATGTTTAGCAAGAACTGGGATCCGAATATAGACCTCCAGCCGTATAACGGGGTGCGTATTCTAGGGAGTGTAGGATTCAGGGTTTAGGGCCCGAAGTCACCGAGACTGGAATCCCACTTTGAAGTATGAAGTTCCTATCTTTAAGAATCCCGCCTGTTGTGGGGCGGGGCGTCAAGGCCTATGGGATTGATGTGGTAGGATTGCGCCTCAGGTTTTAGATCATAAACAAAGTACCCTGACCGGAACGTTGCCGAACCCTCAACCCCTGAACGTCAAACCCTAACCGCTATGTCCTAAAAACCTATCCCCTAAACCCTAATTGGTAGGCGTTGAAAGAACAGTAGGGATTAGGTCTACACTCTGAAGCCGGGACGAGAAGGGATCTACAACAATCGGATATCCGACATTACCCGGTCATTCTGGCGGTTTACAGAGGACATCCCAAACCTTGTAAACATCCTAACCTTAAGCCCTAAATCCCAGACCCTATATGACCTTAGAAAGCGCATAGGAGCCCTCGTGGGACCCTCATCGCTTCACAGAACCTTCAGTGCTCGAAAGAGCCCCACAAAGAACCCTAAAACGGCTCCGGATCTAGGGCTTAAAAATAGAAGCGTAAATATGATCAATATCATTCTTATAGGGTTCCTCATGAAGCTTATATCAGTAAGGAGCCCAACACTGTTAAAGCCTTTGCGTCATTATATTTGGTAGTCGGAGAGACCCGGTTGGCCAGGACATCCGGACTATTTCCGCTTCCGGCGGATGATGGAGGCTGCATCGGTTGTTTTGCATCCACCCCACAAACCTTCTCAGGTTCAGGGTTTGTAGCACAGTAGACCCCATAAAGTTGGAAACCGGATTAAGGCCAAATAGTGCTTGAGGATTGAGGCTAGTGGGTTTCCAACTTTTGGGCTTCTTCTGTAAGGTCTCAGGGCATAGGACTCGTGGCCTCATAGAATCCTCCGGGCTCGAACAACACCACGGTTTAGGGTTTAGGGTTAGGGGGTTCAGGGTTTCCCTAAACCCTAAACCCTGAGCGTAACGGTTAGGGTTTACGGCTCACCAGCTTCGGGTCCAAAGTTGATGGTAAGCATGGACGGGTTAAAAACGAGTTCTTGCCAGGATTCGATTCTTCTGTGGTTGAAGAAACCTCTTGAACTCTAGATCGCGATCGCACACCTGCAGGCCCTACTTCTCGACTACTGCCGACTTATATACATACACCCCTGCACCCCACAGCCCCACCGCCTATGCCTGGAGCCTGTGCCGCTCATTCGCTGCTTTACACCCTTGTTGCCTTGTTGCATGGCTGCGGTTCGCACAAGGAACTTACTATTTACACTCGACACCGAAAACTGCTGCTGTACTGCTGAACTTCATTATGTTGCATAGAAATCTACCTTCTTGTCTCAGTAGTCCTGGAGCAACCCTTAAAGGAACCCTAAGCCAATTGAAGGAGCCACTTAAAGGAACCCTACTAATATAGCGGAACCCTAAACCGGTTTACAGGACGTTTAGATTCCTTTAAAAGGAGCGCTTTGGACAGACAGGGAGCTTCAATACATACAAAGGCGGTACCTGGACACGTATAACACCCGCATGTCTGGGTTTAGCGACGTCTTAAGAGTTGAAGGATTGAGGAAAGCAGAAAAAATCACTTCCAGGGATTCTTATGCTGGTGTCTTCAAAAATTCACGTAAAGGAGCAGGTTATTTGGCGTTTCAGGTGAAGCCTGAACCCTCGCACCCCGCCGACTGAGGTGAACCTTCCAACAGATCAGCGCGATCTGCTCTTCAACTTCCACGGCTTGGAGCTGAGTGGTTACGGCGTTAAGGGCTGAGGGTTGTCACCCAAGTCTGCGTGTGTGCTTCTTGTTTCTTTAGACATGTGTATACCCTACTTTCACTACATACTTCTACATACAAGCATCGCATGCAATGTGATACATGTGCTCGTTCCGACCTCCCACATGACGGGTGACCACACTGCAACTCTCAGAGCATAACTCTTTCTCCTGGTACGGTTCATCTGTTTCATACACGCACAAATACGATTGCATCAAAGATCCAAAAACCGTAAACCCTGAACGCCAAACCCTAGGCCCGAAAAGCTTTAAACCGAATCGAAAATCTAGAAGCATTCCCGAAGGGTCCTTGTACTCACATAATGTGTACATTGGCCTTACAGTAGTCCCTATGTCAATATATACATTGGCCTTAAAGTAGTCCCTACATAGGTACTTTGGGGGCCAAAGTATATACTGGTTGGGTACATGGACCTGGGCCCTCATAGATTGATTTAAGGGTCCTTGTCTTCGGCCACGAGCTATGAAGCCGACACTTCTAAATGCCTAACCTTTACATTCACACCACATAAGCTACCTTCTTAAGGACGGTGCTGTAAACAAAAATGGGTTCTTTAGGGTCCAAGTATGTATCAGCTGGAAGCCCTCAAACCGAAGCTCCTTAACTCCCAAAACCCATACATAAACGTCATGGCGCACGGCTCCTAAATCCTATATAAACCTGGATTTCCAGACCTCACGGCGTGGCACACCTAGAAACCCAAATCGGAAGCTGTCTTCCAGGTCGTCATCCTGGGTTTGGGCCAAGCTACTACAAGGCTCGCTCCCATCGTTCGAAGTCCATGTGCCGAGATGCTGACTTTCGGAACACCCAAAGGCTCCATGTACCTTTATAGTAGATACCTATGCCTTAAAGAGGTCCCTATATAGGTACTTTCAGGCCTAAGTATATACTATATGGGTACATGGAGCCTTAGATGGTAGGAGCTGATTCTTCGAGGTCTTTGGGTTAAGAATCTTGGTAGCAAGAGCGCGACATGAGGGGTCCTTTACTTCCTGCGTGCACCAGGATTTTGGATTGCCTTACTGTTACCTAGTAGCTGAGTGGATACACTTTACACTTTTTGGGATCATATTACCCACTATAAAACTAAAAGTCTAAGCTTTTTTGGGGCTTATGAACTCAGCAACTAAGTTAAGGTTGATCCCTCGACCACCCTAAAGCCCTAAACCCTAGCGTTCCGGGATCGACTCTGGCCTCGAGAGGTGCTTCTACTTGGAGGGTCTTTAGGGGAACTAGTAAGTAGGGGCTCCTTTAAAGGGGATTACAAGGGTTCCTTTAAAGGGCTCTATAGGGGTACTGCAGGGTTTAGGGTAGGTAGTAAGTAGACTTATAAGTACCCTAAAAGGGACACTAATTGGGGTTATGGTACTTAGAAGTCCCTAAAATAGCTACTTACTAACTCCCCCGACCCTCCAACTATGCAGTGACTTCAGACCGCAAGCCTATACTCTACTGGTCCAGGGTTCCTTTGTGTGAGGGACGCTGCTGTTTCAGTGAGATCTCCATGGTCTACTCTCACAATATACTTTAGCACTAGACACTAAACCTTTGGCTTAGCTAGTGCGTAGAGTTAGAGTGTGTTGACTCGTTGATCTTGTTTGCGAACCAGGGGGCTTCAAACAAGAGAGTCAAGCCTGTTGCTCTAAAGTTGAGACTTTGGAAGGCTTGGAAACTCAGGATTCCTTGGTTTATTTTTTTATGGAAACAATATGAAAAAATATGGTTTGGAGATATGAAAAAAATATGCCGGAAATATGGTTTCGGGCAGGTTCGTATTGTTTTCATATTCGCTTCCTAATCAATTTAAATAAATGAATATGAAAAATATGAAAACAATATGAAAAAAATACGATTTGCCTCTGGATCTGGGTTTTTGGGCTCGACACGACCAAAGCATATTTTCGGTCATATTTATTTCATTTTTTTTATATATTTTTTCCATATTCCAAAAAGGGAACCCAGCCAGCAACCATATTTCCAGCCATATGTTTTCCATATTTTCCGGCGTATTTTCTCCACATCTTTCCATATTTTTCCATATTTTCCATATTTTTCTATATTTTTCTATATTTTCCATAGTTTTCCATAGTTTCCCATATTTTCCCGTATATTTTTCCATATTTTCCCATACTTTTCCATATTTTCCATATTTTTCTATATTTTTCATTTTTTCCATATTTTCCCATATTTTCCATATTTCCCGTACTTTTTCCATGCTTTTCCATATTTGCCATATTTTTCTATATTTTTTCATATTTTTCATATTTTTCCATATGTTCCCCATATTTTCGCATATTTTTCATATTATTTTCATATTGTTTCATATTGTTTTCATATCCAATTTTCAACCCATATTTTTTTCATATTTGCATTTTATATTTTTTCATATTGTTTTCATAAATAAAATAATATTACATGATGATTTTTTTGCAAGCTTCCAAAGTCTCAACTCTAAAGCGCTGGGTTCGCCGGCTCAGTATCTGGGCACCTTACCTTTTCAGCCCTCCCACATGCTCTGATACTGGCTTTGTGCTGATAGAGTTAGACTTAGTATTGGTAATTGTATTCCCTTATAATCAGCAGGATATGTAGGGACACTGCAACATACACCGAACGGCAGTAGTCCTCAGTGTAACAAACCCCTCGGTCGTGTGAGGCATTGCTCCCAGAAGTTCAAGCCGTGTACGGTTTAAGCCTACACCCTAAACCCAAACCTTGTCAAGGTTCAGAGGTATGGTTGAGGATTATTGCTGAGGGTTTAGTGATCTATCACAGCTTCAAAACTGTGTGACATGACAATGTCCCTGTTGCGTGACACTCATCCTTCATAATAAGATGACTTGAGCTGTTTGGAGTTTAGGGTCGAAGAAAGTACATGACAATCCTATACACCCCTGAGACTCTTCTACGCTACGAAGCTACTCTCCTTAAGTCAAGCACCTGATTTTTGAATCCTTCGGATCCTTAGGGGTAAGCATAAAGCTCCAACATTAAAGTAAAGTACGCTACACGGTCGGGCATGTCGGAAGATAGATGCTTCATCTGCAAGCCTGATTTCACAAGGCGGAGGGGGGCGTAGGGAGCTTGATAAGGCATATGCTTACTTTGATATAAGGAAGTAGAGTCCCCTAGCCCCCTCCCCCTTACCTCCCCAAGTGTCCCTATGATGATTCTTGCGCAGAGGACAATGTGGTTCGCGGCAAGATCATTGATACCTTCACAGGACCTCCGGTCGTATTCTGAGTGACGAAATGGATACCGGGGGTGAAGTTCTCCGAATGCAGTTGATAAGGATGACATCGGGAAGCCACTTCTTGCATTCGCACACGCACTCTCATGAGGTGTTAGTCTTTGCATTCCCGTCGGTTTCGGGTCAGCCCAACAGCCTTGTACACTAGATGATGCTTGCCGTTCCCGGGCCGCAACACATGGGAGCGTTTCGATGTATTCCCACGGCACATTCGCGTAGCCGATGCTCAAAGTCCTGCTCAAGGTCTGAAGGGGCCAGACCGCCAACGCAATATCCTCAAACCCTTTGTGCTAGCATGAGCAGAGTACATGCCCCTCATGAGTCTGTCTCAGAATGTTTCTCCTGCACACTTGTTTGTTTCAAGTTTTCGGCTTGGATATAGCGTCCTAGAGGCTTCTGGATTCAGCTGCAACGGTCCCTACCTTAACGACGAGATGAACCCTAAAAGGGTTTAAGGTTCATATACCATATAGGGATTCATAGTATATGGGTAAAGAGCCCCTACTTTTAAGGGTCATTTGGTCCTTCAGGCAACCCCTGAACCCTAAACCCTAAAAGCTGGAGGGGATCGAGTTTAGGCTTTGGGGTCTTAAGTTTTGGGTCGAGGTCCACTTCGTAGGCTTGCTGTTTGTATGAGGGCAGGATCCCCAATTTACGTGGGGTTTCAAGTCTTGGGGTTTTGAGGCATCGAGTCCTTCAGCTAAACTTCCTACTGTTTGTCGCTTAGACGCTTCTGGACGGTGTTGCGCAGATGATCTAACCTGTTGCCTTCGGCTGGGACGCTTCTGGACGGTGTTTCGCAGATGTTCATTGTGCTCCACAGCCCGCATTTTTGTCGCAGTAGTGGTGCTGCGAAAAGACTTCACACATGGATGCTCTTGGCGAAAATTCCATTAGGGCGCAGGTCTACCGAAACCCAGTCTTTGGCATAGAGTACAGTATAGGCCCTCCCCCCACCCCTTTCGAACCCTTATGGATCCCCGTTACGGAACCGTATCACATTATGAGTTTTCTGATGGTGTGGCGAGGAGTCCACGGCGTAAGCGTCGGCGGCTTTGTGGAGGGCTACTTTGAGATCATGGGTGCGGCTGCTCAGATCCAGGGTTCAGGGTTGAGGTTTAGGGTATAGGGTTTAAGTTTTAAGGTTTAGAGTTTAGGGTTTATAGGGTTTAGGGTGCGGCTGCTCAGGTTTTTGTCCGGGGTGGCTTCTCTGGGTATGCAGTTGGAGGTGTAGAATGCAGTGCTTTTCAGGTTTAATAAGTGGAGTGTAGAGAGGAAGAGGATTCTTACACAAGAACAGAACATAGCATGTCAGGGTCTGGCCGTTGAGAGAACTACCGTGACCTCAAGGGATGGTGGGGTTTTCCAAAGTAGAGCTAGGAGCATTCTTCTTTTGCCCTTGGCTTCCATTAAAGGTAGACCCCTGCCCCACACAAACCCCGAACCTGAAAACCATCTAGGTTTAGGGTTTAGGATGAGCCGTAAACCTGGAGCCCGATTCTACGGAATGTAAATCCTAAATCCTAAACCCTCCCTAAACCCTAAACCCTCTCCTAAATCCCTAAACCCTAAACCCTAAACCTAGCCTTGCAAAAGAAGAAGCACAGGTGCCTCGCATTTCTGCTTGGTTCCCATGGGCACGTCTTCGTGGACGAACCATCTCTACGAGTTCCTTAGCAGATTATATCAAAGTTCCCGTTTTACCTTACTTATGTTTTATTGATGTCTACTCTACTATATTGTCTTGTCTTACTTTATAGTATAAATTACACCGTATTCAGTTATCTCTTCTTAGCTTCCAGTATAAGTTTGGGATTAAGGCGGTTAAGAGTCGACAGAGCCTGGTTTAGTGGGCCAGACACCAAAGACTACATAGGGTATACTGAGGTACTGGGTACAAGACCTAAATCGTCCCGACTAAACTAAGGGGTTTAGGGGTGTCTGGGACGGAGGGCTCCCACCATCTTTCGACGTTTCGGACTTTTGTGGTTAAGGGTATAGAAAAGAGTTGTCGTTCAATTGGTGCCTTTTTGTGTGTTAGGGATTTGGGGCTTAGAGACACGGCTCTGCTCGGACATAAGGGTTTGGCTTCCGCTTGTTCAAGTTTGGGTCAGGCATGGGTTTGTCGTGTTCTTTGACAAGCCCGAAGATAGGAAGTCCCTCAATGCTCCTCCAACCCCAACCCCAAACCTAAGCCACACCCCGGCTCTGAAACGGAACCCCTAAACCCCTAAACCCAGCTTGTACGAGTCCAGGTCCTTCTTCGCTGGGTGCATCCCGGTGATTCTGAGTCATCCGGCCACGGCAATGGTTAGACGTTAACTTCAAACAAAGGGTGCAGGATTTGACAGTTTATGGCTTTGCAGTTTAGGGTTATGGTGCTTGTTGAAGCGACAAGTTACCAAGAGGCTCCAAAGTAGTTCCTTTGTTCCTTTTGTGGTTCATATATCCAATCCCACAAGGTAATCTCCAAACGGAACTACAATGGCGCCTGTGGGTATAGTGTGGTTACCTTATTATGGGCTTCAAAATATGAACCCCAAAAAGGAACTGCTATGGAGCCCATCGGTATAGCAGCAGACTCGGCGCAGCTTCCGGTCGGTTTGAGGATTTCTGCAATCCGACGTCCCGACTTGGCACCTGCTAGGCCGAGAAGCCTAAGGCCGTGAATTCGTGAACAGAAACACACCCTAAAACTCTAAACTTCTAAACCCTTAAACCCTAAAGCCCGAAACCTCTAAACCTTGAACTCCTAAACGCCAAAATCCCGCTTCTGAACCTGAAGACCTGAAGACCATATTATATATGGCGTTTGGGTCAATTGGAGCCCTAGGGCTCACGGTTGAGGCTGTAGAGTTCAGACCTGCGTTGTGCAGATGCCTTAGGTGATGATTTCGGTGTGCCATTTGATGGCGACATTCGCTGGGAAGACTTCTCCATCAAGCGCCTCGTCGCAAGCAGCATTCAACTGTCGAAATCGGTGACGCTGCTATCTCCAGCACCTTGAACCTCCGTGTTTGTTTGTTTAACATGGCAATTCACCTTCGGTCATGCACATCTGGTAGTTCGAGATGTAAGTCCAAACCATGTTGTTGCTTCGGTCCTATGCGTTGCTGTGTCAGCATGTACCCACTATGGTTGATGGACAAAATCCTGCATTACCCATTATAAGTAATATACCATAGTTCCCACAGTTTAGAGTCCTTAGGGTTATAGGGCTCTGTTAAAGGGCCGTTTGGGGGGGGGGGGGGGCCTGGTACTCTCACGGATACAAGTCCTTTCCCCGAGCAGTAGGCTTCAGGAATCAGGGATTGGTCACTGGGACATAGGAACCTTGGTGCACATGAGAGTTTCCGAAAATAGGGGACCCTAATCTTGAGTGTTTTTAAAAGGCCGGTGGCATTAGGGCAAAACATAGACCCTCAATATCCCAAATATTCTTTCACATAATTGAAACATTCTTTTAAATATTTCAAATATTCTTTCAAATACTCGAAATTTTCTTTTAAATATTTCAAATTTTCTTTTGAATAATTGAAATAGTCTTTAAAATATTTCAAATATTCTTGAAAATATTTGAAATATTCCTTTGCATATTTCAAATATTCGTTTAACTATTTCAATTATTCTTGCATGTAAATACTTGAAATTTCTTTCAAAGACTTGAAATAACTTCAAAAAATATTCTGAATATTCTTGTGCTCTCCACGAAGACAAACAATTTCTTGTGTCATATTTCTACGCTATCTACTAGTAGTTATTCTTCGAATAAGCAGAACTGTATTTCCACAAGTGTTCTGAGAATTCGAAACCCGTATTTCTCATATTATTGAACTTGAATTGAGTATGATGCAACTTCGGCAATGTTCTCTCAGTTTGGTGGCTCAAGTCTGAAGTCGCTGCTCCACCTTTTGCGGTAAACACTGTAAGCTGGAAAGTCTCAAAAGTGGCAGGTTCAAGCTTAACCCTGGCTGAAGCCCAAACTGTTTGGCCCGACAGCGACTAAAAGCTGAGTTCCCAACTGACTTAACGGTGTCCCATCCTGCTTCAAGCCTTGGGCTACAAGCCTTCACCCACCAAGAGATCGTTCCACCAAGGCTTGGGTCAGGCTCCTACGGTCGTGCGCTCACGCGCTTCACTCCACCCCAAGGGGCAAGTCCAAGGCGTTAACCGCCGTCTCCAAGTTTTCACTGGAGGCTTCCTACTCCTACACGACCCCATGCTGGAGCAGTCAACCAAAACCCGGACCCTGTCTTCTTTCTGCAAAGTTTGAAATTAAGTGTAAGGCTGTATAGGGTTGATTGGGTGGAGGGGATGCAAGGGGAGCAACGAAAGGGCAGGGTTTAAGGTTTAGGGTGGGTATCGGGTGGGTATAGGGTTTATGGTTGAAAGCTAGTTGTTTTTTCCAAGCGTGCGCCACACCTCTGCGCAGTAGCTCTCGCCATTTTTGTTCCAAGGGGGCGGGCCCCCCCTGCGGTAGCTCTCGCCATTTCTTGTCCACCAAGGCCCCTTGCTAGCTCTCGCCATTTTTTCCCCCCTGCGCCAGTTTTTTTCCAAGGGGCTCTCTGGTAGCTCTCGCCCGGTAGGTCTCGCACGGGGGGGGCCCTGCGGTAGCTCTCGCCATTTTTTTTCCAGGGGCGGGCCCCCCCTCCGGTAGCTCTCGCAGGGGGGGGGCCCTGCGGTAGCTCTCGCCATTTTTTTTCTCCAAGGGGGGCGCCCCCCCTACACTAGCTCTCCCCATTTTTTTCCAGGGGGCGAGCCCCCACTGCGAAACTTTCGACGTTTTTTTCCATGGGGGTGGGTGCCCCTTGCGGTAGCTCTCCAATTTCTTTTCCAAGGGGTGGGCTTCCTTGCGGTAGCTCTCGCAATTGTTTTTTCCAAGCGGGGGGTTTCTTGTGGGGTAGCTCTCGCAATTTTGTTTTCAAGCCCCCCCCCCCCCGCGGTAGCTCTCGCCAGTTTTTTTTCCAAGGGGATGGGCCCTTCCGTGGTAGCTCTCACATTGTCTATCAGGTTTGAAAATATCTCAAGCAAGTTTCGAAAAGTTCAACAAAATCTCTGCTTAAAAACCTGGTTTCTCTACACTTAACTTAACTCGACTCCTTGGTTTCTGTTGAACAATAATAAACAATATATGGAATATTTAAAACAATATTTCAGACAATGTTCGAAATATTTGAAAGATTTGTTCAAACAATTTTCGAAAAAAGTTAAGTAGAGAAGAGTAGAGAAACCATGTTTTTAAGTAGAGAAATATTGTTTTGTTTTTTTTGAATATTGTTTGAAATATTTCTACAAAAGTTTGGAATATTTCTGAATATTTTTAGAATATTTCAAACAACGTTAAAAATATTTAGCCATATCTTTTTTTAAGAACATTCTAAACCCCCCATTTCAAAATATTACATCGTCCCTCTCGCTCTCTCTGTCTCTCTCTCTCTCTCTCTTTCTCTCCTTCTCTCTTTGTTTTTTTTTCTCTCTCTCTCTCTCTCTCTCCCCCTTCCCTCCCTCCCTCCCTCAGCCAAGGTCGCAACACCGAGCACACAGCACAGCCAGGCAACCAGCACTGGGTTTCTGCAACCAGCGGCCACTTTGTGCTGCTCTTCCACGTACCCTGGCCTGCGGCCGCAGCTTGCCCTATGCATCCGCTACGTGGCCTATTGCTGCATCCAGCTGCGCCGAAGTCAGGCACGTGATACTCGCGCCTATAAGTCGCCGGCCAGTCGCTGTCGCTGAGCCCAGCACTCCTCTTCCGAGAACTCACCCAAAGCGAGCTCTTGCCTGCACGGACTGAAAGCACATGTGTTCAAAGGCACATCCCAAGCCCGCATACCTTGACAATTTTCGGCCTTAAGGCCCTTAGAGCCTAGACCCTTGCACCCTTAAGCCCTAAGGCTTAGGCCCTAGACCCTAAACCCTAAACCCAAAGACCCTACTAAACCCTGAACCCTTAAACCCCTAAACCCTTCAACCCTAAACCTTAACTTATACCCTAAACCCTAAACCGGGAAATCGTAAACTACGCAAGCATCAAGCTAGGCAGCTAGGCCACAAGAGAGTAGACTCAACAGATTCAACAGTGTAGCATTCAACAATGTGTAGAACGATGGTTCGGAGACCCGACCTACGTGTTGGCGTTCGACTTATGCCCATTACCATTATGCCAAGTGGCTTTAGCCTCTGGGGTCCAGACTTTCCACTGGCCTTTGCCACAGATTCGAGGTCCGGCCGTCCTGGTGTCTGTTGGAAGCAGATGCTTCTTCCCAAAGCATTGCAAGTCTGTGCCTGCAACTCAAAGCTGGCCAAATTGCGCTGCACCTTGCGTGGGCGCTGGCCAAAGGCGCGATTTCTCTCCTGTTGAGCCCGAAACGCCCCTCGGGGGTTTCCTTGTCCTGGACCCTGGCCACCTGCCGCTGCCGGTTGGCTTGGCTGGTTTTGCTGAACTGCCATGGCGGCGAGGCGTATGAGCTCCATGGTTTGTGGGCCTGGTCGCACTGCTATCGAGTGCGACGGGGAACTCGAGAAACCTATACAAGTGTCTATTGTGTATTGCCCGTTAGCCGGTTGCAACCTATAATGGTAGCTATCTGGTCACACACACACACGTCCCAAAAACTGCTTCTCGCATGGCCATGATGCACGACTTCGGAGCAAACAACAACATTGTAACAACATGCACTAAGTTTGATAGGACATGTTCAGCTTGAATACTATGGTTCAACAAGTTCAAAGAAATATTTAAAAACACACAAAATACTTCAGCCATTTCAAGGAAAGATCACGCAACATATTTCGCCAATTTCACAGAAGTAATTGAAAAAAATAATGAATATTTCAAATATTTCAAACATTTGAAAGAATATTTCAATCATTTAAAAGAGTGTTCCAAACATTTAAAAGAATACTTCAATTATTTAAAAGAATATTTCAAAAACTTAAAAGAATATTTAAATATTATGTCCCGGATTATAGTGAGGTGCCCCACCGGCCTTTCTAAAAACACTCAACCCTAATCTACTACCCTAAATAGTAGGATCCTTATTATAAGGCCCCCAAAATACGGTACCCCTAATTTTCGGAAACTCCCACATGTATTCATACACACATGCATGCATACGCATACGCATACGCACACACACACACATACACATACACTTACACTTACACATACACATACACATACCAACACCTACACACATACACACGAGCACCCCCACACACAGGGATACAGATGGGCACATGCAAGCATCCATACATCCGTCCATCCATCCTTCCTTCCCTCCTTCCTTGCTTGCATCCTTGCTTGCTTTTACATCTGTACCTGCATAGTTATATTGTCTACATCTCTATGTCTATATCTATAAGTCAGCATCGTTTGCTCTGTCCATCTCTTTCCGTGTGTTTGTGTGTATGTCGGCGCAGGTATGATTAGGATGTACGGCTGCTTTAGGCGACAAGTTTGTGAGACTCGACGATGCTCGCCGTTGTCGCCGCTATCGTTTGCATCCTCATGTACTACTCATTTACTACCCACTACCCACCTTCCCCTGCTCATCCTCTCGCTCCGTGCCATCAACATCAGCAGCATCATCATCATCATGGTTATCCTGATTGCTTTTGCCCCACAAGTTTGCACTATACCCTTGGTCGCTACATGCATACGTTCATAAAGAAAACCATAAGTAAGCAGATACAAAGCACATTGATTACTGTATATATGTATATATGTATATATGTATGTATATGCATGTAGAAAACACGGGCAGATGAATACCGCATCTTGGTCATGAGCGAAGTCCTGGATTACCTGGCTTCTGGATATGTGTTATAAGCCTTGTTGCAGGTAATGCCAGCTTGGTCATCAGTCTCCGTGTTCAAAGGACACAAGCATGTTGTCCTGGGGTGAGGATAGTTGTAATTTCAGACACTTCGGTCAGCCGCTTGTTTGTAAACCATAAACCCTAACCACAATCCCTAAACCCTAAAACCCCAAACTCTAAATCCCTAAACCCTAAAACCCTAAACCCTAAACCCATGAATTAGCGCCTTCAACGCCAATTCTTGCAGGTGGCCCATGGCCGACGTAGATATGGACTTGCTCCTGCCCTGCACAAGCCTCCGGGTTCCATGTTCCTGGGTGGGTACCTTTAAAGGGATCCTGTAAAGGGTTACTATGAGGGTACTACGAGGGTTCCTTTAATGTTCCTTGAAAGGGTTCCTTTCAACGCTCTGCGGGGGTCTTCTCGGGTTGTATAGGGTTGTATATACCAAAGGGCCCAAGTAGTAGTATAGCACATTTTTATGTGTATATATGTATATATATATAGACATACATACTTTTTTTTGGGGGGCGGACCCACATATCTACTAAGTGCCTACTTTATGTGTACTTGGATTCTTTGGGTATGGTTGAGGGCTTAACTAGGTTAGGGCTCACAGGCCACACCCGTGCGAACTAGTGGCCATGGCCTGCATATATATATATATATATATATATATATATATGTAATTATATATATATATATATGTATTTTCATATATGTATATATATATACACACAAAAGTCCGTCTGCAACAAGCTATGGCCCAATCTTTGGAACCCTGAGCTCTAGACGTAAACCCATCGTAGGGCTTTTCGAATCGTTCTCGGGTCGAACACTGTTTCCGGGCTTTCACTAGGACCCAGAGTAGGCCCTTATTCCCTTTTTTTGAGGGTTCGGGTTCCCTTATCAGCCCCTTTATACCAAAAAAAGGCACCCTTTTTATCCCTAGGTTACTCTTGGGTCTAGTTCAGGAGTGGTGTTCTTCTGCTCACCGTCTTTAGTGCTCGCAAGATCTTGGGGGACTTCGGGGGTGGTTCCAGCGCTCATAGGGGGTCTACATTGAATAAGTGGCTACGGATACAACTTTGTTTATGGGCTCAGAGTCTTACAGTTTAGAGTTCTAGGTTATGGGCTACAATCTCGAATCAAAGCTGGAACAGCAACCCATCAAGACCCCGAGCCCTCTGGCCCTCTGGTAGCCCACAGCCTGAAAGCAGATAAGGGCTGGGCAACCTGCCCTACACCCTTAAGCCCCAATCCTCAAACCCCTAAACCTTAAAGCTCTAAACCCAAGCCCTAACCCTAAGGGTCCATGTACTCATATACCATATACTTGGGTCCCAAAGTACTTCAATAGGGACTACATTGAGGCCGATGTAGATACTATATAAGTGCATGGGCCCTTAGGGCAAGGGATCTATAAGGGATCCTTAAAGGTTCCTTGAAGGGATCTATAGGGTTTGGGTGTTTAGGGTTTAGGGTCAAACACCCAAACAGTAAGGTTTCGGGTCCCAAACATGCTCTTAGGGTAGAGTAGAAGCCAGAAAGTTGGAATATCATTATCGTAACCCCTTTAAGGTAAATTATAGGGGATCCTACCATGAAACCATATTCCAACTTTCTGGAGTTCCCTTTAAGCTCAGGTACTACCACTTGCTGTCAATTCCCAGCGGCACGCTTCGGCGGTCTGCTCCTCAGGGCAAGTAGCCTCGAACCCAAACGATGAGCCCGAAACTACCCTAGGGCTCCATAGTAGTTCCTTTTGGGGGTTCATATTTAGAATCCTATAAGGTAATCCAAAAAAGGGGAACTACTATGGAGCCTTTGGGTAAAACAATTCCGTAAAGGCCAACTGAAGCACTGAAGTCTGGGTCTGAGGCAACCTACAGTCAAATGTCGCAGGCATTTGTTCTGGACTAGTGTGTTGAGGACGTGTTTGTGGCCGAAATCCAGGTTATGGGTGCAGTGACACCGGATAAAGCTAGATCCTGGATCCGGCTGCTACCGCAAGCTTTGGGAACGCTAACCCTAAAATCCCGAACCCCAAACATCGTGAACTCGAGTCTGTAAACCACACAGCAAACCCTAAGCGTGAAACCTTAACCTAAAGGCTCCATGCCTCTAAACCGTCAGCCAGTAGCGACGACAGAGCTGCAGAACATTTGAAGCTCCAGGCCTCGCACTAATACGGCACATTTCAGAGTTTTTAGGATTGGTAACTTCTTGGGGCTTGGATTTACAAGGGTTTAGGCTTTAATTAGGCTTTTAGGTGTTTTAGGGTTTAGGGTTTGGGGGTTCGGGAGGAAGAGGGCGGAGGATGTGCAGGCGAAGTCGACATCGGGGTTGGGGGGGGTTGGAAAGTTAATTAGGACCTCAGTCTCTGCCTTAAGATGGTTATTGGACTTTAGGGTTTTGATTTTGAGGGTTTAGAGGTTATGGCTTGGAGTTTAGCATTGTGTGGCTTATGGCTTATACTGCTTAGTTGCGTGTCCATAGCACGGGATGTGGGGATCTTTGTTTCTGCATAGGGCTCACGGCTTACACTCAAGGCTTACACAGGACGGACTGGGTTGGCGGATGTTTTCTCAGAGGTATCTAATCATTCACAACGTTGTGGGTGGGGGGGGGGGGGGTGTGTGGGGCTTGGAAGCGCGCAATGCTGTTGAGTGTTTAGGTTTTGGGCTTGAGGTTTGTGTGCAAACGCATGTGCATCTTGAATGAATCAATGAAGGGGACTTGCAACCACTGACCCACGAACCCTCACTCAAAGCCATCAAGTTCAAGAGCCGGAATAGGATGTAGAGCTTCGGGTTAAGAGTCCTCTGAAACAGGAAAACCATAGCAACCTCATAGTTGCATGGACACGAATAGGTAAGTTTGCCAGGATGAAGGCAGCAGTGGATGCGCACGCCTGCTGGTTCGACTACCATCAGGTCCTCGTGCCTTTGACCAAGCTATCTTCAACCATAGGACCCAACACCTCGGTATTTGTTTTTAGGGAGTGTTTTAGTTTCTGATTGGGGCGGGGGGGTTATGTGATCATTTGGCAGTTGGATCCTTGGGCCTAGAGCTCCCAAGCCTCAAATCATCCCAAATCCCAAACAACAACCTTCAACACTTAGCTAAGTGCTTCAGAACCTCGGTTCAACAGTGATACCTTTTGCCCTTTGGGACTAGAGTCTAGGGATACTCATTGTTGAGGGGGCACTGGGGAACTTTGGAAATCCAAAGCATCAGCACCTTAAGACCCTCAAAGTGTTGAAGCTTTGAAACCTTAAACCCCAAAAAGTCAACTTCGTGCATGCTGTGCTTGATGTCAACCTGAGTAGTCGGACTACAATAAGGATGCCAATACCAAGGCGCTTTTTCGTCAGGGTGTTACATGATTCGTCATTAGCTTTGGATTGAATGTTGCGGGGCAGTAGATCTTGCATTTTAAGTACCCCGCACGGCTCAGGATTGAGTCTACAACCCGACCTGCAAGCAAATCGCTACAGCATAAGCTCGAGTCTATAGTTTCCACCCTCTAAACCTGCCCATAATCATAGGCCCCAAGCCCTTAAATTGCCCCTAAAACCACAAGCCCGGGAGTCCCCCAATGCTAGACCCCCAACACCATAAGCCCTTAATCCTGTGACCTTAAGGATGCCAATACCTTATAAAACCACATACTCCCAAACAATATCACCTACAGCACTACGTTGTTCGTTGGATTTTAGATAAACCCTGCATGTAAGCGATCCGAGCCAAGGAGAAAGAAGGTCAAAAGTGCCGCTTCCGCTGCAGCCATGGATTTGCTTAGGGTTCAGGTGGCGTAGGCTTTTCTGATTTTGATGTCGGTGTTTATGGCTTTTCTAGACTTTGGGTGAGGGTAGGTTGTGCCTATAGTCTCCATTGTAGTTCCTTTGGGGGTTTACCTTATAGGATCCTTAATATATAACTGATTAAACCAAAAAAGGAACTACAATGGAGACTATAGGACCCTAAACCCTAAACCCTAAACCCGGTGTTACTTTGAGAGACACCCTCAGACCCTCGGCCCCCATGAGCCCTGCGTCCCCAAACCCCTGCAGGCCCTACAAACCCCATGCCAGACCACTATATGGTTGATGATATAAATCCCTAGGGTTCCTTTAAAGGGGATCTATTAAGGGTACCTTTAAGGGGGTTCCTTTAAGGGATCTATAGGGTTTAGGGTTGATGATATAAATGCTGCATTACCTTAATGACCCTAGACTATGGGAATTATCGTATATTCCGTACTATGGGTAATGCAGGTTTGAGATCATCAACCGTAGTGCCCAAATAGTAGGGATTGAATTGCCAAAAAATGTTCAGTGCGTTAGCCCTGAGGGCAGGGTCCATGTATATACCTTGGCCTCAGAGTAACTAATCCCTAAGTAGGGCCCAGAGCGTGAAGCATATATTAGCGGGCACATGGACCCTTTCAAAAACTTGCGGGACCCTTTAAAAGGAATTGGGGAATCCTCGGCTCTTAAACTTAGGTTCCCCCCTAGCCTGAAGCTAAACCTCGAACCCTTACAGGACCACACCCTAACCCCTAATCCCTCAAATAACTATACCCTATACTCTAAACCTAGAGATCCCTAACCCCCTACATCCTCAAAGGACTACACCTTATACGGGCCCTATCACCTAAGCCCTGAATACGACTATGAGAACCCTAAGCTCTGAAACTGAGGTTCCCCGCAAAGCTAAACCCTAAACCCTTAAAGAACTATACACCCTAAACCCGAAACTCCTCAAACCGAGGTTCCGCCTCAAGCTAAACCCTAAACCCTTCCAAGACTACACCCTAAACCCTAACTGTGACCAATAAAACCCTAAACTCTGAAACCGAGGTTCCCCCCAAAGCTAAACCCTAAACCCTTCAAGAACTATACATATATATATATATATATATACACCCTAAACTCGAAACTCCTCAAACCGAGGTTCCCCCTACTACGGCCTCCTTCGAAGCCTCGAACGCCGGCGCCTGGCCTGGGCGCGGCTGCCAGGGCCAAGGAACCTCTGGCACCCTCCGAAGCGAGAGGAACAAAAAGGGACGCCTACTTAGAGGATCATGGGACTTAGTAAGTGTAGGGTTCCTTTAAAGGGCTCCTTTAAAGGGGATCTATAGGGGTTTCCTTAAAGGGATCTATAGGGGTTTAGGGTTTAGGGTCTACTTAGAGGATCATGGGACTTAGTAAGTAGGTTATAACTGGGGTTATAAGTCCCCTAAGTGGGGTTATCCTAATTATATCCTACTTATAACCCTACTTACTAAGTCCCAGGATTCTTTAAGTACTATGGGACCAATACCCTAAGGGTCCCTAATGGCCCTTCACAGTGGGCATTTGGTAGGTGTTTACTTGGAACCATCCGAAGCGAGAGGAAGAAAAGGGACGCCTACAGGGAAACCCAGAAAGTCTGAACATGGATTAGGGTTTAGGGTTTAGGGTTTAGGGTTTAGGGTTTAGGGATTAGTGCCAGGATCCCTTGTACTTGACCTTCAGGGAACCAGGACAATGATGTTCCAACTTTTTGGCATCTACTGTAATATAATAGGACCCATACTGTTCTGGGGTTCCTTTGTAATGAGGGCTTCTGTAAGGGCTCTTGTAAGGAGGTAGTATAGGGGTCTTGATAGGACCAATACAATTTCGGGCGTCCCTTTTGATAACAATAGTATAATCGGCCCCAAAACCTTATTCTAATTACTAAGGAAATTAGGTTTTAAATTCCAGGACTCCCCCCTGGGCCCTTTCATAGAGCCCTAGTGGCCCTTCACAGTGGGTATTTGGTATGAGTTTACTTGGAACCATCCGAAGCGAGAGGAACAAAAAGGACACTTCCCCCAAGGGGTCCAAGCAGGTACTTTGCGTTGATATTTGAGCCGCAAAATAAGTACGTACTATACTATTACTTGGAACATCCGAATCCAGAGGTACCAAAGGGGGGTTCCTTATTATGCTTATGGTATTATTGACCCCCAAACCCTACTCTGATTATTGAGGCTCCTATATCACATAACTGGGTGGTTGTGAAAATCAGGGTCCCTTTTGGGGGCCCTATGATAATACGGCATCTCTTATTAAGGGTACCCAAAAAGGGACCGTAGTTTAACAACTACCCAACTGAAGACTTGCATCCTCTACAGTCTATATGCTCTGGCAAAGGCAACTAGGACCCAGAGTAGGCCCATAGTCCCTTTTTAAGGGTTTAGGTTCCCTTTATTAAAACCCACTTTAATCCAAGAAGGGCACCCTTTTTATTCCTAGGTTATTCTTAGGTCTAGGCAACCTAGCTTGGAGAACTATTGTTCCTCTCTATTTCAGCGCAGTATATGTCTTGCTATTTCGGCGCCCTGTGTCTTCGTCTGTAAAGCCTTTTGTAGATCCCTACATTTTCCTCGTTCTCATTGTGAGAAACCTACATCACCCAGAGCTTTCGGCTGAGGCTGAAACTTCACATGGCACCTGGAGTCGCGGGGCCCCAAGCCCTCTCGCATTCTTCCGGGGATCAGGTCTGGGCTATCGAGTGATTAGAAGAACGCTTCAGGGATGCAGCGGCAGAGTCTAGTATTTCGGGTTCACGGATTTCAGACTAAACATTCAGGGCTTATAGTGTGAAGGCCGTTGAAATGCTTCGTGGGTTGTCCTGATAGACCAGGATTCGGGTCTTTGGCGGCTGGGTGAGGCCGTGTCCATCGGTTTGCACCACTTACCTGCGCAGTTCGTCTCCACACTGACTACCGACCTACCGACCTACCTACCAGCCTACCTACCCATCTGCTTCTGTTTTCTGTCTGCTACTCAAACAAGGCAGCGCCGCCAATACGGGTCATCAAAGAAGACCCTAAAAGCCCGTATAGCAGCCCTTATGGACCCCTTTAAAGGAACCCTGTTCTCATTATTAAGGCCCTATATTAGCCAAATCTGTAAAATTGGTGGGGCTCTTGGGCTCTCCTCATCGATCCAGTTTCCTTTCCTTTCCGTAACAGTAGGATCCCAGACTTTCACAAATCCCTTGGTTTAAGGAGTATACCTTAAAGAATGGTAGGACCCACCAAAAAATACTTGAGGTATATTCCTGACCCAAGAGATATTGGAAGGTTGGGTTCTCCAAGAAAACTTCCAAAGCAGGGTAAAGCTCGGATCTTTTCGGGGGCGGCAAGATTTCACGGCATTCTCCAGAGGACCTCAAACCCTAAACTCTGAACCCCTAAACCCCCTAAACCCTAAGCCATAAAATCCCAAACCCTGAACCCCTAACCCTGCACCCTGGTTTCCGAGGCCTTACCGCGCCCTCTTTGCTAGACCCTACCTTTTCGGGGTATGGCCCCTCATAGAGGTATTAGGCATTTTGCATACATAAGAGGGTAGGTTCTAGGGAACTGCCCTCAGACTCCATGTTTTCAAGCAGTACCTGCATCAGAGGTCGAACATCCAGGATGCCCCGAATTCGTTTATCTAACCTTAAACCCTAAGCCGTGGCATCCAACACATCTGCTGCACGATCTGCAGAGAACATGCAAGTTTTCGGGTGACAGTGGCTTAAACCAAAGCTTTACGAACTCCATGCCTTCAGGGACCTTTTCATCTTGATACTACAGGGATCGAGAAGCTTTGCAGTGCTTAGCAGGCACACTGCTTCACTCTCCGCAAGCACTGATCTCTAAGACCACCCCCTAAACCCTAAAACCTGAACCCTAAAACCCACACCCTAAACCCTAAAACCTAAACCCTAAAACCTAAACCCTAAACCCTAAACCCTCGGTCAGAACAGCAACCCCGAGGCACTGACGCGAAGTGGCCCGGAGCTTGGTTGCCGGAAGTCCCCTAAAGCTTAAACCTTGCCAACCCTCTAAACCCTACAAGCCCTACTTAATGAAGCCCCAAACTCAACTCTTGCTGTGGTCCTTGACATATCTGAGGTCGGGGCTACGATGCTTAGTCTGCCCGGTTTTTAGGGCTTCCATAACGCCTATACAAAATTGGCTTAGGCCCGCGAGCGCGGATAATGGACCAAATACGATACTGGTACCCAGACCTTCCAATGTCCAGTAATTGTTGAACAAGCCCGTAAATTCGATTAGGCATCCTACTACCCATAGGGTCATACCCTACCCCTTTTTTGAGGCACCTACTTTTCTATATAAGAGAACCTAACCACAAAACTAGGTACCCTAAAAAAGGGGTAGGGTATGACACTCCAGGTACTAGGATGCCCAGTACTACCCTTATTCCCTTTTTGTAGTCCTAGGTTCCTTATTAAGGTACCCACTACCCAAAAAGGAGCCCGTTTTGTTCCTAGGTTACTGGGCATCCTAGACTTTGGCTTAGGGTATATTCCTGGAAGGTCTGGGTGGAGGGGCCCTGAGGCTTCGGGTTTGGCATACAGGACCTGGCAAGCTCAGAAATGTCCAAGAGCTTAGATCTTGCGGAATCAAGATCTGCATAATCGGTAAGAGTCCTTCTATTAGTCCATACGAGCAGTTTTTCCTTGTAGTTCCGACATAGTCATGCTACACAGCTTACCCTGAAACCCTACTGCTTCAGAGGACAAGGAATTTAGGGGAGCGGTTGAGGATTTCGTGTGTTTTGCCTTTAGGCATTGGGTGTAAAGGGTTCTGGGTGCCGGGCTTAAATTAGCTACAAGATACACCTGCACTAGCCAGTGTAACAGCTCAGACAGAGCAGGCTCGTGAACCTGATCTTCAAGGTACCTCCGATAATTTCACATGCAGTTCCTTCTTGTAGGCTAGCTTTGTTCTGTTGCAAGGCCCTCACCATAAACTTAATGGGTTGTCTACGCGATTTGCTACAATTCAGGTCTAGAGGTAAACCTAGACCCCCCAACTACCCTTTGTTGTAGCCCCTCATTACCTCTTAATGAGAAATGTCGGAGCCCTTTAAAGGGTACTTGGGGGGGTCCTGGAATGCATGTGACCTCAACAACATACTGTAAGCCCGTGAAGCTCAAGCCTTGAAAAGACACAGGGAGTGCCCTGAAACCTAAGGTTTACCTGGCCCATAGGAACTTAGGGTTCCCTCATATGGTTTCTTTATATAAGTCTTGAAAAAGGTAGGTTTTTTGGGGTTAAGGTAGGGTTTAGGGTTTAGGGCCTGGAGTTCTTGTTGAAGAAAGCAGTATAGGGATCTACAAGAACCTAGAGAACTTATATGATTTCCTCCCTATGAGAGGCAACTTCAGTTCTGTTCCTCCACAGCAAATTGGTAAAGCTGCCAGCGGTTTAGGGCTTCTAGGACCTACAGTAGGCCCGTATTCCCTTTTTTAGGGTTCAGGTTCCCTTATAGGCCCCTCTAAACCAAAAGGGCACCCTTTTTATTCCTAGGTTACTCTTGGGTCTAGGCTTGGGTAGATTGCCAGTCCCTGTCCCTGGACCCAAACACGAACCCTCAGCCCTCCCGCGACGCTTCCACTCCAGAGGTCCTCAAAAGCAGGCGATCGGGAGGCAACTTAGGGCTCAGCTCGAGGTTGTGTGGCCCAAAGTTTCCTGAAACTTCATGTGACGGGATGTGGTCTAAGGGTTGAGGGTTTCAGGATCTATAAAGTTGGAAGGGTTTCATAAAGCTGTGGGGCATTCGTGACTTTAAATTCCACTTCTTAGCCTGCGCCACTCACTTCCGCCACTCTTGACCTAGCATCCCGAGATTCGAGACGAGTAGCCCTAAAGCTTCAGACCATAAACCCTGAAGGCTCGAGCCGGCACCCCTAAAACCCTGAGCTCTAAGTCCTAAACTGCAAACCGCAAATCGTACACCGCTACACTAGTCTTACAGGGGCCAAGTACAAGCATATGGTAGGTGCTTAGCAGATATTTGGGCCCTAAAAGTATAGATACTATACTAAACTACACTAGATTATACTATACAATGACTTGGACTGTTTGGGATTGTAGTATAGGCTTTCCAGCGAACTCAAGGATTGGCCTCGCTGCTGGACGCCGTGCCAAATCGGAAAACACGAGCCTACTCATTTGGGTTTCAGCAGGCTAGTTCAGGGCTCAGGGTCCCTACACACCCTAAAGCTCAAGGCCCTATGTAAGCGTTCCGCAGCCGATCTTCAACAGACCTCAGAATAAAGAATCAGACGAAAGGCCGAGGAGCTTTTTCAGCTGGACCCTTCATGATACAGAAGGAGCCAAGGTCTGCAAGCTTCGTACCCTCGACAAGACACGGAGACTTGAACGCAACCGAAGATTCAACGCCTCTCGGTACTACCTATAGTGTCCATTTTAGTTCCTTTTTTTGGTTAACCAGTTTTATGGTTAGGATCCTATAATCTAGATGTTGGCTAACCAGAAAAAGGAACTACAATGGACACTGTAGGTATTACTGCGCCGATGCATCACCTGGAGCCTGAATCTTGCTTGAAGTTCGGGGACTCGTTCTTGCGACATCGGGTCACATCTTCAGAAACGGGAAAAAAGAGGACCTTGACTATTTGCCTTGCTTCATCCAGCATTGCGGAGTATGGCGTCTGAATGACTCCATGACCTGGGTCGAAGGGGACAGCACATCTTCAGCAAGTTCAAAGTCCACCCAGAGCTAACTGGAAACTCAAGAGCAGTATCCTCTTGGCTGACCAGTGGAAATGGGAGCCATCCTGTGTGGTAAGTGCAGCCTTCAGGCAGGTGGCCGGCAGAGTTTTGGACCAGGCAAAATGGCGATAAGAAGCAGGATATTAATTAAGACCCCATCCATGAAACAACACGTTACATACTTACTGAGGACCTTCTCAAAAAATCCCCCATAACACCAAAGACCATCATAACCCAATAAGAAGCCTAGACTCTGCATCCTAAAGCTTAAACACTAGACTCAACCCTTAACTTGCCTTTACCACCGCTGTACAGTAACCCCCATAAAGTTGAACACCCGATTAAGGCTAAATAGTGCTGGGATTCCCTTTCCATTACTCTTAAGGATTGAGGCAATTGGGTTTCCAACTTTTGGGCTTCCACTGTAGGGCTCTTAAACAACCCGACCAGAAACAGACCACCTCGTGTCAGACCGCGCCCCTAAACCGCAGGCTCCACAGTCCAACTTTCAACAGCGATCTGCTGATGACGGTGGCTACGACAGTATGGGGCTCAGGGTTTTGATTTTGGATTTTAAGCTTTAGGGTGTTGCATTCAGTGCTCCGGGTTTGGTGAGGCTAGGGTTTGCTAATTAGAAGAGCATCCAACAACCCTGCATAGTTGCCCCATACCTATATGAAACACCGATCAATGAAAACAATGGCTGTGGGCTCACTTTTACACGGTACCTGAGGGTTCCGTTAAGGGATGCTTTGGAGGTTCGCTTAAGACATCTTGTTGGCTTCTCCAGGGGTCTTGATAGGGCCGAAGAGAACGTGGTATCTGACCTTGAAATTCGGGGTTCCTAGAATTGGATACTGGGGCTTGATGTTCAAGCTAGGATCGGCTACATAGTTGGATTCTAAGCTATGAGGTTGCAAGGGTGAGAGGATCGGGATGCTTGGAGGTTACAGGGTTTAGGGGTTCAGGGATTGCGGGTTTAGGGTTGAGGATTTGGGGCGATGGGTTTGGCAGCTTCTTCGAGAAAGACGATGTGCACCATCGCAACCTCCATCCAAATCAAGCCCTTCAGCAAGGATCACAAACCCTTGAAAGACCCCACCAACTCCTGGTTAGACTTTATGAAAGGCACCTTTGCCTAAACACACACACACACTCAACACCCTACGCCTCAGCCCTGAATCAAAGAGACCTCAATACATGCTACATGCCAAGACCTTACACCCTAACCAAAAACCATTCAACACTGGAAACCTGCAGCACCAAACCCTAAACCCCCAAACCCTAAATTCCTATAACCCCCAGGCCCCTAAACCCTAACCCTAACCCCTAAACCCCCGAAAACCCTAATCCCCAAACCCCAAAGCCCTCTAAACCCCAATCCCCGAGGTTGGCCTCAGTGGGAGCCTAGAAGGTCATATCAAAGGCTGCGGAGACCCACAAAGAAGATGCTGCCGGGATCCAGCTAAGGGTTTCTATCTATATATTTGTTGGTATACATATACTTATATATATATATACGTAAATATATAAGTAAATAAATAAATAAATAAATATATATATATATATATATATATATACTTATATATATATATATATATATATATATATATAAATATTTAGTACATGCACACTTATACGAATACATATTTGGAGAAGGACAGAGACAGAGAGAGCGAGACAGAGAGAGAGAGAGATCGGGTTCAAGGTTTAGGATCCGGCTTAGGGTTTTATCTACAGTTACAGCGTTTATGCCCCAGTTTAGGGTTCCAATACAGAGAGTTATTTTATGGATTGGGATCCGTTGCAGGCCTTTAGGGTGTTCATCTAGAGGATGTAGGGTTTGGGGCGCAGTTCAGCATTCGAACATTGCGGTCTGGATGCTTAGATATCATATCTTTTGATATTTCCCTCTTCAGCAAAAATGAGTATATCCCCAGGACTCCATTGAAACTATGAAGATTCTCATATCAGGTTCTCCTTCTCCTAAAAAGCTCAGTTTCTTTCGGGTCGTCTGGTGTGCGGTTCATAGAGCGTGGGTAGAAAGGGGGGTGTCTGCAGGGACTTTGGCGGCTTTTTTGAGGCTTTGGGGGGGCTTTCGGGGGTCACGGAAGGCCTCAAAGGTGGTTTGCTGTCTAAGGACATGTTATGTTTATAAACCTGAAATTACGTCGTCCTTGTGTCCAAATACCTGAGAATTTGAGGCCGCTGTATCACTCTTCGGTGTCTCCATGATGGGAGCCTGATTTCCTGGAACTTCAACTGGACGTCCTTGTCAAAATCAGGGTTTGGATACATGCTTGTATGCTTTTGCGTGGTATGGGTTTTGGTCCTCTGCCTGCGACTGCTACGATGATGGCACGTACCTATGCCGGGATAGCAGTTTGCACTCAAGTTATGATTCAGGAACACCCTAATCGGGCCAAACAGTTTCATCGTTTTTTCCAACAGCTCACCGCGACCCAACGTGAAGACTTTGCACCCTATTGGGTACCATTGAATTCCCCAGACCTTCCGCTATCCCCCAGTCCAGGGCCTACTCTGGGTCCTAGCCTTCTGAAGTAAACCTCAAACCCAAACTGAAGCCCAAACCATAAGCCCTAAACCCTACACTCTAAGCCCTAAACCCTAAACTCTAATCCCTAAAACCTGGTACCCGATGCAGAAGAGCGAGATGTACAAGAACGTTTGGGATCCTAGTCTCACCTCTATGGGCCCAAGGATGGGCGGGCAGATGGAAAAAGGTCCGACTGTCATCATAGATCAAAAAAAAACCTGAACCCCTTATCTTTAGGGACTTAGAAGTACCATAACCCCAATTAGGGTCTCTTTTGGGGTACTTATAAGTCTACTTACTACCTACTTACTAAGTCCCTGAACCCTAAACCCTATAGTACCCCTATAGAGCCCTTTAAAGGAACCCTTCTAACCCCCCTTTAAAGGAGCCCCTACTTACTAAGTCCCCCGACCCTCCAAGAACCCTTTAGCGACTCGCAGGGCTGACTGGGCAGAGAATCCACAGCAGGGTTGCGGCCTCAGGGTTAGGGATTACGGGGTTTAGGGGGTTTAGGGCAAAGAGGGCTTAAAATTTGGGATTCGACATTTCTACGTTTCAAGGCTGGGTTCGTCAAACTCGGGCCCTAGGGGTGTACAGTAGAAGCCAGAAAGTTGGAATATCATTATCGTCACCCCTTTAAGGTAAATTATACGGGATCCTACCCTAAATCCATATTCCAACTTTCTGGAGTTCCCTTTAAGGGGTTTAGGGATTAGGGATTAGGGGGTTTAGGGATTAAGGGGATTAGGGATTAGGGGGTTTAGGGATTAAGGGGTTTAGGGTTTAGGGATTAGGGGGTTTAGGGATTAAGGGGTTTAGGGATTAGGGATTAGGGGCTTTAGGGATTAAGGGGTTTAGGGATTAGGGATTAGGGGGTTTAGGGATTAAGGGGTTTAGGGATTAGGGATTAGGGGGTTTAGGGATTAAGGGGTTTAGGGATTAGGGATTAGGGGCTTTAGGGATTAAGGGGTTTAGGGTTTAGGTGTTAGGGGGGGTGCGAAGTCTTTAGGGTTGTATTCGGTTTCGGGTTTTGGGGTTATTGGGGGTTTAGGGGAAGTCTTGAGGGTTGAATTCGGTTTAGGGTTTAGGGTTTATTAGGGGTTTAGGGGAAGTCTTTAGGGTTTATTCGGCTGAGAGTAGTGTTTAGGGTTAACTTGTGTGCAATTAGGGCTCAGGATACGAAGTCTTTAGGGTTTACCTAGTAGGTGACCTTTAGCCTTTTGGGGTTTACATGAACCTACCATAGTTCAAAAGGTTAACCTTGGGCTAGATTCAGCCCTAAGTTGATTTGTGCGTAATTAGGGGTGTTTGGGGGGTTTAGGGTTTGTTGGGGCCTTAGGGTTTAGGATTTATTGGGGGCTTGTTCGGGTTTAGCGGTTAGGGAGTGGAATTGTGTCATTTTCCGATACGTACCACCAACCCGCCCCAACACACCGCACCACCATGTGCAACATCTAATATTCAGAATCCATAGCTAAGTATGAAGCATCACTTGCCTGTAGACCTTCTATGATGCTGAATCCAATATTGGCCAAACCGAAAAGGGTTTACAGTGGAGACTTATAGGTAGAGTCCAGGGGAGCGCTGGGGTTTAAGGTTTAGGGAGTTTACGGGGTTTAGGTTTAGGGTGTAGGGACAGCTGCCACGACCTGGAGAGGCAGAGGGGGAGGGAGAGGGAGAGGGAGAGCCCGAAGCCCTTATGGTCCTTGACGCTGGAAGGATCAAGCTTCTGGAATGATGTCTGTCTATGGGTCCTGAGTAACGACCACTACTACTGGTCCTTCAGGGCTCCTTTGTGTGGCCGTTGCGTTTATATTACAACCCCAGAACCACCTATAGTCTCCATTGTAGTTCCTTTTTTGGGGTTTAACCAAATATATAATTAGGATCCTATAAGGTAACCCCAAAAAGGAACTACAATGGAGACGATAGGCATGTTCTGAGTATGACTACGATCCGATCTGGGGTCAGAGTTTCTGGGTTTCCGAAAATAGGGGACCCTAAGATGGTACCCCAAATAGTAGGATCCTTATTAGAAGGACCCCCAAAGAGGGTAAATTCGGAAACTCCCAGTGGAGCTTCATGGTTTTGAGCTTCGGCGTTTAAGATTTAGGGCTTCCGCAGGTGCGAAGACTGCAGAACCGTTTTCGTTTCTCTCACATAGCGGACTGTCACCCTTATGGTCCCGAAGACCTTATAACTAGCCCAGAAGGTCCAAGTACCCAAATAGTAGGGTTTTAGACCCCAAAATCCATACCCTGAATGGTTTTTGGACCTTGAAACCCTACTATTTGGGTACTTGGACCCTTAGGCTAGGTATTCGGGCTTCACTTGCTAGTGACGTTAGTGCCGAAACTTGGGCCCTAAGAAAGGCGATCGCGAGGTGGTTGCTGGAGAACTGCTCACGGCCTGGAGCACAGGATCTACACCTCCACGGCCGACTCCCTCAGGAAGGCCGTGAAACACCGCCTCCTGGAGAACAAGCGCCCGATCGTGCCGGACGACCCGCACGACGCCTCGAGGACCCATGAAGTTCGCGGGCAACGACGACCCGGCACTCTCTGGAGGGCGGAAGTACGGGCCATTTGCAAAATCGGTGATCGTCTTTAAAGGATTCCGGGAAATTTGTTTTGAGAGGCAGTTGGGTTGTCCCCAGAGCAGCCAGCAAGGCGCGAAGCCTTCACGGATTAGGATGGTTAGAGCCTTTCGGCTTTCCCTTGGTAGTTCCTTTTGGGGAGCCTCCCCTCCCGCAGAGCCTTCAAAGGGTTCAGGGTGTAGGGGTTTAGGGGTTTAGGGTTTTGGCCCCATAGAAGTTCTTTTTGTGGATTACCTGATAGGATTCTAAGATGAACCTCAAAAAGGAACTACGTTGGGGCGTATGGGTACAGACTGTACATCCTCAGCCCTCCGATCCCGGCAATAATCCCGTAGCAAGACAAGTTGACGGTTGTAGGGTTTACCGGTTTAGGGTTTAGGGTTTAGGGGTTTACTAGGGCGGGGTAACCTCGACAACAGAAAGGTGATTGGGGGAAGGACACGTTACACGTGCGTCAGACAAAACGAACCTGACGCGCAGGCGCAGCAAACTCGTGGCGAAGGCGGCTTGCTTTTGTGTACAGTAAAAGCCCCAAATGTGGAAACCCAACAGCTTCAATCCTTAATAAGAGTAATGTATAGGGAATCCCAGCACTGTTTGGCCTTAGTCCGGTTTCCAACTTTATGGGGTTTACTATATCTACTGTTGGGGCTTTCTTGCGCTGTCCTTTGTACACCGGTCGTCTGGAGGATCGTTGCGATCATGGTGTTTGTCGGTGTGGTGGTTAGTACTATCCTGGCTTCATGGTATCATGGTCGTCGCGACGCTGTTACCTGCCTTTTCGTGTTTGTTTCAGGGTTCAGGGTTGCGGGGTGCAGATGGGGTTTAAGGTTTGGAGGGGACGCCCTGAAAAGCGGTTCAGTGTTTGGGGCCTTTGAAGCAACGCCTGCTCGTAAAATGGTCCAAGTATACAAGTATAGTGCATACTTTTGGGGCAGCAATATATGATACATGTACTAAGTACCCAATATGTCGCTACTTGGACGCTTTGGGATTGTGGAGTTGAAGGTCTATGAGTAGTACCCTAGGGCTCCATAGTAGTTCCTTATTTAGAATCCTATAAGGTAACCCCAAAAAGGAACTACTATGGAGCCTTTCGGTAGCTTCATGTTTCGGGCTTCTTCGGAGTATCAAGCCTCAAGGGCCCTCGATCCCCAACCCATACCTTAACCCCAAATAACCTACCTTTTTAGGGACTATATAAAGAAGTCATATTACGGGGCCCTAAGAAGGTTCCTTAGGGTCCAGGTAAGCCTTATGCTTCAGAGCGAACACGTCGATGAACCATCAAATCCCATCCCCAGTGGGCCCGAGTACCAAGGTACTTATAGTCTCCATTGTAGTTCCTTTTTTGGTTAACCAGTTTTATGGTTAGGATCCTATAATATCGATTTTGGTTAACCAGAAAAAGGAACTACAATGTAGACTATAGGTAGTAGGTACTTCTTTGAGGCTTCGGGTTTTGGGTTTGGGGTTAGCTTATTAGTAGATATTCGGGCCCCAAACGTATATACTGCACTACTACTTGCACTCTCTGGATCTGGTCTCCATCTCTTGACGTTGTAAGAGGTAGTGCTTCTGGCTTCTATGCGCTTGGTGCGAGTATATCCCTCTAGGGATCAAAATAGCCCAAAAGACTTATATAGTATGGTCTTCGGGCCCAAAAGCCCTAATATAATATGAGTCCTTAGACCCCTAGGGTAAGGGGCTTCCTATATGAATTCTGATTCTGATGCGCTTATTTCTTGGATTTAACCACTGGCAGGCCAGCCATGACACCCTGATTCATATGGGGCTTCCGAGACATACCTGGACCCTAAGGAACCTACCTGTTTTAGTTCCCTAACATGATTTCTTTATATAAGTCCTTAAACGGGTAGGCAATTTGGGGTTAAGGTATGGGATAAGCACTACACTCTAAGCCTGCATGTGTAGGGATCCTCGCATCATTTTCACTAAACCCCCACACCCGACACCCCTAAGCCGCTAGACGAGAAAGGATCCTGTTGTAGAGGGACGAACCGTGGGTCCCTCGCAGTTAAAGAAACTCCGATAGACAGCCTCGTATCCTAGGGTTCAAAATCGCCCAAAAGCCTTATATAGTATGGTCTTTGGGCCCAAAAGCCTTAATATATGAGTCCTTAGATCCCTAGAAGTATCCAGGTCTGAAGAATCAGTGTCGGGTTTTGCAAGAGTTCGTGGTTTCGGAACAGTATGGGTAGCCTCCCCGCATCGGTTTAGCGTTTAGGGTTCCATACTCCCAACCCTTATTCTAATTATTACAGGCTCTGTCGTAGCCGCAACACATGAACCCCTGAACCGACCACAGTAATGAAGCCAAGCCCCCTATCCCCTGAACAATAGGCACCCCAATATCAACTGCGATGAACTCTGCGCTCCCCTCTGACAGCCCCAACCCTCGACCTGAATCTGAAACCTCACGGAGCACGTCACGGGAGAGTTTCTGAAATCCTACATGCCCAAAAGTCGAATCCTAGTCTCTGTAGATGTGCAGGGGCGGCGGCAGCCGTCCAAGCCGTGACCGGAGGACTGCCCGGCAGGTTGCACCAAAGAGCCACCGAGCTCCTTGTTGCTTTCCCAAAAGCTCCATGTACCTTTATAGTAGATACTTAGGCCTTAAAGGGGTCCCTATATAGGTACTTCAAGGCCTATGTATCTACTATATGGGTACATGGAGCCTTAGGGTTTAGGGCGTTTTCAGGCGCGTAAGTTTTTTGGGGGTTAAGAGGCAATTCCAGAAAGGAACGACTATGGGGCCTATGGGTCGGTGTAGGGCAGGTAAATGATGGCTTTGGGAGTCAAGGTTTGTAGGGGCGTCAGAGCTTCTTGGCAATTATTAGGGGACAAAAAAGCACATAAGCATAAACATTTTATAGGGATATCCCTACCATAGTGGGCTTCCTTATAAGGGGGTTTATATGGGATATCCTCATCCTAATTTTTGCTTCTGTACTGTTTTGGGGCTCTAAATTAAGCGTCTTGAACCCGAATACCTAAGCACTAGGCCTTGTGACCGCTTCAAGCCATAGACCACAGCCTCTCAAAACCCTATCATAAACGCCCGGTAAAACCCTTGTAGATCCCCTGCTTTATCCGAAACTTAAATGTTTTGATATTCAAGCCTCCCCCAAGCCTTTACATTTACTATAGGGGCCTTAATCATTAAATAGAAAAGGGTTTTGGGGCCCGTTATACTATAACCACAATAAGGAACCCCAAAATAGCCCTAAGCCCGAAACCCTGCAGTTTGGGATCTCGAAAGTGTGTGATGGGCCTTTCCAGAGGGATTCGACGGTGTGTACCCTAGTTCCTTTTGGGGGTTCATATTTAGAATCCTGTAAGGTAATTCAATAAAGGAACTACTATGGAGCCTTTGGGTTTGAGTTTTATACGAGGTTTTCAGGACGTGCATAGCAGTATAAGCCTGTTTCAAGTCTTCTCTACATTCTCCTGCTTGCGAACCTAAGAGTCACAGCTTAGGGTTTGGGGGCTTACCGTTTCGTGTTAACATTACAAGCTTTAGGTGGACGTTCTATAGGGTTCCACTAAGGATTACGCTGCGATCGAGCGTCAGTGGCCGGGGTTTCGGGGTTTTTGGTGTAATTAGGCTTGGGGTTCACGCGGTTTGGCTTTTCGGGTTAAGGGTTTGGTACGTGGGGCTTGGGGTGTAGTAAACAAGGAAGTCTTCTCGTTTGGCCCGGGCTGCAGCAACACAGGTTTTTCACGTGATCGTGCCTGAAGGACATACGTTGGAGTTTCAGATAGTAGTACGGGGTTTCTATCATTGACGCTACTGTAAACGGTAGGTACAGAGCTCTATACAAGGGATACCGAAAATTCAAGAAGTCTCAATGTATGCAGGCTGTAAGATGGAAAGCTGATAAAATGCTAATGTGGTTCCTTTCATTCCTGATTTTCGCGGCATAGTCTGATATGCCCCCAAGGCCCATTCAAATGATGAAGGCCCTATACCCTATACCCAAACCCTATAAAACCCTTGAGACCCTTCGAAACCCTTTAACGAGTCCTTTAAATTACAAGGAGAGCGACTCTAATCGTGAAGGCCCCTGTATTGCGTGAGGGCCAGGGATTTTCGAAAGTAGGTTGCCGAATCTCTGGAGGGGTGCAGAACCCGTCGTGTGCAAGAAACCTTGAACTCTACAAGGTTTAGGGGTTTAGGGTTTAGGGTAGGGTTTAGCGCTTCGCAGCTAGGGTGTAGGGTTTAGGGCCTGGGTTGGCTTAAGGTTTTGGCTTAGGCTGGTTACTCCATATGTCTAAGGTCTTTCTTTGTCTTGCAGATTTACAAAAAGACAAAGCCTATAACTGCCGAAGCCCAAGAACCCTCAGCCCCAAACCCTAAGGTGTGCCTCCAGCTTACCATGAAGCCTTGGCTATACAGACCGGTCTGGACGTATTACTTTAACAATCTAGTTTTTATTGTTTGTGACGCTCTCCATCAGGCCCGTTGTTGTCGCTTCCGCTGGAAGCAGTTGAAGTTATATGGGCGTTTCCGAAAACAGAGGTACCTCATTTTGGGGTCCTTTTATAATAAGGAGCCTACTATTTGGGGTGCAGATGATTGATGTCGCAGTACAATGTAGGCTGTGGCCGTTCAAGCATGTTCACAACCTTGTCGTGATTCATCTTGGAAGCTTGCGTGCATGTTGCTTGTTGCTGCTTCAAGGGCATACACGGAGCAAAGACTACCAACAGATTCAATAAATTTGATGAGTGTACTTGCACCAGCAAAGCAAGGCCAGGCCTCCACCCGCTTTGATTTTGCAACATGGCGTAGGACTGGGCGGGAGTACTGCTTAAAAACTGGACGTCTGTGAAGTCATGTGAAGATTTTATGATGTCGGTGGCGCTGAGCTGGCGATATACAATGCCGCGCATGCAGTCTGTAAAGGTTCCCCATCAGTTCACAGCTGTTGGCTGTGAAGCCCATGCGTGTGTTCGTATGGATAGGTGTAAGTATGTAAATTTCTCTCTGTATGTATGTTAGTCAGTCTGTCCGTGTGTCTGTCTGTTATCATGTGTGCATGTGTATGCATGTGTAAGATTGTCGTATGTGTATGTATGTGCATGAAGGCACGTACGCAAGCATGCATGTTTGTTTGCTCTGGTCATTATTGCGCACACGCCAGATTGAGATATTTCATTCGGCGGTATTTGATACAAGATTTTTCACATTTTTCAATTTAAGCGATAGGCTCCGTACCCCAATTGCACTATACCTGTACCCACAACCCACTGAACCCTAACCATAGTTTGAAATCTTTAAAACTCGTTGGGTTGAGCCTACACCGCCTGTGGGCCAAGAGCCTTCGAAACCTCACACGAAAACGTAATGCTTAAGCTCTATCCTCACGGTTGACGGCACCCCAAGCATGTTGTTTCGGGTACCAAAACCGTTCAGAATATAGTATGTCAGTAGTCGTATTGAATGCCCAGTTCTTGAGTACTCGGACCTTCTACATATATGGTCGCTTTCAGGTTGTTGTGACTTGCAACATCTTGAACCCAAACCTGAAATTAACTTCCAAGGCCTGAGTTCTTAAGCTATACACCGTAATACACCGTAAAGCCTGAAACTTCCAACCCTTAAAGTCTGAATCCTCAATGATTTATCCGATCCCTTAACCCGACACCTTAATCCCCACCACTCACATCAACAGTAATATGGGGGCCCAAGTAATTACCAATACTATTTTAGGGGCTCCCTATTATAAGTTTAGTATAGCAAGGGGCCCTAAAACCCTATACTAAGTATTAAGCCCCCTACAGAACAAGATGGAACCAGCACGCAGGAGTCGTGAGGCCGGCAATTCACGGAGCAGAGCGGTTGTAGGTCGATTAAGGTTTAGAGTTTGGGGGGCGAAGGTATCGATTAACATGGGATGTGCAGTCGTAGAGCCTAATAGAGCCAAGACCCCCCCCAAAAAAAAAAAATCCGACATGTTTATTGGTCCTGGGCACAAAGATCTTGAAGGTGGTTCTTGCGTTTTTGAGCTCCGGTGTTTGCAGGAATTAATTGGCAAGGGGTCATTTGTAAGGGTCGCCTCGTTTCCTGCCATTCCCAAATGCTTGGTTCTTGTTACAGAATTCAAATTTAAGTTACATTATAAGGAGGGGTTAGTTGTTAGTTACTACAGCTCCCTCTTGTGGTGATTCCCGTAACACTGACACAGAACAACACCTCGAGGGAACGGCTTACAGTTTAGGGTGTTAGATTCTCCTACAGTGCTGCAGTAATGGATAGGCGCTGTATGACGTCCGAGTGCGTGGACATTGCTGAGAGAAGCGATGCAGATGTACGGCGTGTCGCGAGCTTCGTTTTTTGCCAAAACTAGGTGTTCCTGAATCTTGGCATGGCCCCCGCCGTCTTGCTTGCGCCTAGACCCCAGAACCCCAAACTAACCGTCAAGATCATTTTTCAAGATCGTCTTCACAGCTCGGGCTGGGCTGGTTGGATCCTTCAGGGTCCGAGAGCTCTGAACTGCTCCCTCCGAGGTTCGGATTTGTAGAGTTTGGCTCAGCATGTTCCACGTTATTTACACCTTGCGAGCAAAGCACTTGACGCCTAGATTCCGGCAACGTGGTTTCTCAACACATGAAGTTACGACATTGTGTGAAGCACTGTGACTGCAGATCAAAGACCATTTCAAGCCAGCATACGTGCTCTAAGAACCCGCACAGTGCTCAAAGGCATTTCGGTATTAACAATTTCTATCCCTAAGGCTCCATGTACCCATATAGTATATACTTAGATCAGGCCTTAAAGTAAATATATAGGCACCCCTTTAAGGCCAAAGTATCTACTATGAAGGTACATGGAGCCTTTGGATATTCTGTCTGGGCCAAAGGTTCATAGGTGTAGGCACTTGAGGATCTGTTGGTCAACGAACCCAGAGGCTTCAAGCAAAAGTATGGTATTTGCTTTCGGGACCCATATATATATATATATATATCTATATCTATATCTATATACTAAGTACCTGCATGTTGTGCTCTTTGCCCTTTAGATTACAGGTTTAACTGTCAGGGCTTCTGGAAGTGCCTAGTATATGCTAAGCACCGTCTCTATTGATACACTCTAAACCCTAAATCCCGAACCCTGAAATGCTAAGTACCGTCTCTATTGAACCCTGGCCATCCCTCCTGGCCTACTGGCCTTTTTTCTACGCTGCAGACTGCTGCCTCTTGGGAAAAGGAGCTTACAAACAACTTGAAGCCTATTTAAACTTCAAACCCATGAAGACGGACTATTAAGGACCATACTTAGGCCTCTATCAAAGGGCCCTTGGGGTCCTGGTTGGTACTTGGACCCTTTAGGGAAGACTTGCTGACACACCAGGAGCCCCGAAGCCGACCTATGTCTCCCATTGCCCGTTTGTTGTTCCAATGACTATACAGGCCTGAAACTTGTTGAATTCCAATAAGGCTTCGGGGTGTGTGTGTGTGTGTGTCTGGGACCTAGAGTAGGCCGAAAAGGCCACCTTTTTTATTCCTGGGTTACTCTTGGGTCTAGGCGTGTTTTTTGTTGGTATACTTACCCAGGAACCCTGAGGAATAGACTTGGCAACTACTCCTGTCCCAATCTGACTTACTGTTGTTTCTGTTGTCTCTGTGTTTCACCTTATAACTCACTCGGGTCGGAGCCTACTACTGTGACCGGTGTCAGGCAAAGGTAGCCTTTGCTGTGATCGTAATTTCCCAAACTTTTCATGCAGGCTGCTTCGGGTGGCTACCGCTTTGGCGAGCCTGAAGCCGTGGAATCGCTGGAGGTCGCCCCCGAAACCTGGACCCCAGACTCTACACCGTAAGCCACAAACCTGTGTGTGTGTGTATTCATGGGCAGAGTTTGAATTCATGGAGGTGCCTGGCGCCATCATTAACGAACAAGCCGATGCAGGTGCTTTTTAAGGTGTTCATGATGTAACGGGCCCGTCTAAGGTAGAGGTCTGAATGATTAGTAGTAGTATCCGTTGATAGTCCATGAATAACGGTAACGAAATCGAGCTCGACAACTACCTATAGCTCCAAGATGGCCCAGTCATATTGCATGTGGCTGAGATCCCAATACCACTACCATGTCAGCGTGCCGGAGGAATGCCTGGAATCTATGACATCGTGCAACGATTGAGTTGTTATGCGTAGGTAGGACCGGTGTCCATCCGTGACACGCTTCGACAGCTTGATTTCGAAAAGCCTAAAAGTTACTAAAAGTCTCAGAGCTTCCGTTGATTGTTTAGGGATTTAGGGTGTAGGAGACAGGGCTTTGAGATTTTGGAGTTTAGTGTGGGTTTTAGGGGTCAGGGTTTAGGATTTTAGAGTTTAGGTCTGGGTTTAGAAGGTTTTGGGTACAGTTTAGAGTTGAAGGTTTCGAGTTCATACTCCATACATTACATAAACCTGGGTTTGGAGTACCATACTTGAACTCTTTTTTGGTACCTGCCCCTTAAAGGAGCCAAAATGAAATAAAAGTCTCTACATTTTTCTCCCTGCTTACTTGAAAGTCCAGTACATCACCAGGCTCGAGGAAAGGCAATAGTGGGTTTGCTCCTCGCTTCAAGAGTACCGCTGTTCGGCAGCAGATGGAACTCCTCCCAACTATAGTTCAGAAGCGTGTAGAGGAGTGTAGAGGATCATTGCAACTCGAAATCCCTCAATTTAGAGACAATGGGCTTAGGGTAGGGCTCGTGTGAAGCAGCTTGGTTAATTATTAGCCAGAGTTATCATGGCAACAGAAAGCTTACGACTATTCGTTTGTTGTAGACTCCCTCAGCACGCAGTTCCTAAGCCCCATCAAGCCTACGATCCTGAAACCATCGACGAACCTAGGTAGCGCCCTGAACAGATCCTTTGAAGGAGCCATTACATGAAACCCCCTAAACCAAGAGCTCCAAAACCAAAGTCCCAAAACCCAACACCCCTAAACCCAAAGCCCCAAAACCCCCACAATCCCTCGCGACAAGAAGCCGTAGGAACTGCAAAAGCAGCTCGACGAAGCTGCCACCGAGGATCCTTCTCAAGAGTTCTCTTTAGGTTGTAATATAGGGGTCTTAATGCGGGCTTTTCGGGCTCATTCTACTATACTTATATTAAGGCGCCCCCCCCAAAACAGTATTGGTAGTCATTTAGGCCCCTAGAGAAGGACAGGCCTGCTTGGAGTCTCCAAGGAATACTAGACGGGTGGTTCAATAAGGGTGTTGTAAAACAGTAAGAGAAGGTACAATCCCTAAACCCTGGGCCCTAGAGGGTTGGTTTAATTCAACCCTTAGAGGAGATCTTTAAGTTGCAGACTTCCTAGGGTGTTACTTAGAGGCCCAGGGGACTTCGTAAGTCGGCTGTAAGTAGGGTTATACTCGGGGAGACTATAGGGTACCTGAAGCTCTATTCATAATCTAGTTACTACAAAAGATTTCTTGTAGCACCCTTCATGTTTATTAGGATCCCTATTCTGTATTTAAGTGAAGAGGTTTGCGCTTCAGGGAGGAGTTTAACATTGCTTCCTGCAAACCCCAAACCCTAAACCCTAAACCCTAAACCCTAAACCCTAAACCCTAAGCCCTAAACCCTAAACCCTAAACCCTAAACCCTAAACCCTAAACCCTAAGCCCTAAACCCTAAACCCTAAACCCTAAATGCCCACGAAACCTCATCGGGTAGGCCCGGACCACGACAAAATTGTAGGTTTATGATCCCCATCCCTGGGGCCACCTATAGTCTCCATTGTAGTTCCTTTTTTGGGTTAGCCAGTTTTCTGGGGTTAGGATCCTATAATATCGATTTTTGTTAACCAGAAAAAAGGAACTACAGTGGAGACTATAGGTATACCTCGAAATCCTGCAGTGCCCTCAAAGTTGCGGAGAAGTGGAAACACCGGCAGGCAGACGCCGGCAAGAATCTTAAACTCCAATCGCCAAACTCCCATGTAGCCAGGACTGCAGTTTGAAGCCATGGGGAAGAGGCTGTAAGATAGGAGAGTGACGCAACAGCGGTGGGTCCCACCGATGGCCCTGCGGTCCAACACCACAACTCAAAAGGGCTGGCCCTAAACCCTAAACCCTGCCACAAGTTAGACGACTTCCATCTGAAGGAGATTCGGGTCGGCAAGCAGTACCTATAGGGTCATACCCTACCCCTTTTCTAAGGTACCTACTTTTCTATATCAGAGAGTCTAACCATAAAACTAGGTACCCTAAAAATGCGGCAGGGTATGAGCCTCTAGGTATGTCACAGCTGCGGAAAGCGCCCATCTGCTGTCGAAGCGAGGGTGGCTGGTGGCTCTTCGGCATAAAGAGGAAACGTCCTCCGAGCTCTTCTGCAGGAGGAGTTCGAGGCCAACCGCTGAAACAGCCCAGGCCTATACCACCTTTCAAACCCAGAGAACCTTTGTGGCCTGAAGCTTGGTCTTGAAGGCGCCCCCCTAAACCCTTATAAACCCTAAACTAAACCCTAAACCCTATAAACTCTAAACCCTCTTCCCACTTAAACTAGACCCTAAACCCCATGAACTCTAAACCCTCTTCCCAACAGCTCTAGGTGCCCTTAGATCTACTGCACAAACTGCTGTGCCGCTTCGGCGGCCTCTGGGTTAGCCGATCATATAAGGATCCTACTGTCTAGGGTAGGGTTTAGGGTTTTGGGTTTTGGGTTTAGGGTTTAGGGTTTAGGCTTTAGGGTTTAGGGTTTGGCGTTTTAGGGTTTTAGGGGTTTATAGGGTTTAGGGTTTAGGGGTACTACATGAGGGCCCCCAATTTTCGGAAGCTCCCTTGTGAGCCGCATTTAGCGCTAAGGGCGACGGATTAGGAGCGTGTAGGATGGAAGTGCCCTCTTGGGGTGACCTACCCAGTGCAATACTGCTGAATTGTACTACTACTGCATTACCACCGTACTGACGGGTAAGCAGCCCAGGGTGCAAACGTTAAAGATTGACCCTAAACATATACTATATGCCCCAAAACCCCAGCCCCCGACGCCCTAAGTGCTAAATATAGCTCCCAAGCAAGTTTCCGAAAATTGGGGACCCTAATATATAGTACTTATGATAAGGACCCCAACTATCCCTAATTTTCAGAAACTCCCAATAATCCAGGAGCAGAGCCTTCGCGAGCGCCTGCGCAGCCTTGAACATGAGCTGGCGGGCATTTCCCAGCGACGCCTGCAGGGTTGGGGTGGAGTTGTTGTTGGTGGTAGTAGTAGTGGCGGTGAGAGCAGTAGCAGTAGCAGTAGCAGTAGCAGTAGCAGTAGGAGCAGGAGCAGGAGCAGGAGCAGTAGCAGTAGGAGTAGGAGTAGGAGTAGGAGTAGGAGTAGGAGTAGGAGTAGGAGTAGAAGTAGGAGTAGGAGTAGGAGTAGGAGTAGGAGTAGCAGTAGCAGTAGCAGTAGCAGTAGCAGTAGCAGTAGCAGTAGTAGCAGTAGCAGTAGCAGTAGCAGTAGCAGTAGCAGTAGCAGTAGCAGTAGTAGTAGCAGTAGTAGTAGTAGTAGCAGTAGCAGTAGCAGTAGCAGTAGCAGTAGTAGTAGTAGTAGTAGTAGTAGTAGTAGTAGTAGTAGCATTAGTATTAGTATTAGCATTAGTATTAGTATTAGTATTGGTAGTAGTAGTGGTAGTTGTTGTTGTTGTCGTCATTGTAGTGGTATTGTGCGGTATGCAATTGCACTAGCAGCACGAGTAGTACAAGTAGCACGAGCAGAACGACTAGTAAATAGTACTAGAAGTACGAGTAGTACTAGTCAGTCGTACTAGTTGTACCAGTAGTACTGGTAGTACTAGTCGCACTAGCAGTACCAGGAGCACAAGTCATACTAGCAGCGCGAGTAGTAGGAGTAGTAGTAGTAGTAGACTTTTGTTCCAACAACTGCGCCCCCTAGATTATTTCGAGCCGGGCCAGAAAGTGGAACATGAGGTCAACATGAAATTTGTCCCGCCCGTTGGGTGTTAGGTTTCGGGGTTTCTCGTATTCGGGTTCAGGAGCTTTGGGTTGATGATTCAGCAGTTTTGGGGGTATGGGAGTACGTTCCCTCCTTGGCTTCTTTCCGCCCAAACTCTGTCTTCGGGTCTTCCCAGCTAGACGTTGAGAGACTTCCTATCGTTCGTGCTGGTGCATGAAAGCTTTCTAGGCTGCTTCGTAAGTCGGTTATAAGAGTTAGTACCCTAAGTGGGTTCCCCCGAATATTACTCTACTTATAAACGATAAACGAATTACTAAGTCCCCTGGGCCTCTTAGTATTCTCCAAAAACCCTTTTCTTGGCAGAGCCACGACAGTCGCAATCAGATTGCACCTTGAAAATGCTCAACCTCAGACACCAAAACCCCAATCCCTACAGCCTAAAGCCTAAACCCTAAACCCCAATCCCTACATCTAGGACCCAGAGTAAGCCCTTATTCCCTCTTTTTAGGGTTAAGGTTCCCTTATAACCCCGTCTAAACCAAAAAGGGCACCCTTTTTATTCCTAGGTTACTCTTAGGTCTAGACATCCTAAAGCCGGGTCCGTTATACTACTATTATGGAGTTAGGTCACCCAAAGGTCTCTTGGGGTCCCTATATTGATACCACTATTATGAGATCTAGGTCCCAAAACCATACTAGGGAAGGTCTTTTGAGACCTAAGTCCATAATGGTAGTATATATGGACCCTCTTGCTTATAGAGTGCTGGATGACACTGTACGGCTTGAAGGTCCCAGCATCATACCAGATCGGGTGATTTCCATGTTGTGCCTTAGGCCTAAGCTCGAACAACTTCTCTCTATAGTGGGTGCGGCAAAAGCGAGAGTAGACTCCCCCTAAACCCTAAACCCTAAACCCTAAACCCTTCCACTCTGAGCCCCAACTGCAGGCGCAGAAGGGCGGCAGGGATGGCGAGGCAGGAGTGCCCTAGAAAATGGAGCTGGGCTTGAGACTTTCGCGGCCGGTGACTGCACTTGACTGACCCTCGAAGCCTAAAACAGGGGGCTAAAGAATGTGATCGTAGTATAATTTGCTTCAAAACTCTGTTGTGATTTTTGAGGTCCCCGTATTAGATTAAATGCCAAAGCTTACTCATTCGAAGGGTTTCGTGGCTACTGGTAGTAGCTGGTAGGAGGGGGCGGTGGTGCGACTCGCTGCAGGGTTCGGGTCCGGAGTTTTGTGGGTTTAGTTTAGGGTTTAGGGGTTTAGGGGTTTAGGGGTTTAGGGTTTAGGGTTTAGGGTTTAGGGGTTTAGGGTTTAGGGGTTTAGGGTTTAGGGTTTAGGATTTCGGGCCAGGTGTAGGGACGTAGTTTAATGGAAGTTTGCGGGGCTTCAGGGTTTAATTAAAGCGTTTCGGGTTTCGGGCTAGGCGTAGGTTCATAGTAAGTGGCATAAAGTAAGAGCCTGAAAATGCTAGGGAATTGGAAGCTAGTGTCATGAGTTAATCCTAACAACCCAAGGCTTAAAGGTTGACACGGATGCAAATCTATCAGTTGCCTAGTCCTGCTGCTCGTAGGGACCCCTCCTCATGAATCAACAGGCGGTCCGGAAAGAATGCAGACGACGCACCCGGAATCCCTTTGCCGTGCAACCTGAGCCTTTAAAGCTTTCGGCGCATCGAGCCTACTGTAACCCAACTCCACGGCTGTCTAACAACCACCAGCTCAGACTGCACGCGTGCTCTTAGCCTGCTCGGTGAATGTCCTGACAAGCAACGCCGAGAACGACCGCCATTAATGGATATGACACAACACTTCCCAAAGGCCCCAAAGTAGTTCCTTTTGGGGGTTCATATATAGAACCCTATAAGGTAATCCCCAAAAGAAACTACTTGGGGGCCTCAGGGTAGAAAGGAAGTCTAGCAAGACTTGCAGACTGATAGCTCAGGAGGCACCCGGACAGATCTTACTGAAGCAAACGAATCCCCACATGTCAAGAGCCTCACAAGGCACCAAAACGCCCGCAAAGTTACTGTACCCTGAACCCAGAAGCCTTGGTAAATCACCAAACCCTGCGCCCCTAGACCCTAAACCCCTAAACCCCTAAGCGCTAAACCCAAACTCTACAAGGCCTCAAAGATTTCTGGAAAAGATTCTAAACATTCAACACGACCATCTTTTAAACAAAAAAATCCAAGGCCCCAAACTGAGTACTCCAAACTGAGTACTGAAGAGGATTGGGGCCACCGCAAGTCGCAGCTGCGCGACTCCATCGATAAAGCGGCCCCGGCCCCAGTTGCGACTGACTGCATACATACAGATTTATAAGGCTTCCTTACAGGGATCTATAAAGGGATCGATAAGGGTTCCTTGCAGGGATCTATAAGGGTTCGATGGAGGGTTTAGGGTTTAGGGTTTCCGAAAATTAGGGGTACCTTGCTGTGGGGTCCGTATAATAAGGCTCCTACTATTTAGGGTGCTATATTGGGGTCGCCTCTTCTCGGGAACTCCCACACACAGACACGTCTACGCATATGCACATAGATGGGTATGTATTTATGTAGGTTGATAGGCATGCATGCATGCGGATGGATGCAGAGATGGATGGATGGATGGATAATTAAGTGTTTAGGTATGCCAAAGCCCTGTGTGTATGTATCTGTGTATCGCTGTATCCATGTGTCGCTGTGTGTATGCGTGTATGTGCATTGTGACTGAGTTCTGTGCGCTCTTTAGACTGTTAGTGTTGTCTTTATGGTGTCCGCTGCTTTTTGTTATCATGACCGTCGCCATCACCATCGGCATCAAGAATCATCACTCTTACTTGAGACATCTTTCGAATGCACAACGTGCATGTATTGCTGCTAGTACTGCGGCTGCTTCTGGCGGGATTGTCTGGAGTTCGACTGGTTGTTGCTTGTTCGACTGGTTGTTGCTTCAGTTTTGCAGTTTCAGAGCCATATACAGTTGTTGGGAGGAGCTTTAGGAACGAGCGGTTTATGTTGAACTGGGCGTTGTATCCAGGGGGTTGTGGAGATGATGCGCAGTTCAGTCCCTATGAACCCAGGGCAGAAAAGGGTCAACTGCCGTTGTTTGCGGCATCTCTCGAAACCTTTAGCCCTGACTTTCGAAAGCCAAACCCAACACCCTAAACCATACCGTGTGTGTAGCCTCTTGTAATTTATTTCGTGGGATTTGTTGAATGCATTTGTAGCATACGCTGCAGACCCTAGTTTAACCATGCAGGCCCCCACATTTCGGGGTTCAGGGTTTATGCGGCCTCTGCCCTGCACCCCTAAGCCCCGCAAAACCTGGACACGAAATCCCATTTCGGTGCCCCTAAACCCTAAGCCCTGAACCCTAAACCCTGCAGATCCCCTAGCCCTAAACCCTAAACCATAGGCCGCAACCGTTCAAGATCTCCGGGAGCAGCGGAACTCGATTCTACGGGGCGATGCCGGGGACCTGGTAAGTACGGGGCAGCGCACCATGTTCCGCCGCCTCGGCTCCCGAATTGTCTTACGAATCGCTGTTGGGAGTCATCGTTTGGAGTTCTAGGAGTTGCTGCTACTACGTGCTTCGGGAGCATCTGTCGCTCATGCACGATCCTGTGTATCACTGTATAAGAGGGATCTGCCTAACGCCATCTCAACAGCCTCGCAGCCCACCGAAGGGACTTCTCCGACGATCCCAAACCTTCGTTCGCCTCGGGTTCTGAGAAGCAGAATTTGGGCCCCCAGGTTGTGGTTAGCGCGACAGTGTGGGTCGTGAAGAGAAGAACCCTGTTTGCATAGCTCCGGCCCCACCTGCTGCCTGGTTGCGAAGCCTGCTGACCCATCAACCCTACTATACTTGGAGGTTCAGGGGTAGTTATAAGTACGGTTATACGTCCCTTATTATGGGTCATAAGTACAGTTACCCTACTTATAACCCTATTTATAACTCCCCAAGTAGGAGCCTTAATAATTTCATTCGAATAAGGTTTGGGGTTTGATGGGGATGAGCTTCATGGGTCTTCTGAGGGTGGATTTCCCTAGCCGACCCATCCCTTGAGGCCATTTTGAGTGGCATGCCCATGCAGTTGCTTCTGCAGCAGATGGCCAGTGCAGGCGAGAGCTCCGAGGCTGTGCAACGGACTGCCCAGAGCTGGCTGACTTCGAAGCAGGCCATGTTGGCTGGTCTGCAAGCGACATATCGTCTCCGAGAGCTCTCCCGTTACCTCAGGTCCCTCTGGGTCCAGGTGAGAGGGTTGCCCGATCGCCGTCATTCGGTCGAGCTGATTGGCTCCCAGCTCTCCAGCTGTTTGGACATAGACCTTCGTCGATGCGGCCTGGTCTACTTGGTGACCTTCCCGGACAGTAATGTCTTCAAGGTCGGCTTCTCCAATTGGTCCAATTTGTGGAAGCGCTTGAACAAGGCAGAGATGCTCGTCTGTGTGCCAGGTCGTCTGCGAGCCATCCAGGCGGTAGAAGGATCCGCCTGGATGGCTGAACAGCTTGTCCATGGTTTCCTCCACGACCGGCACGACTTGGACAAGTTCTACTGGTCGGAGCAGAAGCAGGTGACCACAACCGGCTACTCGGAGTGGTACCACCTGTCTCTCTGTGATGCCGCCTATGACTTCATGGCAAGCCTGGTGGGCATGTCGCCGGAGCAGATGGTGCGCCTGCAGAAGCAGTACTGGGCGAAGTGGATGGCGAGAGTGAGAGCCCTGCCCCCAACGGCCTTTCGCACCGCGATGAAGCTCATCCCCTAAAAACCAACCCTAAACTCTAAGCCCTTAAAGGAGCCCTCCCTCTTAAACCCCCCAACTTCCCTCTTCGATGCCCCAAAATGGAGCCCTAAACCCGAATCCCATCTAATCTCTAAACCCTAAACCCTAAGCCCTGACAATCAGAGGAGCCCTCCCTCCTAGCCCCCCAACTTCCCTCTTGTACCCTCAACCTCGCAGGGAGCCCCAAACTAAGCCCTTTAAGTCCTTAAAATTAAAGGAGCCCTCCCTCCGGCTTCCGGAGGATCCCAAGATCCGAGAAGAGCAGCAAACCCGGGAGGAGATCAAGCGGTTTTGGGCCCAAGATTCCAAGTGATACAAATAGGATTCCTTCAAGCGTGTTTTTAAAAGGGTTTTTGTTAAGGGCTCTTTACGGGTTCTTTTAAGGGCTCCTTTAAAAAGGCTCCTTTAAGGGCTCCGTTAAAAGGACTCTTTTAAGGGTCCTATAAGGGCTTGGGGTATAAGGGTCCAAGTCTACCACTGGTACCTACTTGGGGCTATTATTTGGAGCCTTAGGGATGAGAGCAGAGTCGACAAGCCCAGGGATTTAGGGGCTTGGGGGTGTGGGGTTTGGGGTTGGGGGGTTTAGGGGTGTAGGGGTTTAGAGGTTCGGGGGATTGGGATTTGGATTTTTTTGCGGTTCTGGATTTAGGGTTTTGGCTTTTGGCTGGCTATAAGGCTATTTTATCAGACCTAATGACTGTAGCTATAAAAAGGGTTTCTATAAGGGTTACAATATGCAGGTAATAAGGGTTTCGAGAAGGCTACTAGAATTGGTACTTTACGGTTTCTGTAAGGGTTACAAAACCGTAAGGGTTGACACAATGGCTTGACTACAAAGAGTTTTTTATGAGCGTCCCTATAATGTAACGCTACTATAAGGGTTATATTATGGATTGATACTGTCTTCAAGGGTTACGAGAAATATGGACATTAGCGGTGTTTCGGTATTTAGCGCTTCATGCAAGGGTCCGGTTCATTTCCCATACCGTAGGGTTCCTTACTACAGTTCTACTATAACACACCTCAAAGCCTTATCTTCTGCTTTTAACTCTAAAGGTCTGTACAAAACTACTTTATAAAAGTTCGATACGGGGTCTACACATATTACTAGAATTCTATGGGTTCTAGAAACAAGTGAGGAGCCTTTAAAGGCTATAGGATTCTTTGTCTCAAGAACTCAAGCCCGCAGCCGAAGAGTGCAAGGTTCAAAGCCTCTGAGCGCTATGCCACAGAGGTGGGATCTGAGATGGCTTCTTCCAAGGGTCCAAGTTATAATATAGTATATACTATATTCTTGGGGTCCCAATATGTACAAAGTACCTACTGTATTGGTACCTGGACCCTTTGGGTTCTAGACTTCTAGCGCCATGTGCCAGATATTCATGCCAACAATCCTTATGCGGAGCATAGCCCCGCCAGCCTTACTCCCCGAACCGATTTCGGGCCATCAAGTCTGCCAGGCAGAGCTGGATGTGCGAATAGAGGAGTTGGAGACGCTGATGTCCGTTTCCGAGAGGGGTGAGGCAGCGGATTCAAGGCTATATAAGGATTTAGCATTCAGGGTTTAGAGGAGGTGGGAGAGTTCAGAATCGTAGAGTCAACTATGTACGCCACATGGGGTCAGATCCTACCCTTCGACCGCAACCCTTTACACTCTGCTTTGTTCAACAGGTGCCTGCCAAAGCTGGAACATTTAAAAACAATGTAAACCCGAACCCTACTTGCACCCTAAAGCTAAAGCTCAAAACCTCTAAACTTTTAAAAGCCCCTGTAGATCCCTTCAAAGGAACTCTGTGGAACCATAAACCTGACAAACCTAGCTCTCTGCGGTACTCTAACCACTAAGCCATGAATTCGACAACTGTTTGTCTTGAAGGACCCCGGAAAACGCGATTTCCAGAAAGCCTCTTTACAACCCTGGACTAAACAAACAAAGCATTACAATATATGAATCCCCGTATACTTGGTGCAATTCTGAGGCCTGGATGATTCTGTGCTGTTTTGGGCCTATCGAAACATGAAGTCTCAGCCCAGCCATTAAACTTGAACCAGCCTTCTGAAATGAGTGGATTGGCTCAATATCGGGGCCTCTAGAACTAAGGTGGGATTTCGGCGCTTATCCTAGTATGACTGAGTATGATAAGGAGCCCTAAACCCTAAACCCTAAACGGTAATTCGTGAGGCTCCCAGGTCTTCTGGCTGGAGGTTCCCAGAGACTCCAATACCCCTTAATTAAGGAATATACCTTAAATCATATTGGGGATCCTATTATAATTTAAGGTATATTCCTTAATTAAGGTATAATGGAGTCTCTAAGTTAGGCAGGCACACGAGATAGCGTTTGACCCCACTCGAAACCATAATACAGGGGCCTTCTGAAACTATAATGATACTATAGTGGCCCCCAAAGTCTTGTTCTAATTTTTAAATAGGGGCCTTATTAAACTGTAATTATAGTACAGTGGCCCCCAAAGCCCTATTCTAGCTGTTAAGGCCTCTGTATTAAGCCCTAACCTCAAGGCTGAAACCCTCGCTCCCCCCTCCCCTTCCCCGCCCCCGCACTTTGAAAAGAACTCGGAAGTTCAGGGGTGGTTATAAGTAGGGTTATAAGCCCCTTAATATGGGTTATAAGTAAAGTTAACGTAACCCTACTTATAACCACCTTGGAACCTCCATGTAAGGTTCGAGACCAACCTGCAGCGTGAGCCCCAGTGGTTGTATTGGGACTCATCAGGGTCTTCAATACCTATATATTGGCTGTAAACTCAACGTTTCAGCTTTTGGAGCCCTGATAAGGCAGTCGATTCTGGAAGTTTCAACTTTTCTTTTGTTGGGTTTTGGGCCAGTGAGAATCTAGGGGGTTGCATCAAGGTTTAGAGTTTAGTGTTAGGGTTTGGATCTATGGGTTCAGCACTGGTACTGTTCAATGTAGTGGTGTCACATGTCGTCTTAGTCATGCAGCCTGACGGTGATGTACCTACAGTCTTTTTGGGGTGGGATGGCATGGGCGGGTCGGCTGGAGTCTGGACCAAGAGTTCTTCCGTATATTTGCAGACCAGGGCGTTGCGGGTGCGTGAGAAAGCAGTCCCTACCAAAACCTTGTTTGGAGGAGGGTAGGGGTTGGTGTCGACGTTTAGGTTCGGGGTGAACCTACCCAACCATACTCAAGGGAAATCAGTGGGAAATAACCTACGTAATTTGTTTTGCAGGGTAAACGGCTGCAAGCACGCCTTTGCGCCCTAAACCGTACGCACGACAGGAAAACCGCTGATCCCAAATCTCTGAACCCTAAACCCTAAGAGCCCTAAGTCCTAGACCCTAACCGCCCTAACCCCTACAAACCCTAACTCCTAAGTCTTATAAACCCTAAAAGCCTTAAACCCTAGACCTCTCAACCCCAAAACCCCAAAAACGCCCTTTCCGGCACACTTTTTGTGAAAGCCCCAACTCCTAAGCCTTATAAACCTTGAAAGCCTTAAGCCCCAGACCCCAAAGCCCTAAAAAAAACACCAAAAAAACGCCCCAACTCCTATAAGCCCAGGCTCAAAGAAGAGCGGAAGTTGCTGGGGGAGATCCAGGGACTTATCCGCCTTAAGGGCGAGGCGACCCCGGGAGTCCGTTTAACTGCTTAGGGTGCTGGGCATTTAGGGTTTGATTCGGGATTTCGGGTTTAGGGTTCAGGGCGGAAGGAATTTCAGGGGTTTTAGGGTTTAGGGATTTAGGGTATTTAGGGTTTGGGGATTACCTACTTATCATTTACTCTCCAAAATAGTAACCTACATAACTACCATCCTAGAATCGAGTACCTAACTGTTGGGTCCTTTGGACCCGTGGGGTTATGGTTCCTTTTCAGGTCTTTTTTAAAGGGTTCCGCAGGGATTAAGGACCCAAAGGTTCTGCCAGGGGGTTCCGAAAAAGGTTCTACTTGGAGGATCCTGGGACTTAGTAAGTAGGGTTATAAGTACCTTGATAGGGGTTATATAAGTATAGTTACCTTATTATAACCTTACTTACTAAGTCCCATGATCCTACAAGCATCAAGGCTTCGGAGTTCCTTTGAAAGGTTCCGACGCCTGAAGAACGGCAGTAGGGTTTAGGGTTCGAGGTTGTGAGCTTACTTGGAGGTTCATGGGTAGGTTTAAGTGGGGTTGTAAGTATGGTAACTATACTTATAACTGATACTAGGGGACTTGTCACCCTACTTATAACTACCCATGAACCTCCAAGTAGGGTTTAAGATTCCACGTATATGAGTACTCGTAGCGCTTTCGTGGCGGCTTGTAAAGTCGGTGGGATATCTAGAATGTACACATCCAGATTCCCGGTCTCTGGTGTGCGGCTCAGAAAAGCAAGAACATAACAGCCTGAATCGGCACCCTTAGTCTAAACTAGCTTTCTTGTTGGGTCAGCACAGGCTTAGTTCGGGGCACCGCAATGAATGCGGAGCCCCAAACCCCAAACCCTAAACCCCATACCCTAAAGTTCAGGGTTTAAGGTCAGGGTTTTGGGCAACTGTGTCTGATTACGGCCGCCTCAGTCTTCGGCTAAACCCTACACCCAGAGTCTCCAAAACCCCTTAATTAAAAAATATACGTGAAATTATAATCGGATCCCTAATGTTATTTACGGTACATTCCTTCATTTAGGGGTTTTGGAGTCTCTGGGCACTTCTTAGACCCTCGAACGTACGGCTGCTATTCCGAGACAATAACCCCCGAGGCTCCATGTACCTGGATAGTATATCCTGGGTTGGGAGTACCATACTTAAATACTTTCTTTGGTACCTGTTCCTTAAAGGAACCATTACGAAATACAGTCTATACCTTATTTCCCTGGTTACTTCAAAGTCCAGATTTTCTTAGGCCTTAAAGGGGTTCCTACATACGTAACTTAAAGAAAGCCCAAGCATAAACTATGTGGGTAGGGCTCTGCTCTAGCATCAGTATATCGCGACTATACCACGGGAACGTTATTGCTAATCATTCAGACCTCTACACATTAGACCAAACCACTAGTCACGTTTGTTGTTTTTTTTTTTGATGGGGGGTGTGTAATGCTTGGTTACTTCTCAGGAACAAGGATTACGGTTTCCAGCATAGACAACTGTAATCATCGGGAATCGTATACACGCTTATACTCTTATAATACCCCCCGTCTGACATCTTAAAGCTTAGAAAGCTCTTCTACAGCCTCCACTCACGGACGGGAACAACAAAGACAGAGAAACGATGATGGGCTCATGGCTCATGGCTTCGGGTTGGGAGTTCAGAGTTTTAGGAATTGAAGGGACAGGTGCAGAATGAAGCCGAAGCCCACCTTCTGCTGAGGGTGTAGGGTTCAGGGGTTGCGCATTCATGTAGGGTTTGTGCGTGAGGTGTTTGTTTTGCATGTGCTTGTCAACGGAGCCCACGCCAGTCTGTCGCCCGAAAGATTCTCAAGACTTCTGAACTCACGACCCGAAAAATCGACGTAGATTTCTTACGATTCTGTCGGGGGCTGTGGGCTGCGTTGGACAGAAATTTTGCTCGGCTGTTAAACGAAAGCTCCAGCTGTTCTCAGCCGTTTTAAGCCCATAGGCCCCAAGCCTCAACCCAGCGGCACGTCTCAGGCCTTAAATCCCATGATGTCTGACCTTCAAGCCATCTAAGTCTACTACAGCCCGGTGGAGGAACGCCCGCAGCACGCCACAAGGAACAGGTGAAGCAAAGTTACAAAGCCTCAACCTTAACACCTCAAAACCCTGGACGCCAAAAGCCTGCGAACCCCCAAAACCCAAATCCTCAAACTCAAAGCCCTTAAAACCTATAAACCCTGTAGACCTGAACCCTAGACCAAAGGAGCCAGTGAAGCAAGCCAAAAGCCTCCTAACCCCTTAACCCTAAACCCTTACACTCCAAACCCCAAACCGCTAAACTCTAATAAACCCCCACAGCCCGAAACTTTAAGAATTTTACAAGCCCTAAACCATAAATCCTAATAAACCTTATAAGCCTTAAACCTGTATAAACCCTAAACCCTAAGAGCCTTATAAACCCATAGACCATAAATCCTAATAAACCCCTATGCTTCTGTGGCCTCGACGTCGGCATTGGGTCCTGGCCTGGGTCCTTGCAGGGGCGCTGTCTTGGAGGCCCGGCTTTGGAGGGTTTAGGGCGTATAGGGTTTTGGGGTTCAGGTCTGAGAGTTTTGGGGTTTAGGCTTGGAGTTTTGGGGCTTAGGGCTTAGGGTTTTGGGGTATTCGGGTGGATTTTTGGGTTTTGGGTCTTTAGGGTCTAGGGTCGGGGGTTTTTACGGCTTATGCTTTGAGGATTGAAGGCTGGAACGGTGTGCATACAGGCACCACTGTAGCGAGCCTTGAGCGAGCCATTGTCGGTGGCCTTACACAGTTATAACCCCCGAAGTTGAAGTAACTTTGACTAGGATGCCCAGTAGTACCCTTATTCCCTTTTTGTAGTCCTATGTTTCTCATAAAGTTACCCAATACCAAAAAGAGAAGCCTTTTTTATTCTTAGGTTACTGGGTATCCTAGTTGAAGGCCAGAATGGCATACTATGGGCTTGATGGGGTAGGGGTTTTCAGCTTAGGGCTTTGGGTCCAGGTGTTCGCATTATAGGGTCAGGGTATGGGTGGCATACCTTTAGTGCCCAACATCTGGGAGTCTTATACCCGGTATTCCCCCTGCATCGTTTCAGGTTTGCGAAGGCTGGTATTGAATCTAGGTTCTAGATGCTTGAAGCTTCCGGGCTGAACCCTAAACCAACCGAACTGGCCGGTCTTGCTCCCGTGGCCTCCTGTACTCTGCCGCTTTGTTTCCGGGATGCAGGGTTTTTCTCTCACAAGTGGTTTTTTCCCTGCATCGTACAGTTTATGACCAACCCTTATATTAAATCGATGGGTTCAAGTTGGACGAATGCTTGGGGTGTTGTTGTCTCCGAACTGCAGAAAGCAAAGAGGTGGCGAGATGATGTCCCATATGTCAGGCCGCTTCCGTGTTCATGATGATCTGTCCTGGGGCTTCGAGAGTCGGATTCATCTGCACACATCTTTATGTCCAGGACATGCTCGGACCCTGCATTCAATTGGAGAGTGGAGGCACGATTCTAGAGGATGAGGAGGAGGAGTCGGGTGACGGGAGCAGAAGCAACTGCAGACCGATTACAAGCAACTGCAGACCGATTGTGGAGGTGTCGAGAATCTGTTCGACACAGAGCTCCCTTGTTCTGTGCCCAAAGCTGTTCACGGACTGTTCTGCCAACCATGCACAAGCTATTGTGGAGGCGGAAGAGACATCGGTGTAAATGTGCTAATGTCATCACCCTAACCTGAGCAACATCGACAGCTCTGCTCGATTTCTGCGAGACGAGACTGTCGAGTTTGCAAGTTGGCAGAGCCAAAGGCTCGCAGCCGTTGTCTCCACTGGGGTGCGGTCGGCCGTTAGGCCGGGGATGCAGCCTGCAGCTGTGGTTCCGGGAAATGTTGTACTGACGAGGAGCTGCCAGCTCTGGCACCGGCGTAGGGTTTAGCGTTCCGGGTTTAAGGTTTAGGGTTTAGGGGGCCTGGTCGCCCTCTGCCTCTGGTTCTGTTCTAGGCGCAGGCTCTGCCTGCGATGCATCAAGCCCCGGAGAGCCTAAACACCAAACTTCTGCAACCACTCTAAATCCCTAAGCTTTACCAACTAATCCTAGACCTGAAGATTTTGGAGGTTGATTGAAATCCGTGTAGCAAAAAAGCTGGAGATATAAAGGTCTAGGATGTTACACTCACGATGGGGTCATAACAAGAACCCCAGCAAAACCAAGAAACACCCTCTATGAACCACATGTGAGACCCAAATGAAGCCCTCAAAGCAACCCTAAACCCTAAACCCTGAAGGCTAAAACCTAAACCCTGAGCCGTGAACCCTAAACCCTCAACCTTAAGCTCTGAACCCTGTAACCTGAGCCCTAAATCCTACCTTCGACCCTAAACCGAGCCGCAGAGGCTTCATGTCGAAGCCCGATTAACCAAATCACTTTGATAAAGAGCTGTCGGATCACCATCGCAGAGGGTCCATATACGTTGAAATTAGAGAACTACGCCCCCCGGCAGCCATAGTAGGGATGCTCTCTTGGCACCTATTTCCTTTTTGGTAGTGTATATGGACCCTCTGGGTATTCAGTTGTAACCCCTTGCAAAGTACGTAATTAGGAGGGTTCATTGGCCAGGCTTCTCATACCCTATAAGTTGGGTACTGCCCGCACTCTGTAACAGCTAGATTGTGTTTTTGATGTGAGTTATAAGCCTATAGAGACCTTCATGTGACTCCCTTAAACCCTAAACCCCGAAATAGGCCGGAACAGGGTGGGGGCACCACCCAACCTATATTACACGAGCCTAAATAGTTACCAATACTATTTTGCGGGCTCCTTCTTAAAATTATGGCAAAATGGGCCCTAACACCCCATTCTAGTTATAAAGGCCCCTAGATTCTTCGTAGTACCTTTAAAGGACCCCTTTAAAGGAACCCTATTTCTAATTATCAGGGCCCCTATATTACATAAGCCCACTCTCGAGCCGGTCTTGCAGTGTGTCGCCGCGCGGCTGGTGCTCTGCTTCTGGGCCAAAATGTTTCAGGTTTTGTGTTTAGGGCTTAGGAGTTTAGGGTTTATGGTGTAAGAGCTTCAGAGACGCTCAGTGATGTTCATGGTCTTTGCAGGGCATGTTCAGAGTTTGAAAAGGTGCTGCCTCCTTGTTGTTGATGATTTTGTTGGACGTTTTTAGGGACTTGAGGGGTTTAGGGCTTTGCAGCTTGCATTGAAGGCTCCATGCGTCGACAGGGAGATTTAAGCCTCTCGGACCACCTTGTTTCGCATCCTCGTACTCCCATTTAATAATCAACGCTCAGGTTGGATCCGACTATTCAGGGCTCAACTGGGGGGAGTCTCGTATTTTCTGACACTCCTCGTATGCACTTGGTGATCTAAGAGTCACAGGAATCCATGTATTGCACTCGATTGGGGTAGACATACACCCCCAAAAGTAGCTAAACCAATGGCCAAATACCATCAAAAGACTTGCTCCTACGCACTTGTGAGGTCCAGTTAGGCTTTATAGAACCTTGCTGGAACAGTCTTTGCTGGAATGGTTCCCTCCCCTAAACCCTAAACCCAAAACCCTAAACCCTAAACCCTAAACCCTAAACCCTAAACCCAAAACCCTAAACCCAAAACCCTAAACCCAAAACCCAAAACCCTAAACCCAAAACCCAAAACCCAAAACCCAAAACCCAAAACCCTAAACCCTAAACCCTAAACCCTAAACCCAAAACCCAAAACCCAAAACCCAAAACCCTAAACCCTAAACCGTGGTCTACATTATATAGATCAACCCGAAGTTGAAGAACGCCATAAACTCCAAACACTTTCCACCAAACCGTCGTTTGGGCCTTAGTGACTTGGTTAGTACCTATAGACCCTAAAGGTATTACTTTGTCAGACTGACATATTATATATATATATATATATGTATATATATATATATATATATATATCGTTAGGATCCTAGAACAAGAAACTAAGGTAACCCCCCAACACGGCACTACATTTAAGGGTCTAGGTAGTGCTTCTGCGACTTGAAAACTTGTAGTTCCAGGTGACCTGTAGATGTCAGCCTTGCAGTCTCAAAGCATTGAAAGCATTAAGGGTGAAAGTTCAGGGATTATAGTTTAGGGTTTACGTTTCGGGTTTAGGGAGGAGGGTTTGGGGATGAGGCTCACTACCAGGGTTTAGGGTCGGTTTGGGTCATCCCTCGAGACACTACCGCTTCTAGCCCCTCCGATTTCAATTTTTCATGTTCCTTACAATCCCATGTCATAATCACTCCAGCTCTTGACCAACGCTGGGGGCTTCGGGCACTTGAACGCTAAACCCTAGCCCTGGACTCTACGCCCTAAACACCGCCTCTTAAGCTGTATACGCCCTACAGCATAAAACCTAACCCCGCCTACAACCCAACGATTCCATCCTACTTCGATCCGCACGCAGCCCTTGGCTCGGAAGGTGCACACTGGTATTGCAGTTAGGGTACCATGGAAAGTTTATGGTTTCATGGTATAGGCTTATATGCCTGTAAATCTGCTAGTCCATTCTCTTCAAGTTGGTCGCAAGAATGTTGGGGGGGTCGTACCTCCTACTTTCACAACTATGCTGACAACAAGCAAGCCTGACCCTCAACAGTAGCAACCAGCACAGAAGCACAAAAGACACCAAGGTGCCAGATTATCGCGATGAGGTGCCCAAACAGAATCTATCAGCCATGGTGATCATCACCATGATCATCATCGGTATCCACAACATCGACGCATGCTGTAGAAAAACGAGATCATGAAACATATCGAAGTTTGAAAGGAAAGCAGCAAGACCGTAAACATCCTTAAACCCTAAACTTGAAGATGGTGAACTCGAAAATCGAGAGTCCTTATCGACCCCTGGCTGGCAACATGAAGGGTTCGGGGTTTAGCGTTTGGGGTTTCGGGTGTAGGGGTGTAGGGTTTAGGGTTCAGGGTTTGGGGTTTAGAGTTTGGGATTTAGGGTTTAGGGATTAGGTTTCGGGTTTGGGTTCGGAAATCAGCGGTGGTTAAATTGTTCAGGAGCCCAGGGACATGTGCAGCGTTAGTTGGGGCTGTTTTTTCTGTCTTCGGAAGAGAGATGCTCAATTCTGCAACATAAACCCTATTGGGGTTCAGGGCCCAGGAGCTCAAGTCATTGGAGCTTTCGGTTTTGGGCCTTCGCGGCCTTGACGTTTGGATTCAAGTCAGGCGTTCCCGTGTTTTGTGGTTTGTTGATTGAAAGAGGGTGTAGGGGCAAAGCCTAGTTCTCCCTTAAGGGTCCACGTGCCGATAGACCATATAGATCATAGACTGACGCCTCGATGTGTTTGTTACAGAGATATTCAGCAGACTAGATGGTTAGATGATGTTACGTCGGTGCTTGGGGACTGAGACTACGTTACCAAAAGGATCTTGGTCTATACTTGAGGCGTGATCGTCGAATGAGGGTCAACTCAAGACCCCAATCCCAAATCCTTGCTCAATATCAGCTGGTCGTTTGTGTGAGGGCTCCATATTGATACGAGGTGAGTTTCACCACTACAGCGGCGACATCTGCGCCTACAACAAGGCTCCCCTGTACATGAGACCCTGGCAGAAGCACTTAGCATATCCCAGTGAACCCTTGTTATTAAGAGGAATATATCCCAGTATCGTCCCTTCCGCCTCTTATCGTGGGGTCCCTTCTTAGGGGATCCTTTGTTATGAGGAGGAAAATCTACTGCAGAACCTAGACGACCCGACTTTCAAACCGTTGCTCCTGGAAAGGTGCCTGTGGAGCCTGAAGCCATGAAACCCCTGCTACTACACTTACTTGGAGGTTCAGGGGTAGTCATATGTAGGGTTACATGTACTCTAATATGGATTATACGTATAGGTACCCTGCTTGTAACCCTACATATAACTACCCACGAACCTGCAAGTAGAATCACTGAAACCCCCAACGCCCGAAAGCCCATAAACGTTTCAACTGCAAGCCCGCAACTATGTCAAGAAACGCCCGTATGCAACCACCATGATGCCCTGGCTATACTTCTACTTATGCTATTTCCCCCGGGCCTCTAAGTAAGCCCTACACTTTAGGGCTCGTTGCGTCTGCGAAAAAACCCTGCAAGGCGACGCACAACTCTCAGAGGCTGGGGGGGGGGGGGGGGGGGTTAGTTACGGTTTACGGTTCAAGATTAGGGTTTTTTTTTGGGTTTTCGGGTTTGTAAATTTAAGTACCGGGTTTGCAGTTCAAGGTTAGGGTTTTAGGGTTTATAAGTAGCAAGAAAGAATATATAGTAGGTACTTCGTAGATATTTGGGTCTACACTATTGGACACTTTGGGGGAAGACAGAAGAGACCACCAGAGCCCTAAAACCCCGAACCCCCTTACTTGGACCCTTAGGGAAAGCTACACCACGAAGCCCCTGCGCCCCTAAGCTCATGATGTAAGCCCCCTAAACCCCTACATCCTTCTCCACGAACACGGCGTTGGTGAGGCTTTGAAGCCCAAAAACGTTTTTGCTTATTTTGATGTTCGGGGTTCAGGTCGAGTCGAGATATGTAGGGTTCTAAGACATCTACACCCGAAGCCCTAAACCATATAAACCCTAAACCCAATCCGCGGGGTTTTGGAGTTCAGGGTTTGGTGTCACTAGGGTCCTGAAGTGTCGGGAAGTAGCCCAAACGTCCGAAGGACCTGAACAAGGATTCAGGGTTTCGGGTTTTGAGTTCTGGAGGGGTGCTAGTCTCGCATTGTTTTCGAAGGGATATATGATTGCCAATACCTCAACCCCATGATCCCTTACACTCTTCACCAAACCCCTAGAGCCCTAAACCCCTAACTAGCTTTACGTCATGGAGAAAGGATTGTTAATACAGGGGCCTTACTGATCACCTATTCTAGTTGGGGTACTCGCTTTTATTTTTTTCAGTATAATATGCCCCAAAACCCTATTGTGTTTATTCACTAAACCCTAAACCCTATAGACCCTAAACCGCGTCAGCAGTCATAGAAGGCCTGGACTCCTTACGACTAGCAGACGTGAAGACAGGGCAATGCTGATAGCTTAGGGTTTAGGGATTTAGGGTTTAGGGTTTAGGGTGACAGTCACGAACAATAAATACCACCACCAGCACAACCGCCACCAATCGTCGTCGTCATCTTCATTATCATGATCGTCGTCGTCATCATCATCATGATCTTCGTCGTCGTCATCGTTATCATCATGGTTGTTGTCGTCATCAGCAGCAGCAACAGCATTATCATCGCTTAGACTTGAAACGTTTGCGCTATGAGTACTGATTGTCGTGCACGCCATGGATCAGACTTGGATGATGTCCATTCAACCCGGTTCGACTGTGGACCTTGGCCCTTTCGTCAACCGATACTTGAGGTTCATGGGTAGCTATAAGTAGGGCTATAAGCCCCCTAATATGAGCTATAAGTATAGTTACCATACTGATGACCCCACTTATAACTACCCACGAACCTCCAAGTATACAAAGTGAAACACCAAGCCTCGAAATCCGGCAGGCTGAATACTTTCAACACTCCTGGGAAGCTGTGGCACAGCTGCACCCAGTGCTTTGCTTCTTAGAGACTCCATTATACTTTAATTAAGGAATATACCTTAAATTACCCTATCCATCGGCCGACAGAAAAAAACGGATTCGATTGGTAGTTTCAAGCGGATTGGGTCCGATTGATATTTTCAAGCGGATCCACTAGTTTTCTGTGAAAACCAAGCGAAACAAAAACCTAGCGGGGAACCAATAGCAGCATATAGCAAAAACCAAGCGGAGCATTCAGGAGCACGGGTGTTTGACCGGGCTTGAAGCCTGCGATTTCTGGTTTCACAGGTTTTCACAGATCTTCACAGGTTTTCACAGATCTTCACAGGTTTTCACAGATCTTCACAGAATTTCACAGATCTTCACAGAATTTCACAGATCTTCACAGATCTTCACAGACTAATCTGTGAAGATCTGTGAAATTCTGTGAAAACCTGTGAAATTCTGTGAAAACCTGTGAAGACCTGTGTGCTTCAGAATTCCGGGTTGGGCTCGATGTTTTTGGTGTGCTGGGCACGGGAAACCAAGCGAAATCGTTGATGAAAAACCTTGCGGAATCGATGATAAAAACCTAGCGGAGAACCTAGCGGAGAAAATAGCATCCCAACCGATTCCTAGCGGGTCCGATAGAAAATGCCAAGCGCACATGGTATTTTCAAGCGCAGCAGAATCGATTGGTATTTTCAAGCGAAATCCAGTGTTTTTTCAAGCGTGCGATGGTTAGGGTATAATAGGATCCCCAATATGATTTAAGGTATATTCCTTAATTAAGGGGTATTGGAGTCTCTGGGTTGGTAGATCGCTCTTACGTGATCACCAGCGGCATTCGGAGTCGTGGTCGTCGTACCCCCCAAATCCCAGTCGGTTCTTGACCCCGAAATCCCAAAGCCTTGAACACAACCTGAAACCAGAACCCCAGAGCCGAAATACCTAGAAAATAACAAATCCCCAAGAACCTAAAACTTCAAACCCTTCAGCCTCCAATCCAGCATTCCCTCCATGTCTAAGCTTAAAGACTTTCTAAGGCCTTAGTTATTACGTCTGAAGGAGCCCCACATGGGCACAGGGAGCCTTAGGCTAAACCCCAAACCCTCAACCCTAAAACCTAAACCCAAAGACCTAATCCCTTTAAACCCTAAACCTTAAACCCTAAACCCTTGAAGGAGCCCAGTAGGTATTCCCAGGCAGTGGAAGAAGGGCACCGGAGCCGCCGCCGGGCGCGCCCCTCGACCGGCCTCCGCAGGCTTCACAGGGCCTAGATCCAAGGGTCCAAAGTACGGTAAACCCCTTAAAGTTGGAAACTGGATTAAGGGCAAATAGTGCAGGGATTCCCAACACATTACTCTCAAGGACTGAGGCTATTGGGTTTCCAACTTTTTGGCTTCTACTGTACCCAATAATCATACACTCTCCAAAATCCTAACCTACATAACTACTATCCTAAAACCGAGTACCTACTTATTGGGTCCTTTGGACCCTTAGGGTTAGGGTTTAGGGGCTTAAGTTGTTTGGGATTTAAGGTCTTCCCCGAGAGAGTTCCGGGTTTAAGGGGTTCAAGTTTTTGGGATTTGAGTGTTCTCCGAGAGAGTTTAGGGTGTAGGGTTTAAAGTTTTTTTCCGGAGAGAGTTCAGGTTTCAGGATTTAGGATTTAGGATTTGCCTATGGGGATCCAAGAACCTCTTGTTTTAGGGGTTAATTTCATAATTAAAGGGTTGTAATCTACTTTTGCGTGGAGTCTGGAGTTGCAGGCAGGGTTTTTGGCTTAAGCGTCAGAGTTGGATGACTTGCGCAGGGTGGGTCGGCTGAATTGTCAGAACCTACCATAGAAGCCTACCTCAGTCTCCCTTGTAGTTCCTTGTTTGGTTTAGCCAGCTGCATAACAAGGGTTCTGTAAAGTAACCCATAAAAGACTGTAGGGAAATGGCTTTTAGGTCCCGAACATATTTCAGAGTAAAGGCATATATGCTTCGATGTTGCTTCCGGCAAAGGTTCGAGGTTAAAGTTAGGGGAATGGACGTGAGTTCAAGTTTTAGGGCTGAGCTGGCAGTTGTTTCAAGAATTCTTGGGCTCTTGGCGGATGATTCAGGCTTGGGCTTGGTCTGAAAAAACTCTGAAATCCAGCGCCCTTTCACTCGGTTTTAGGGTTTAGGGTTTAAAATCCTGCGCCCTTTCACTCCTAGGCATTTATCATTCAGGCGTGTCGGGGTTTGGCGCTTTTGGTCCAGGGGTTCCGTCAGGGTGCTGCCCGGTATGGAGAGGCATCCGCCGCCCGCGCGCTCTGCGTGCTGCGCGACGGCAAGAATGGACCGAGGACGGGTTGAGGGTTTGGGACTCCGGCTTCTATACCCAGAGGGTCATAATTACCCAAATGGTAGCCTACCTTTTTAGGCATCCTTATTAGGATTTCCTTATTGTGAGTCTTGCCCAGAGGGTCCGAGTACCCGAATGGTAGGGTTTTAGGTCCCGAAATCCAGACTCTGAATGGTTTTTGGGACCTTGAAACCCTACTTGGACCCTCAGGGATAGGTATCAAAAGTTACTTAGGGACCTTCGATGCATAGGGATGAGTAGGGATGTCATGTAAGGATATGAGTAGTTGGCTGCTCCCTTACAGCCCCTACATGGTACTGTTCATGATATAAATCCTGCATTACCCACACTAAGGAAGATGCCATAATTCCCATGGTTTAGGGTCTTAAGGCTTAAGGTCATGCAGGGTTTATATCATCAACCGTAGGATTGGGGCTTGCTTCCCAAAGGCTCCATGTACCCTTTAGCAGGTACTGAAGCCTTAGAGGGGTCCCTATATAGGTACTTTAAGGCCTAAGTATATACTATATGGGTGGTTGTCAAAACTATGGTCCCTTTTTGGGTCCCTATTATAATACCAAATATTTAGGGTACCCAAAAAGGGACCCTAATTTTGACAACCATATGGGTACATGGAGCCTTTGGGCTTTTGTCCCATGGAGTTTTAGGGTTTCGGGCTCTAGCTTGGGTGGATCAAAGGGGAAAAGGAGGGACCCTTAATGGGGACCCCTACCCTATAATGGGCTATATCATGGGTATATAACAGCTATATTAAGGGTATATACCTAGCGGCCCTTGTTAGGGGTCCCTCCTTTTACCCTTGGGGAGGAGTCCATGGCTCGAAATTTCCGACTCCATGGGGTTGGTCAAGGCTTCGTTGCCCCAAAGGATCCAAGTACCAATATAGCTACGTACTAATTCGAGATATGGGGCCCAAAAGTGTATACAAACTACAATAATATAGTATAGTATACTATGGTAAACTAAATAACTAGACTATACCATGCTATGCTTTTGCTTGGACCCTTTGGGTTCCTATTAATTGCAGAGTATTTTGGGCGTGAGAGTGCAGGATCTATGCACGACATTTGTGGTTTCGATGCTTCAGGACTTTTAGCCTTCGGATTTAGGGTACAGGGTTCGTGCACGGCTTGGGGTACTGAGCTGCCCGGTTTTTTCCTGATACCATAAAGCCGATTCCGAAACCTTAAACCACTGACCTCAGCCCTTGTTCTTAGTCACTGCAATCTGCACAGGCAGATTTCGAGTCACCGAGAGAGTTGGAGAAGCAAGTGTATGTATACATGCATATGTACATATGCATATCTATATATATATATATGTTTATGTATGTACGTATATATTCACTTATGTATGCACATATGTGTGTATGTAGATTTGTATATACTATGTATGTACACATATACATTGACAACATATATATATATATATATATATATATATTGACATGTACCTACAGATATATGCAGGTGTGTATACATGTGTATATATATATACGTATATACATATATGAAGTAGACAGATAGATAGAGAGAGAGAGAGAGAGAAGAGATATTGCACAGCAGTCAGAAGATAAAGGCAGATGCACCTCCAAAGCACCAAGCCTTAAATCCCGGCTAGAAGGACCGGCGAAACAAAACCCACACACACACACACACACACACACACACACACTAGCTCTCTCTCTCTCTCTCTCTCTCTCTCTCTCTCTCTACCAGGACCCTCCTTGTACCCTCAAATAGGGGTATATGGTCCCAAATAAGGGGCATTTAGGGTCTAATAGAGGGTAGATGGAGGGTCGGGGGACTTAGTAAGTAGTTATTTTAGGGACTTATAAGTACCATAACCCCAATTAGGGCCTTTTTAGGGTACTTATAAGTCTACTTACTACCTACTTACTAAGCCCCCCCGACGCTCCAAGTAGCTAGACTCCGGATCTTTCCCTGCACGCCGGCAGGACATGTCCACGTTGGTCCGCCGCATGAAACTTGCCATGAAGATCCCGGGTACGATAGGGGCCTTAAATATTCAATATTCTATTATCGGGCCTTAATATTATGCTTATAGTATAATGGCCCCAAAACCCTATTCTAATTATTCAGGCCCCTATATGACTGTGGTCATGATTGCTGTTGGAACGCCTACACCCTAAGCATGGTCTCGGGGGTTCATATATACCCAAAGGGTCCATATACACTACAATATAGGAATTAAGCCCCAAAAGACCATCCCCAGTATGGTCTTGGGGACCTACTTCCAAAATAGTAGTGTATGTGGACCCTCTTGGATAGATTTCTGTAAGGTAATCCCAAAAAGGATCTACCATGGGGCCTATGGGTAGGCTGAAGTTTCTTGAGGGAGCCCTTGAACCGTGAAGCCTTGGCTTATTCTAGGTTGGAGTTTCTTTGGCTGTGTTCTTGGCAGAAGCTGAGGCACGAGCTCATGGATGTTCTCCGCTGCCGGTTGGAAGAAGAGCATCTCGATTTGAACGATTTGAACAGGCTTCCCCCAAAACTCTGAAGGGTTTCACAAGGGTTTGGAAGTTTTGCTTCTACAGTTTTCGCAATCGGGGCTTCAATAATGTGTGCTAGGGTTCTGGTGTGGAATGTAAGGGAGTTTTTTCTAATGTACAAACGAAAGTAGTAACCCCTTGACTTCAAAAGCTTATGAGCTAAGCCGGCTTCACAAGATACCCAGTACGGTACTTTGCCTTTGCCTGTGCTGGAAGAATATTTCTAGAGCAAACAGCTCGTCAAGTGCACAGTATCCTTTTTTAGAGCGCGTTTCACAGGCTTCGGATTCTGCGGCGGTCAGACGCTACGTGTCGTTAATCGTGGGGCCGGCACTTACCAGAAGGATCCATGCACCAAGTCATCATATGCTCCCGTACAGAAGTACTACTAATTAAGCTATCTGGATCCAGACGACATAGGTGTTAGGTACTTTGGTCCCAGAGAACCCTATTCAATCTTCGCATCCCTGAGGACTCCTTAGGACAAAGTAGAACGGTTTACTCGGGCTTCTACAGTGCCCTGACTTGAAGAAGTTTAGCACTAACATAGCTAACACAGGAACCATTGTAGTTAGAACGGAGCTTTGATGTCTAAACCGTTCCTCCACGCAAAGAAGCTGCAACTGGGCAAGGGCTGACTCGCCAATTTCGCCGATGCCAGTGACACCTCCATCGAAGAGGCACTTTGTCTTTAGGGGTGTTGGCTTGGGGTGTCCAGTCTTATGTTTCAGGTCGTAGGCTGTGACCTCAGAGACATTCTCGTTGGTTGCAAGCCTTGTTGCCATATCTCGGTGCATGCCTGCCGGAAACCTACAGCCCCCAAACCGGACAACCTAACTCCCCAAAGCTTCAGCTAAACGCTAAGCCGTCAATTCCTCGGCCGCTGCATTGGTGAGTGGGCACATGGACGCTTGAGGGTTCGGTGCAAACAGAGCCCCACTCGGAGGCCCTGAGGACTTAGTAGGTCGGTTTTAAGTAGGGCTATAGTTGGGGTAACCCCACTTAGGGTACTTACAACTCTACTTGTAAACTACTTACTAAGTCCCGTGGGCCTAAACCCTAAACTCTATAAGCCCTAAAAGGGGTGGGCGATGACCCTCTAGGTACCTAAGCCCTAAACGGGGTGGGGGATGACCCTTTGGGTACCCTACGTACCTAAATCCTAACAGGGGAGGCCCCTCGCCGAAGGCGAGTCTGGGTATCCTGGCAGCTTGATAGGGTTGGGCTTAGGGTTTAGGGCTTTGGGCTTGTAGAGTTTAGGGCTTAGGGTTGACCTTCAGATCCAAACACCTACCGTTTTTAGGGGTTCTACCCTCTAGACTAAGGGGTCATAACCTACTATTTTGAAGGGTTTGGGGATGCTGATAGGGCTTACTTGGAGGGTCGGGGGACCTAGTAAGTGGGCAGTAAGTAGACTGATAAGAAGCCTAAAAGGGACCCTAATTGGGGTTATGGTACTTATAAGTCCCTAATAACTACTTACTAAGTCCCCCGACCCTCCAAGTAGGGTTCAGGACCCATGCACCCAAACAGCGTTTCGGGTTCTGGGTTTAGGGTTTATACCAGCAGCGTGAAGGGTTTATATACGGTTTGGCGATTTCGTAGAAACCGCGTAGCCGTCCGGGTCCATGTGCCCAAATAGTATATACTTTGGCCCGAAAGTATCCCTTTAGGGACTGCCAAAGCCTTTACTATCTGAGTACATGGGCCCTTAAGTATCCCAAGTATCCTAAATTCCTAAACCCTGTAGTACCCTTTAAAAGAACCCTTAAAGGGACCCTTAGCGTATGGTGGCTGCCTTTAAAGGAACCCTTAAAGGGACCCTTGGGGTATGGTGGCTTCCTTTAAAGGAACCCTTAAAGGACCCTTGGGGTATGGTGGCTTCCTTTAAAGGAACCCTTAAAGGACCCTTGGGGTATGGTGGCTTCCTTTAAAGGAACCCTTAAAGGACCCTTGGGGTATGGTGGCTTGGGTCTGAGAAAACCCCTGGGCCTGACCCTTGGGCGGACTGAGCATGTCTTCTTAGTAGCTGAGTGGGTAACCTTCTTAGGGGTTAGGGTGCTCTAATAGGGTCCTTTAAGGGATCTGTAAGGGTCCTACTGGTTAAGGGTACTACAGGGGTTTAGGGGTAACCTTTAAACTTTGCGGGTTTACATAATCCTACCATGCTTCAAAACATTAACGTTTGTTGGGCTATGGTACTCAGCCCCGGTAAGCTTTGGAAAGGTACATGAAAGGCCTTGTGTTTGATTGGTTTAGGGTTTAGGATGAGGTTCCTTGAACCCTAAACACTTTCTGCGACTGAGGTGACTCCCTCGAGAAGCTGGAAGCTCTCTTCGAAGAGGGTCGAAATCCGTCGAAGCTGCCCCTCGCCCTGCGAAGATATTGTTGAATGGGCAGGATGCAATATAGAAGCCTAAATAATTACAAATGTTATTCCTTAGGTTTCCTTATAATCAATATGCTATAAAGGGACCCAAACCTTATTCTAATTATGAATGCACCTTCATTAGGGTCAAGGGTTTAAGAAGTGGAGGCTTTGGTGTTCAAAGCTTGGCACGCAGGGTTTAGGGGTATAGGGCTTGGCCTTTAGAATGGGACCTTTTCTGTCATTTAGTAGTTGTTCAAAGGGCACATGTGATGGGTTTCCGTTTTTGCTTGAGTGGCTGTTTCTAGTGGCTGAATTTGGGAGTTTCCGAAAATAGGGGCACTTTCTTGGGGGGTCCTTATAAGATCCTACTATTTAGGGTACTACATAAGGGTCCCCCATTTTCGGAAACTCCCATGTGAAGAGCCCGAAACATCCCAATAATCCATGCCCGCATTCCCTACTTAGAACCGGACAGCCGACTCCTAACCTTAGGGACCCAAAAAGCACATAAGCATAAGCATATCCCTGCCTTATTGGGCTCCTTTATAAGGGGGTTTATATGGGATATCCCTATCCTAAGTTTTGCTTATGTGCTTTTTCGGGGCCCTATAACCCTGTACAAGCCTCGAACCCTCCTCGAACCGCAACGGCAAAAAACTCAAAACCTCTAAACCCTCCCATAGTAGTCCTTTTTTGGGATTACCTTATAGGTATGAGCCCCCAAAAGGAACTACTATGGAGAGGTAATGCCTAAAACCTACAAACACTAGACCCAATCCCTAAATTTAAATCCCACCTACAACGTGAAACCTTAACCCTAACTTGTCGTCCAACCTTCCGAGGCTCCAACAGCATCTGACGGAAGCCCTGGGCCGAGAAGGCCAGGGGTTTGGGATTTATGAGGCTTGGTTGTATGCAGGGCTTAGGGATTAGGGTGTGGGGTTTGGTTTTAGGGTTTAGGGGGTAGGGTTTGGGTTTTAGGGTTTAGGGGGTAGGGTTTGGGTTTTAGGGTTTAGGGGGTAGGGTTTGGGCTTTACGAGTTTAGGGGCTAGAGTTTAGGGATTGGCGAGGTTCAGGGTTTAGCTAGGGCTGTGGAGGGATTCCAGGGTTTGAGATGATGGCACCAGGGCGCTCAGAATCTGTAACCCTAAACCCCTAAACCCTAAACAAAACCTGTAAACCCGTAAACCCTGAACCCTAAACCAGAAGTCCCAAATCCAGAAGCCCTGAAGAGCAATCCTTCAAACTCAATATCCTGAGGCTCCAAGTTAGAACGCTAGACCTTGCAGGACTTTGTTCTCTGACAACGTTTCGGGGTTTAGGGTCTAGGGTTTAGGGTTTATTTCCACCCGAAGTTCCTGGAAAGACCTTGGCAGGTCAAGCTGAGATGAACTTCGCTCCGTGCTTCGGCAGCCTTATAAGGGTTCTCTGTTTCACGGTTCAAAAGGAAATCTACCAGGACCCTCCTTGTACCCTCAAATGGGGGTATATGGTCCCAAATAAGGGGTATTTAGGGTCTAATGGAGGGTAGATGGAGGGTCTAGGTAGACGGGCTCTACAGGGCTTCAGGGTTTGGGGGCTTGGTGTTCCGGGGTTGGGAGGTTCAGGTTTCAAACCTTGTGTAGTACCCTGAAAGGAACCCCCTAAAGCCACCGTTATAGTGATAGAGCCCTTCAGCCTAGACCCCCGAACTACCCTCGAATATACCCCAAATACCCACTATCAAGGGCCATAAGCCCTCAATTCAAACTTGGGGAACCTTAACCCTAATCCCTAAAGCCCTAAATCCCTAAACCTTAAAACCCTAAAGCCCTAAACCCTAAACCCCCAAAGCCTAAAACCCCTTAAGGGTACGCTAAAAGAAACCTTTAAAGCCCCGACAACCCAGGAGCAGCCGAGCTGGGGGACGGACTGCCGAGCCGGTGGTCAATTTCACGGAGCCTCTCGCGTCGCTTGTCGAAGGTGTTTGGCTAGGATGCCCAGTACCCTTTTTGTAGTCCTAGGTTCCTTATAAAGTTACCCAATACCAAAAAGAGAGGCCTTTTTATTGTTAGGTTACTGGGTATCTTAGGTACTGCCCCCACTCAGTAACAGTTGGATAATCTTCTTAATATGGATGTATTCAGCCATTCATAGTAGCCCTAGTATAGACTGTTATTGGGTGATCTTCTTAGGCCCTTAGTCTCTTAGTAGTAGCCCTATTATAGACTGTTACTGTATGGGGGCAGTACCTAACATGAATCCTAAAACATATGATCTTAACCCTCTTCGCCTCAATCCTAGTAATCCAGGTGCTACTCTATGGGGGCAGTACCCAGCCCAGGCGTTTGAGGTGCCATGTAGGGTCCATACTCGAGGCCGCTGGTTTCCGAAACTCACAAGATGACTTTGGATTTAAGAAAAATCAATTGGGGTAGGGTTTAGGGTTTAGAGTTTAGGGTTTAGGTGTTGGGGCGTCTTCACCGAGACTTTACCCAAAAGGTCCGAGTATTCGAAAAACAGTTACTTTGGGGGACAAATATCTATTTAGTACCTACTACATTGGAACTTGGACTCTTTGGGTTAGGGATTAGGGTTCAGGGTTTAGGTTTTCGAGCGAGCAAGCACGTTGTAGTCCATGTTGGGCATATCTCTTTAGGGCTCATGGCAGTGATTGTTGATGTTTCCAGGAGCGTGGATCCTAGGCTACCCTTCACCGCAAGCAGATACAAAACCCTAAACCGGAAGGCCTGTTTTGAGGGTTCCATGAATCCATGTACCTGTAATCTAGTACCTAAACCCCCGAAAGTAGGTAAGCTAATAGCCCAAAACCCCTAAAAGGCCATGATTCTACGTACTTTTGGGTCCAGGTGTATACCATATCGGCCTTCAAGGGGTTCGTACACAGTGAGTTGGTGGGGGCAAAGTCTACACAGAAATGTGTGGGGGTTTTCGAAAATAGGGGACCCTCATGCAGTACCCTAAACTGCCCTAAACAGCAAGTTCCTTACAATAAGGACCCCAAAATAAGGTACCCAGAATTTTCGGAAACTCTCATGTACACACGGACTCTTTCAGGTGAGGTGGTGGCCGGAGGGTAACTCTACAAATCCAAGTGCCTCATACGTAATGGTGCAATCTCCCAGTTGTTAGCTTACATACCTGTTATCCGAAACCTACTTAGAGGCCCAGGGGACTTAGCAAGTAGGTCATAAGTAGGGTTATAAGTAGCCTGAGTGGAGTTATGCCCCAATTATCATCCTACTTATAACCGACTTACTAAGTCCCCTGGACCTCTAATAGTACCTTAACCTACCAAACTCTACTTTTCTCAGGTTCTAATTATAGACCTTACTATGGAATTTATGGGGACCCTACAATAAAGTAGGTTTTGGTAGGTTAGGGTAGGCACCTCTCTACTGGGTGCTTTGGACCCTGAGGGTAAGTTTCGGACCGCCCTAAACCCTAAACCCTAAACCCTAAACTCTAAACCCTAAACCCTAAACCCTAAACCCTAAACTCTAAACCCTAAACCCTAAACCCTAAACCCTAAACCCTAAACTCTAAACCCTAAACCCTAAACCCTAAACCCTAAACCATCAAGCGTCCGGCTGATGAGGTGGATAAGGATATTTCTGCAGCTTATGTGGACTGGAAACAAGGGGTCATTTCGGATGATCAAGCAATCCAGTTAGTCGGGGAACATTGTTATGTGGCTTTCCTGGCACAAAAAGCGGCGGATATGGAGGAGGTCGAAACCCCCGCCACACGAACGATATTACGCAAGGAGGGGACGGTACACGAGATTTCGGATGACCAGGGTGGCAACTGAGTCGTGCTAAGCGGTGTCAAGGGAAAGTGCAGTTTGGCTCGTAAGAAGCCAGTTTGCCTTCCCGCTAGGGATTTCTGACAAAGCACCTGCCAGTCGGAAAAGAGGAGCCTAAAAAAAAAAAACCCTAAACCCTAAACCCTAAACCCTAAACTTTAAACCCTAAACTCTAAACCCTAAACCTTAAACTCTAAACCGATCCAGGGACCGGATGATTGAGCCGATTGCCGAGCCTGTGACCGTTGCCACAGAGCCGCGAGCGATCCTTGGCCCCAGGTTTAGGGTTTTAGGGTTTTAGGGGTTTAGGGGTTTAGGGTTTAGGGTTTAGGGGTTTAGGGTTTAGGGTTTAGGGTTTAGGGGTTTAGGGTTTAGGGTTTATGGGTTTAGGGTTTAGGGAGTAGCTTATACCGGGGGGAGGGGGGGTCCCTTTAAAGTATCTTTAAGGGTAAGGTAGCCGTCTTAGGGGGTTTAGGATATTTTTTATAAGGGGGCCCGAAAAAAGGAACTACTTTGGGGCCTCTGGGTTTACGTTGTCTGAGCTAGAGTACTCAGACCCTACGTGCCCGAACCTGTCGGAAAAAGACGAGTATAACCAAAAGACGTCGTTGGGATTGTCTACGCATCAGAAGCGCTGGAGACGTATTTGCAAGTCGGGTCTCATTAACCTGTGATTAACACGGAGAGCAAACGACAAGACAGCCGTCGAGAAATGATAACGACGACTGCGCCTGCAGAATGGACTCAAACTCTTTGCTTTGCACGATTCCTACTCCGTGCCCTGAACCTCCAGAGAGCCTGATCCCGCAAACACTGAGGTCACAGGTTCATCCGCAGGCCTAGATTATCAATCGCTTCGGCCCAAACTCATCCCAGCATCAACCGTGCGATTGCGGGTTTCGGTTTGAATGGCAACCTAATCACCGAACCGCAAACCCTGGACTCCAAAACTCGGACCCCAATTGAAAGCGTATCCTTCTCCGTAATCCGAAAGTAGAGCGCCTGCGTCCCTTGAGGATCCGCGTGCCCGTGTCGTCTATACTTTGGCCATTATCTGTGAAAGAAACCTGAACAACGTCCAAGCATGTACTATCTAGGCCCCAAAACCCGAAACCTTAAACCCTAAGCCCAGTTTACTAGTTTCTTTGCTTAGGTTATATTCTCTGGATGAGCATCTATGTCCTCAACCCGGCTCTACCCAGTAGGTATTCCGACTGTAGCAACGAGGAAAAGGGCCCTCAAAAACAAAAACTCAGCCTTAAACCCTATCTAGGCACATGGACCTTCAGGGTTTTCCGTGAGATCAGCTGTATGCGGAGGATGAGACAGCCCGAGCCCGTCACAGAGCCTCTTGCGCGACACGGCGCATGGTTTGTACAGAATTCCAGGGGCATTGAATCATTTTTGAGGATTTCAGTTTGGGGTCTCGAACTTCTTCAGGTGTGGGGATGTTGGATTTTAATAGCCCTGAGCATATAGGGTGTTAATCATCGTCTTCGTTTGTGTTTCGAACTAAGCTCGCTATTGGTATTGCAGTTTTGCTGTTCGAATCTGACACCCACTTTTCATGGCCAGTTTGCATTCTCCGGTCCAACAGGCAGGTTTTCCGTCGATGATGTTGGCTATGATGCTGTCTCAAGCGGGCGCTTGGAAAGCGTCCGGCTGTATGTATTTATGCGTGTATGTGTGTGTGTGTGTGTGAATGTGAACGTGTCTATGATATTTATGTATGTATACATATTGACACATATATACATGTACATGCGCATTGCTGTCCCGGGCTTTACAGGTGTTCGTGTACAGAAGACCTTCAGCTACAGGGACAGCGCGCAGTCAAAGCCCCAGGCTTCTTGAGCCCCCACAACAGCTTCTGGATGATTCAGCAGCAGAAAAACTCATGCGAGTCATGCGCGGTCCATGGCTCCAAACCCTACACTCTGGTCCCCAGTACCGTCCTCGTGTCTTATGGGATCCTGATAGGCTAAGCAGGCTAAGTTTCAGTTGCTAGCATTGCCAGAAGAAGGTTAGTTGGAGGAGAGATAGTCGAAACATTAGGCAGACAGACAGGTCTAGGTGTTAGAGTGCTGTGGGTATGTAAACTTGTGGTTTGATCCGCAAGTGTCAGTGTGGCCATGTGTTTGCGTGTGTAGTGCAGTGTTTCCATGAGTCCAATCTGCCTGGCGGCGTCTATAGCTTCTCCCGTCTCAACGATTTCTCGTGTCGATGCATGACTTGACTAAATTCAGAGTGTTACTCTATGAACTGGCCGCCCTCTGAAGCCACGACTGTCTCAAACGGCGGGCAAGTCTGACGAGGATGCAACCCTTGCTGTAGACTACACATGCAAAGCATCCGACTGAGCCAGACTGTCCATGTGGTCAAAGAGTGAACTGTACGCTGAGCTCCGCGTTTCGCAAGATGTTCTTCTCCAAAATCACATCGTGTTTACGTGGGTCACCCGTCTATGAGTCCTTGTACCAGGATCCTGCCGCTCAGCATCGATATCTGCGATCCCGAACAAATCTCATGGCCGTCTGCGCGCGTGGAACAGCTATAGAGCTTGCCGCCCGGCTGGGCGCGACTACTCCAGAACACTGGGTGGACCTCGGATGCAGTGTCCACAGAGCCGAGAAACACAGAGATGAGCAAACCAGAGATCCTGTCACTGGAAGGACATTCTCATCCCTCGAGTTGATGGACCAGCTAGAAACCGAAGGGAAGGAGCGCATGGGAAGGGAGTTCTCGGAGCGCCGAGGCTATTCGTCGCAGGAGATTGCAGATTTCGAAGAGCACTTGGAGATGACCCAACACATGATTCAAGCCCGCGGAGTGGACGATGTGCTTTGGCTAGACGCCGTCTTCGTGGGACTGCTCAGCAAAGCTCAGCAAGAGGCCGAGTCAATGGGCCGCGGCGACTCGGAAGAGCGAACAGTCGAGGACGTCGATATTACGATCACGGTCCGAGTGGTGGATGGAGAGATGAAGCCAACCATCGACGAAGCAGACTACATGCAGTTGTTGTCTGTTTTCCAGCCGATCAGCAGCGACGGAGGTCGTCGCCACCGCAGCCGCTCACCAAGAAGAACTGCAGATCGCTGAATGCCTCTTCGTCTCGCTGGGAGGGTGCTGTGTGAATGCGCTGTGAAGTGAACAACGAAAGCATGGCTGTTTTGTTGAGCCGTTCCCACGTCTATGGGCCTCAGGCATCTTACTGTAAGCCTGGCCTGCGGCTCGGGGTGCACAGCTTTTGACGGAGGATGTTTTTGGAGATTGAGCTGCTGCCGTCGGCTTCAACACGGAAGGTCCAATGGACGACCAGGAAGACTCCAGGAAGACTTCGACCACGCCTTCCGACCAGGCATGTACGGCCTTGCGCGGCTGATGACGGTGCTGGCGAAACTTGGGCGCAGCTGTGGGCATGCGAGGACCTGACGCAGAGCACTGAGGCAGGGAACAAGTTTCTTAGGTTTTTTGGGGTTCTCCAGGTCCGGTAATTTCTTGAGTCTAAACGCCTGGGCAGTCAAGCGGTCATTACTTAGAGAAGGAGCTTCAGAAGCATCAAGCCCGGGAAAAGAATCTTCAGGCTGAAGACCTTCAGCTACAGGGACAGCGCGCAGTCAAAGCCCCTTGAGCCCCCACAACAGCTTCTGGATGATTCAGCAGCAGAAAAACTCATGCGAGTCATGCGCGGTCCATGGCTCCAAACCCTACACTCTGGTCCCCAGTACCGTCCTCGTGTCTTATGGGATCCTGATAGGCTAAGCAGGCTAAGTTTCAGTTGCTAGCATTGCCAGAAGAAGGTTAGTTGGAGGAGAGATAGTCGAAACATTAGGCAGACAGACAGGTCTAGGTGTTACAGTGCTGTGGGTATGTAAACTTGTGGTTTGATCCTCAAACCTGTTATAGCTACACTCAAGAAACCCAGAGTATCTAGAGGAGTATTGCCCATCTTCACATCAGAGCAACTGTAAAGACTTGGCAACACGATGTTCAGGGACTGGGGCTGGGCTTTGTGGTTTATGCATGCATGTTCTGGAACATGAGTTGCTGGATTCTGTCCTAGGCCCAGCGCGGCCCCCAAATGCCACGTGCCATGCTGTGAGTGCGCACCCATAGGCTTTCGCCCAAGTTCCAGCGGCAATTTGCTTTCTGGGTATCCAGGCATGGACGAGATTGTTAACACTGCGGCGTCCGAAGACAATGCGAGCCTTGAAGATAAGGCGGAGAAGTCCTACATGCCAGATCCCAGGCACTGCCTTGTGTTCACGATAGAGCTTGACATCAGTAGCATTCCTTCCATAGGGCTTGCAGAAAGCGGCAGAAACCATCGCGAAGACGGTCGGTGCAGTTCGCTTGGAGGATCTTGCCCTGGAGATGGTGAGATTGCCCGGAGCTGATTTCAACGCCGTTCACTCCATGGAGGTCTCCCACACTTGGTGGAAAGTGCCAGTTGTCGTGCAGTGCTTCCCCCGCAGAGTGGCTGCAGCTACTTCCTGAAAGTGGCCACTCACCTGGGGAACGTGGACGGTGTTGCAGCTTTCCACACGCTCCTGAACGTGGCGGAGTACATCGAGCAGGTCTCGAGCGGCAAGGTGCCGGCCTTTCAGGTCGCAAACCGGCGTGTGGAGACGAGAAGAAGATGGCTGCTCCTCAGAACTTCAGAGCCTCTCAGGCGGAGAGTCCACGCTGGAGGAGGCTCTCTCTAATGGGCTGCCGCCAAACCCAAGCCGGAGCCGCTTCGAAGAGCAGCTGAAACCTCGTCTGTGCAGTCGCCTCTCCGACAGCGCGACCCCTTTCAAGGAGTTCCTGGGTGTCATGTCGGAGATCATGGAGAGGTTGAAGCTGAGCCATGTGGCCACAACGGTAAACTATTCACCCTCGATTGCTTTGTCCCGATTGCAGTACAGGGTTGCTTTTTTGTAGCACCTTTGGGGCCAAACTGTATGCAGTTTTGGTATATGGACCCGAAATTTACTTGCTCGACAGTTTTCGGGATTTTTGCTGCTAAGCCGGAAGCCCCCTCGCAAAGGTGCCTCAGCCTCCACACGAGATAGACACTACAACCCAAAATCAGAAAACCCTAAAGCCCCACGGCCTTAAGCGCCAAAAGCCCAACACCTTAGACCCCTGAACCCGAGGTCAGGCCTCGCGAAACTTATAAATAGCCCGAAGTTGGGCCAAGGAGACCGTTCATTCCTGAGCCGGTGTCCGTTCCCTTGGAGGCCTCTCAGCAGGCCGCTGCAGCTGGGAAGTCACCAGACCTTTGGTTGAGGGCCAGACAGTCGGTTGAGGGCTTCAGGTTTAGGGTTTACCTAAAGTCTCCATTGCAGTTCCTTTTTTTGGTCTAACCAAATATATAACTAGGATCTTATAAGGTAGCCCCAAAAAGGAACTACAATGGAGACTACAGGTAGGATGTAGTAGCCTACCTGGGAATGTTCCCGGGATGTAGATGGATTGGGTGCTTTGCTTTGTGCGACCTGTATGTCGGTTTGAGACTATGTCTGGAATCCATCTTCCCAGCCTTGAACGAACCCACACAAGACCTTCGCAAAGCCATGAAAGGAACCCTTCTAAGACCTTCATCATGCTTTCGATAGGAGCACGAACATGGCTACTTGTTGTCCAGGTTTGAACCCGTACAGAAACGAATAAGGCGCCTATAAAGCTCTTGTGAAGACCCACCCTAAACCTAAGCCCCAAGCCCTAAACCCTGAACCCAAACCCTAAACCCCAAACCCTAAACCCTTAACCCAAACCCTAAACCCCAAACCCTAAAACCCAAACCCTTAACCTTTAACCATCCTTAACCCCAAACCCTTAACCCCAAACCCTAAACCCCGAACCCTAAAACCCTTAACCCTAAACCACAAACCCTTAACCCTAAACCCCAAGCCCTAAACCCCAAACCCCAAACCCTTAAGCCAAACCCTTAACCCAAAACCACTTAAAGGTCCGTTAAAGAAACCCCGAAACTTCAATCTCTGAGGCCAGGGCGCGGAGCTCCCCCAAACGGGAGAGGTCTGCGAGGAGCCTGAGCTGTACGTTACTCCATAGGCCCCATAGTAGTTCCTTTTTGGGGCGTCTTTAAGGGCTCTAGATAGGAGGGGTCTATGGTATCGTATAGTATATGGGTCTTAATACCCATAGACCCCATAGTAGTTCCTTTGTACGATTATCTTATGGAATCCTTTAGGGTCTGGGGGTGTTTTGGTATACCCCAAGGCCCAATAGTAGTTCCTTTTTGGGGTTCATGTTTAGATTTTTGTAAGATAGTCATGTAACCCCAAGAAGGAACTACTATGGGGCCTATGGGTAGTTTAGGGTTCGGTACAAGGCGGTTGTTCATTGACCTACTATGTTTGTTTGTTCTCTCTGTACGTCATTTTAGGGTTCAGTGTGTGGGGCTCTATAGGGGACTTATAACGAGGTTGTACATTGATCTACTGTTTTCTTTTTGATTTCTGGGTACCTATAATACTATGACTTAGTCAAAAGAAGTATAGCTTTTTGGTGTTTTCTCAGCGGCTGCTGAACAGCTTGGATAACAAATTCATTCAACAGGGCTTCATGAGGACTTTGCAAAGCTTCGTAGAGTGTTCGGCGTTCTTACTTCTGCAAGTTACTAACCCTAAACCCCTAACCCCTCAACCCCTATAAACCCTACACCCCTAAGTCCCTCAACCCCTAAACCCCCATCCCACTTCAGGTTCGTCCTGATAGATGACAGGATTGCCCCTGTTAGATTTGTGGTGTAGGGCCCGACCTCAGTTGTAGTGTGGATGATGCCTGGATCTTCAGATATGTATGTACATATCAGATCAGGTCAGGTCATATCAGATCATATCTTGTCATCTCATATCATGTCATATCATATCAGATCGTATCATATCTTGTCATATCTTACCATAATATAGAATATATGTAAGTATAAGTATGTTTTGCATTTATAAATATATATATAGAAGTAGGTATATATATATATACACACATCATGTATATATATATATAATATATATATATATATATATATATATATATATATTACTTACTTACTTACAATGTAGCGCGATGTAAGGCAATGGAATGTAATCTGATGCACTGTCTTGCAATGTAACCAAACGGCATGGTTTGGAATGGAATGGCATTGTACTGTAGTGTAATGTATTATAATGTGCCCTATGAACGTTTGGCAAGCGGCCGAGGTATTACTTCGAGAATCTGACGGTGCTCGCTCGAATTGCCCGGCAGCTTTCTGAAAAGCTTCTTGGCGATGCAACAAGCAAGCAAGACCTATCGCGACGGCATGCTATCCAGCATCCAGCATCTTAGGAGATGTGTCGTGCCCGTCATTCTCACAATCAAATCACCAGTCTCCACCTGCTATCCAAGGTTACATGCACGTGTCAGCCTGTTTGGGGAGCCGCTGGACGGCCCTTACCCCAATGTGGAACGGTTCTTGGCACTGCAGCAGTCACATTGGGACTCAGTGTAAGCTCGGTAATAAGGCTTGTGTTACTTCTTGTCACAAGAGCAGGGACCTCAGATACAGTATTCACGCCTACATAATCGCTCAAAGGTAGTTATCAGCAGGGTTATAGCCCCTTAATATGGGTTATAAGTCTAGTTAGCCTACTTATAACCCTACTCATAACCACCCGTGAACCTCCAAGTAGCAAATCTTGCATGTTGATGTGTTCACATAGCCCTAAGGCCGTGATGAAGCAAAGAACTTACAGAATCCCGCACTCTTTTGATTTCAATCGCCAGGGACCCCAAATAGCCCAGGGACCTTCCAAAGCAGCATCTGTGGTCTATCAGCCTTTCCGGGGCCTGGTGCGAAGATTTCGTAAGTACCTGTAGTCTCCATTGTAGATCCTTTTTGAGGTTACCTTATAAGATCCTAATTATATATTTGGTTAGACCAAAAAAAGGAACTACAATGGAGACTATAGGTATGCTCGTACAACAAGAACAGAAAATTCATACTAACACGCATAACAACAGTCACGGCAAGCATAATCACAGTACTCCCAGTGAAAACCAGATTAATGAGAGTAGCAGATCATCTTTTCGACATATCAATATCTAAACCCTAAACCCAACGTCCTTCAGTTCGTCGTACAGCCTATGGGAATCTGAGGCTTCAGAGCTTTCCAACACTCTACGACGCAGCCTGGGAGGACATTTATCCGGGCGTGGAGAGGTGGGAGCTAGTCTCGCATTGGGCCTGCAATTGTATAAAGTCGGAGTTTAGTAATTTCGGGGTTGAGGTGGAGATGTCCTGTATAGCGATTATAGGATCGGGGTTTAGTGCATCGGGCGTGTTCGGGCTGTAGGAAATAGGAATCTACGGGTAATGTTGTGTGTTAGCGCCGCGGTCTGCTTTCTAGGGTTTTGGCTTGTATATGGTTTAATGAATGTCGCGGTTGGGGGGCTGTCGCTTGATTCGGGAATCTAGGGTTTGTTTGTTAGCTTTTCGTTAGCTTTTGGTGTCGAAAGAATATGTTCTCATGTAGCCCGGGGTGTGGTTGGGGAGATGCTGCGTTCTAGGTTTTATCTGCAGTAAACTCCATAAACTTGGAAACCGGATCAAGGCCAAATATTGCTCTTGAGGATTGAGGCTATTGGGTTTCCAACTTTTGGGCTTCTACTGTATCCCTAAGCCGCAAGCCCCAAACCCTAAGATTTATAGCCTCTAGGGCTGAGGCTAGGATCTGTGGTTTAAGCTCGGGCTGACTTTTTGTGTGTTTCGCTTTTAAGTTGATGCTTTGTTGTTCCGCTTTAGATGCAGATGACTTTTTGGATGCAGATGGGTGTGAGACATGGCGCCGACTGAAGGCCAGCGACGCCTCTGCAGAAAAGGTTAACACTGCTGAACCTCACATGCGTAGCCCTGCCACAGGAAAGGCGTACTGGAGGAAGTATCGGCAGCATGAATATGTGTCGTAATTTGAATGCCTGGGGGTGCACGACTTTGGTTTCGTCTTATCGCTGCTTAAGGCTCACAAACTCGGTGTGACGAAAGTACCCCCAAAAGGACATGTCTGGAGCTGCCGCGGCTCGTTTCAAAAGGACAACTGTTTGGTTCATCTGCTCCGTTTTATACAGGCGCTGCACAATATTGGGTACCCCAAGAGGGGCCCTAGTTTAGAGAACTGCGCACATGAGCTGCCAACCCTGAACCCCAAAGCAGCGCCCTAAACCCCTGAACCATTCGCACCAAGCCCCAATCTCCAAATCCCTTCAAGCCCTATAGGTTTAGGGTTTAGGGTTTAGGGTTTAGGGTTATAAAACCTTGCCTTCAATCCGACGCGATGCCCGAACGCCGAACATCGTACCGCAGCAGTAATAATTGCCATAAATATCGTATGACATATCCCAGCGCTCGATGACAAGTACTAGTCAAAGCCCATATGAGCGGAGAGCTAAACCATCGAAGAGCTAGCCAGACTAGGGCCGGCATTAACGAATGGGCGCGCAAGCGCGCGTAAGCAACAGTCGCATGCGCGGAAGGCTTGCGCACCGGTTGCTTTAAAAACGGATGTGCGGAAGGGGTGCGCGGAAGGGTATCTTGAGGCCTTTCCTGCGCAAAGACCTGTAAATGCGGAAGGGCGCGCGGAAGGCTTAAAGCTTAAGAGCTGACTCAAGGGCCCGCGCATAAGGGACAGTTGGCTCCACGGAAGCTGCGCGCACCCTAAACGCGGAAGGGCTTGTTAGCGTCAACGATTTGAAAAGAGGTTTTGATAACCGCTCATATGTGCTAAAACCCGATAAGACTTTCGAGAGCTCCATAGAACGTATTAAAGCTCCCCATCCTAAGGCCCGACTACTGGATGTGTTGCAGCTTTGGGCCGTTTTTTGTGATTTTGCGACCGGGTTCCAACACCCCTTAACATTCCCTGTAAATCTTTGTGTTGTAGTCTCCAATATCCATCAACATGCCATATACATCCCGTATAGATGCTACATCTCTATAGACCCCCTTCGCATCCCTATAAACCCTTTTCAACCCCTACAGATTTTTAAATCCCTCTAAACTCAGTATTACATCCGCGACCAGGTTCCACGAGGCTTCGGATGTGTTCGGACCTCGCAGCAGCTCGGCCCCATGATCCTAAAGCCCAAGATTTGAGTGATGAAAAGTTAGGGGGATAGCGGGTTTAAAGAGTTTCTGGCAGATGCCACGGAAGTCGGAATTACGTGAAACCGACACCGATCGAGAAGCGGGATGGAGCCTTCTATTTTAGACCCCACGCCCTAGTCGACCGTGGCCTGAACTAGTTCATAGTTGGGTGCTACCTTGGACTCCTGCAGAAGACCGTACCATACGGGAGTTTAGGGTTTGGGGTTTTAAGAAATCAGAAATCGTTAATCGGTCTTAAACCCCCTGAGCCCTTAACCTGAAAACCCAGAATACAGAGAGTGAGAGGAGAGACTTACCTGCGTAATGACATGTACGTGTCTATGTACATAAGTATACATACAGATACATACATACACATACACATACACATACACATACACATACACATACACATACCCATACACATACACATACATACATACATACATATACATACATGTATACATACATACATACATACATACATACATACATACATACATACATACATACGTATATATATATATATACATATATATAGATATATATACTTACACACTTTCATCTAACTACACATATGTATATACATATGTGTGTATATACGTATATATATATATATATATATATATCTTTCACAGTTACCACGCAGCAAGCCCAGCACTTGGACTTTCAGGCAACGATACGGGGACTACAACCTTAAACCTTCAACATCCCGCAATCTCCAAACCCCTTACCGTAAACAAAAACTGAACGCTAAATCTTTAAACACCTAAGTCCTCAGCCGCTTAACCCTAAACCTCCGAACCCCTTAACCCCAACCCTCTAAACCTGAAGCCTCCTAAACCTCTGAACCCTAAACCTCTAAACCTCTAAACCTCTAAACCCTAAACCCTAAATCCCTAACCCCTAAAACCCCCGCAAGCTTGAACAGAGAAGGCCGACCGGACGGTTTCGTGGATCGCTTCGAGCTGGCGGATGCGCTTCGGAGGCCTCCATTCCTTCGACGCCCATAGGGTTCTTGGAGGGTCGGGGGACTTAGTAACCATAAGGGGTTCCTTTAAAGGGGCCCCTTAAAGGGATCTATAGGGATTCTATAAGGGTTTAGGGTTTAGGGGGACTTAGTAAGTAGTTATTTTAGGGACTTCTAAGCACCATAACCCCCATTAGGGTCTCTTTCAGGGTACCTATAAGTCTACTTACTACCTACTTACTAAGTCCCCCGACCCTCCAAGTTTGTGCCCAGAGACTCCAAAAAGCCCTTAATTAAGGAATATACTTTAGATCACATTAGGGATCCTATTATAAAATTTAAGGTATACTCCTTAACTAAGCGGTTTTGGAGTCTCTGTGTGGTTTCAGGTCGGAGCTTAGGGTTCGGGGGATAAGGTTTAGCAGGGGTTTGGGTTTAGAGTTAGGCCGACATCGGCATTTTGCGACCTAGGTGTCTGGTATGTAGGCCCAAAGGCTCCAAGTGCCAATATCGTAGGTACTTAGTAGATATTTGGGTCCCCAAAGTGTATACTGTACTATATTATCACTTGAATCCTTTGGAAGGTGCATGGAGCCTAAACTAAAGTCTAAACCCTCAACCCCTACATAACCGAAAAACCCTAAAACCCTAAAGCTCAAAACCCTAAACGCTAAATCCTTAAAGCTCAAATCCCCAAAAATCCCCTAAACCTGAAGCCGTAAACCCTACGCGTGCTTTCGGAGCCTTAACTCTAAACGCTCAACCCCTAACCTATAAACCCTAAATGCTTGAAACCCCCCTAAACCCTAAACCCTAAAACTCTAAACCCTAGGCGCGCGCGGAGCCTTCGGGGACTGCAAAAAGGGCTTCGGGGCGGGCGGTTCGGTTCGGGCGGTTCGAGGTTTGGTCTTCGACTCAGGGGTTCTGAGCTCTCAAACAGGCTGTAAGTAACCCTAAGGTAAAAGCCCAAAAGTTGGAAACACAATAGCCTCTAATGTATAGGGAATCCCAGCACTATTTGTCCTTAATCCGGTTTCCAACTTTTTGGAGTTTACTGTAAACCCTAAACCCTAAACCCTAAGAGGTACTGTAAGGCTTGCTATCAGGGCCTCTCTACCGCGAAAACACTGAGCTTTGGGGGGGGCCCAGAGTTTCGGGGTTTAGGTTTTTTTGTTTTTTTTTTGTTTTTTTTTAATTTTGTTTTATGGTTTTTAGGGTTTTTAGGGTGTGCTTCTGCAGGGTAATGATATATTTTCTGGGATTTGGAGTTTGGGGGCATTTTAGGCTTCAGGCACCGTCGAGCACTAGAGCCAGTAGCAGAGCGTCCTCTTCTCACGAACAGCGTTCAAGCAGCTCAAGTACCTGAAGGCTCCATGTACCTTACCTATAGGGTCATACCCTACCCCTTTTTTAAGGTACCTACTTTTCTATATAAGAGAACCTAACCATAAAACCAGGTACCCTAAAAAAGGGGTAGGGTATGACCCTCTAGGTATAGTAGATACTTAAGCCTTAAAGGGGTCCCTATATAGGTACGTTAAGCCTTAAGTATATACTATATGGGTACATGGAGGCTTATAGGGGTACCTGAACTTACCTTTGGTTAGTAGGGAATGGAAGAATGGTAGTATAACAGTAGTGATAACTGTGCCCCATTCCTCCATTCCTTTAACCAAAGGTACCTGAACCCCCTAAGTACGCAAAACAATAGCCGTGTATAGGTGCTCGGTACAAATTTGTGGGGAGTTTAAGTAAGGCTCAGGTCAGTTGGTTTGTTGCACGATGTATTGGGTTGCTTAAGACGCAGAACCCGTTTCTGCAAGGTCGCTAGCTTTGCTATCGCGCTTTCAGGTTTCGGGCTTGTGGGGTTTAGGGCTATCGGGCTTAGCATTCCTTGAGAGGTGTCGTACCTTGGCTGTTTTAGCTTCTTGTGTCCCAGCCCGCTTAGTTGTGGTTCAAGTATAAGGGGGTTCCGAAAATTAGGGTTACCGGAAACAGGAACCTACTATTGACTATTGAGGGTATTATATTAGGGTCGCCTATTTTCGGAACGCCCCAGAAGCCCATAACTCGTGGTTTGGATTCGGGGTACTGCCGCTGCTTGCTGACTCATGCCTCTTTGCGTGTGTGTCGCTGTTTGTTAAAATAAGGTTTTCAAACACATTCTTGTTTAAAAGAACCCTCTTCGATTTAACCCTCTAGCAAACTCTCATAATCGCACCGCTGTCAAGGCTCTACGGAACCATCACAAAAAAAACTTCTACGAAGGCCTTTTACAGCCGTTCTGAAGCCCTTGCTGCATACCCGTATATACTTTGACAAAGCCCGCACACAGGCGTCATAGCACCGTTGCAGATGCCTTATGACCCTGCTTGAACCCGATGCCCGAACCTGTCACGAAAGCCCTCGGCCCTAAACCTGCCCTGTGCCGTAGATCCCTGGTCCCTTTTCCAAGTCCATCCCGGCCAAGTCCATTACAGCAGGCTTTCGGCACCCTTAGACAACCGTCTTCGAACCCCTTTAAGAATCCTTACTCCCCATGGCCTTAAAGGGAACTCCAGAAAGTTGGAATATGGATTAATGGTAGGATCCCCTATAATTTACCTTAAAGGGGTTACGATAATGATATTCCAACTTTCTGGCTTCTACTGTAGGGGTATCGCCACAGGTTGGATATCTTCGCCACACCCCAGGACTCTCGGGGGGCTCTTTCGGTGCAGGCTTCTATGAGGTTTCCCTTGCGCCTTGTGCGTCGGGTTTGTCGGGCTTTGCACTCTTTCGATGTTGGGGCTGAGGCATCTTGTCCATGTCCAGTGCATTTATGAAGGGGTTGAGTGGCGTCCGTAACGAATTGATACCGTTTACACAGGCTTTTTACAAAGGCATCTCGGGTTTAGAGTTGGGTGCTTTGGGTGCTAGGACCTTCAAAGCTTTAAGGCTCTGGCGTTGGCCTAGTGCTTCTGGGATTTATGGGTTACTTGGAGGCCCAGGGGACTTAGTAAGTAGGTTATAAGTACGGTTGTAAGTACCCCCAAATGAACTTACCCCAATTATAACCCTACCTACAACCTACTTGCTAAGTCCCCTGCACCCTGGGGTCCCAGGGCTTTTAGGCGTCCGCGCAAGAAACAAAAAATCCTCCGAGGCCTCCACTGCAAGCCCCGGGGGCCTTCAAGCCTACTATTTGAGTGACGTCACAAAGACCCTACACATGAGACCCCTGCCGAACTCTAAGAAAAGCCCTGCGCCCTAAGCCCTAGCTGAAACGACCATAACCTATGCTTGTCGACATATAGCGGTCGCCCGGATTTCTCTTCCCCGGGCTATCCGCGCAATCAGCACATGCGCTACCGAGCAGTGCTGCATCATCGATACCTATCGGGCAATGACGGCTCGCCTTGATATTGCTGCCACGTACAACCCAGTGCCAACCAGTCTTGCAGCAAAAGCAGACCGCCCACGTGGACCCACGAGGTCTTCGTTTCCAACTGTTTTTCTTTTGCGCGGAAGGTGAGAAGGGAGATGCACAGAGCCCGCTTCGTGGAGTCGCCCACGGCTTCTGAAGCTGTGTCTTCCAGCGTCATGCGGCAATGCGAAGCTGATGGACTCTTCAACATTCGACAGCTTCTCGGGGTTCTAGGGTTTGGGGTTGAGGTTCGGTTGAGAATACTCTACCCTACACACACAACCCTACACATACACACACAACCCTAGTTTCAAGAGCGTAAGCCGTAAGCCCATGACCTATAAGCTCATTCGAATGCTTCTGAGGACATTGTCGTCCGCGCGCAAGTTCAGTAGCCGAGCATCACTAGGCGACACAGGGGTCGCTGCCATGATGCCATTCAGGCATAATGTATAGGGTTCAAGGGTTTAGGCGTTGGGGGTTAGGATGAAAGCCTCGAGTTCCGTTTCCGGCAAGACAACCCCTCGTGAGTTCTCGCCTTCAAAGTACTTATGGCCCCTTGCAGGGCCCCGAGCCTCCTTAACTGGCATCCATTGACACGTCAAGTTGTCATATAAGAGCCTTCACAAGTAGTACAGGGCTTTAAGCATGTACTGTAATTTTGCTAGAATGTACTTGTACTAAATAAGGAACTCGCCCTGAACCTCTACACCCCTATCCCTAAATCGCTACACCCTAAGCCCCTAGGCCCTTAAAGCCTGAGCTCCTACAGTAAACGCCATAAAGTTGGAAGCAGGATTAAGGCCAAATAGTGCTGGGATTCCCTATACATTACTCTTAAGGATTGAGGCTATGGGGTGTCCAGCTTTCGGGCTTCTACGAGGACTAGGTGTCAATTTGGGAAACTTTTAATTTCCCTTATGGTTCCTATAGAGGTACCTATTCATAAATATTTTTCAGAGACCCAAAACTACAACCCAGCTGATTGTATCTCTCCAAAATCCTAACCTACATAACTACTATCTCTTATAGATTGAGGCCATTACTTTTGGGCTTCTACCGTAATCTCTGAGACTCCTTGCTCCGAAGGATGTCGACAGCCTCGTCTCGTGCCCGGCCACCGTCGACCTTCTGCAATTGACTCCTGGAGTATAACAGTTCAGGGTTTTTCAGAGCTGTTTACAAGGGTTTGCAGAAGCCTGTATATGATATATGGGACTTTCAAAACAAGGGCAACTTAACACGACCTCCTGATAAGTTCCCAGGTGGTAAGTTGCCCCAAGCAGCCTAACCCAAAGGGTCCAAGTACCAATATAGTAGGTACTCAGTAGGTATTTGGGCCCCAAAAGGATATACCATACGGACCATACTATTACTTGGAGCCTTTGGCTAACGTACTTAGAGGTTCAGGGGTAGATCTAAGTAGGGTTACAAGTCCCTTAATATGGGTTATAAGTATGGTTGCCCTACTTATACCCCTACATATAAATACCCATGAACCTCCAAGTAGGAGCCGGAACATTAGCAAAGCTCGCAAAAGAATTGTCTGGGGCTCCCGGACTCCCCCTTATATGTCCTTTTAAAACATGCCAGCAAAACAGCTTCTCTGTGAAGGCCGGAGGCCCTATAGGCTCTTTGAAACGGTTTAGGGTTTAGGGTTTACTAATCCGGCCTTTCAGGATGCTGGTTTCATGGGTGTTGCAGGATTTGTATAGACTTCTCATTGGGTTTACTTAGAGGCCCAGGACACTTAGTCAGTAGGTGAAAAGTAGAGTTATAAGTGCCCTAAATGGAGTTACCCCCCACTTGTGACCACTTCCTAGGTCCCCTGGGCCTCCAAGTATGTAAGTGCAACAAGGCATAGTCGGGTTCATGTGCCTGGAAAGCATACACTTCGACGACAAGGGGGTCCGATCTGCCAGAGTGTGAACTATATGGGCCCTGGGTGCATGAACCCCTCGGAGATTTGGTACGCCGGCCTACTTGGAGGGTCGGGGGACTTAGTAAGTAGGTAGTAAGTAGACTTGTAAGTACCCTAAAAGGGACCCTAATTGGGGTTATGGTACTTATAAGTCCCGAAAATAACTACTTACTAAGTCCCCCGACCCTCCAAGTAGACGATCTGTTCCAGGGTTTTGGGGGGTTTGAGGGTGTGCCATTACTGGTCCATCATGCCACCTTTATGCATCGGTCTACAAGCTCCCCCAACCAGCCAGGTCTACGATAATCCTGGGGTCTAGAGTCGTGAGGTTTACGGCAACCCTACACCCCAAAGCCAAGCTTACGGTTGAGCCCAAAACCCCAAACCAAAAGCCCGAAAGAGGGTAAGTTAAGTCGAGACCCTAAACCCGAAACCCTAAACCAAAAACCCTTGGGTTTGGAGTGGGGCCCTACACCCTCAGCCCTACAGCTTGGGATTGAGTTTTAGGGCTCCGGCTGTTCGGAGATCAGGTTCGATGTTTTAGGGTTAAACCTGAGTAAGAGCTGAAGGGTTCAGGGGTTAGGGTTTATAGGGTTCAGGGGTTTAGGAAAGTTTAGGGGTAGGGGTTCAGGGTTTAGGATTTAGGGGACTTAGGTTTTACGGAGAAATCCAGCGGGATTGCAAGAAAACAGGGTTTCAGAGGTCTGTGACAGCCCAATATTCCTTCGAATAGACCGCCCGGCTACTTGTTCAGAGATGTTGAAACGACGGCTGCAGGGGCTTTTTGAGAATGTTCGAACTGTGGCTTCAATCACAGCAGCGAGTTTGATGTTCAGGTTTGGCTGAAGCCGAGGTGTTTTGTTCAATGTAGACCCTCATTATGACTGAACCCCTAGTAGCCCTATTCTAATCTCTAGAAAGTGGAGGGAGTGTGTTGCTCAGGGATCTTCCTTACTGAAGTACCTGCCACTAGCGGCGCGTGAGCACGGGAAGTTTCAGGCCCAGCCATGCTCGAATTGGGCGTTTCAGAAGCAGGCAAGCCTGCGAAGTCTAGATAGTAGGCCCTACTCTGAAGAGCCCCTGATTCAAGAACCCTCCCCCCCTCTTTGCCCTAAACCCTAAACCGGTTTAGGGTTTAGGGTTTTGTACCTTTATGGGAGCTTACGCCCAAAAAAAAAACGAAGCCCCGGACCCGAAGTCCTAATGCTCAGCTGAACCCTAAAGTCCCTAAAGTTTGAACCGTTCTAATTTTAGTCGGTTTTGGCCCAGGACGCTGCAGAAGTTCTCGGAGAGCCGCCGCTACAGGACCAGAAGTGAAGAATTTCCATTCGGAATTTGCAACATGTCTTACGGCTCGGAAATGAATGAAGAGGTGCAAGTCGTGTGAGAAGTTGCGACAAGCGAAACCCAATGCCAGCATCCGGATACACCCCAAGGAGGCACCTTAAACCGTGAGCACCGGAGTCAAACTGGAGAATAAGCAGTCAAAAGAATATGAACCCGACAACCTGAACCCTATTAGCGAATTAGAGTTGTGTGCGGAATGTTATTCTCATGATGCCGCTCGGCTTTGATAGCACTGGCTGAGAACCTGAAGCTGTCATGTGTTGAGGTTTCAGCGTGAGGCATCCAACCAAGTCACATCGACAAGCAGAGGCCAAACGGAACACATGGAAGCCTAAATAACTGCCAATAGTTTTCCATACAGGGTTCCTTACTGTACTGTGCTGATACTCTAGTAACCTCGAAACACTGTTCCAATTAGTAAGGCTTCCAAGTTAGTAGAGACCGTCGTCACGGATGCCCTATAGATTCACGCCAGAAGCCTGGACCGGAACCCTTAGCTCTGAACCGTAAGCCCGCAATCCCCAACTCTAAAACTTTGTACTCGTAGTGTACCTTCCGGATCACAATCCTGACAGTGGCCCTTGTAGTAACTCTTCGGGTGACCCCTATAGCAACGCATACCGTAGCCCGTATCGTATCCCGTATAGCAACCCAACCCCGAACCCCCAGCCCTAAGCCATACGGTTGATGATATAAATCCTGCATTGCCCATAATAAGGAATATATCATATTTCCCATAGTTTAGGTTCCACAGTTTAGGGTCCTTGGTTTAGGGTCCTTAGGGTAATGCAGGATTCATATCATCAACCCTACCTAAGCCTTGAACCCGGAATCCCAAACCCTCGACCCTAAGCCCTGAGCCCCAAAGCCTCTAGGCAAACGCTACATGGGTGGTTGTCAAAATTAGGGTCCCCTTTTTGGGTCCTTATTGTAATACGGCACCTAATATTTAGGGTACCCCAAAAGGGGCCATAATCTAGACAACTACCCACATCTTAGATCCTGGATCCTGGTTCCATCCCCCAAACCCTACATCCATCTACATCCTAAACCCTATCTAAGCCCTGCATCCTATGGCTTGAACCCTATAAGCCCTGCACCCTAAACCCCAAATAACCCCTTAATCCCAAATCCCTATAAACATCCTATTATTATAACCATCCTAACCATCCTAAGCCCTAAACCTTGAATCCTACGCCCCAAACCCCAAGGCCCGTGAGCCCTGACCCGCTTTTTCCTATGTAAGGAATCCCTTTTTTTATCACCCCAAAGCCCTAAACCCTAAGCCCTGAACCCTCAACCTCAAAAAAAAAAAAAAGAACCCTCAACCCCACATAAACCCAAATCCAAAAAACCCTAGGCCCCCAAGCCCTAAACTGCTTTTGGCCCCACCCTAAGGCCCTAAAGTAGTTCCTTTTTGGGGTTCATATTTAGAATCCTATTAGGTAATCCCAAAAAGGAACTACTTTGGGGCCTCTGGGCAGAGCCCTGACCCGCTTTTTCCGAGGAGTTACTTCGCGCCTCCGATGATCCCACCTCGCTCGCCGAGCCTCTCTGGGCTCCTCAAGGCAGGAATTTGTAGCTAAGTAGGTAACCTTCTTAGGGTTTAGGGTGGGGTCCTTTTAGGGTGCTACTAAGGGTGCCATGAGGGTTTGCCTCTTTGGGCTTCTCAAGGCAAGAGGCTTTCGAGTTTAATTTAGGGGCCTTCATTTTTAGAATAAGGTTGGGGTTTACTCTACTATAGCCATAATCAGGATTTTGTTTAGGGGTTCGCTCTACGATGGATTTCGGGTTTCTTTAGAGTTTGGGGTTTAGGGTGTAGGAATTGAGGCTTGTTCAGGGTTTGGCGTTTGGGGTTTAGGTTTTAGGGTTGATGATTAAGGTTTCAGGTTAAGGACGTAGGAGTTACCAGATTTAAATACCAGATTTAAATATAGGGTTGAGTGTTTAGATTGTAGGAAGCGCGATGCAGTGTTCAAAGTTTTTTCTGCTGCGTTTAGGGTTCGGGCTGCAGGGATTGAGGCTTGCTGCCCGGATGGATGGCCTGTCTGAGACTGACTTATGACACTAGGACCATAGTTTCGTGGATATCAACGGTGTCGTTGTACAGTTAGCTCTTGCAAGGGGCTCTTAGTGCGACGACATTTGACCTTCAAACATGTGTGTCGTACACCGGGGACATTGAGTTCTTTCACCGCGCGTTTGGTCCTCAGGGTGGATTGGAGGCGTCGGTGGGACCACATATATGTGTACGCCAGACGCTACGCTAAACCCTAAACCGCAACCCCGAAACCCAGGAACCTGAGTTCTTGCCAGTTCTTGCATACTTCCGACGACCCCAAACACTTTAAACATGAGCGCGGAAGCTCATCAGAGCCTTTAAGGAAGGAAAGACAATCTCCTCAAATATCATAGTCTTGGGTCAAGGGCTTAATTCAAGTGGCCATATAAGTCATCCTTGCATCCAGCATCCTGTTTGTCTAGCAAAGTTTGAAGAGCTACCCAACTCAGTAACTCAAAAACACAAAACCCGAAACCTGGGTCCTAAGAAACCTATCTTTTTTTTTTGAAGACTTACATGGGGAAATCCCTAAACCCGAAACCCTGAACCCTCAGCCTTGAACCCTAAACCCTGATCCCTAAGCCCTAAACTCCAAGACCTAACACTCATATCGGAGTTTCCGGAAAAATGAGGGGGTGACCTTGTCTTGGGCCCTTGCAATTTTTACAAGGATCCTACTATTCAGGGTACTAGATTAGGGTTCCCTTTTGTTGGAAACCCCTGTAGACTCCACCAAATAGTAACCTACAAAACTATTAATTACCCGTTACCCGAAATGTAAGTACCCAATTATAACATCAAACTCTGAGCCCGAATCCAATTAAAGCTTAAGCCGGCTCAAATGTCAGGCTCGGGCCAAAGGTGACCGACGTTGGACGGGGGAGGGCGTGCCATCCGGCGAGCCGAGCAATGGCTTTCCGTGGGCTGCGAGGATCTAGTATAGGGGCCTCAATTCTCTAGGGATCTAAGGGCTCGTACATTAAGGCTTTTGGGCCCAAAGACCATACTATATAAGGCTTTTGAGCGACTTTGATCCCTAGGGATTGTGGGCGTTCCTTAATTATTATAACTATAGTGGCATTGAATTACCACAACACCATATTCGAACTATTAAGTTAAGGCCACTGTATTAGTTTTCCACTCTGGGCTGTTTTAAGCTGGGGCTCCGCTCAGGGTTGCTTAGGCTCCCTGCAAGGTTCCTATAAGGGTTCCTTTAAGGGTTCCTATAACGGCTGCCTTAAGCTCTGCTAGGCGTTCATAGGTTTTCTCTGTTGAGGGTTCCTATAAGGGTTCCGTAGGGCACCATTTAAAGGCTTTTAAGGGGTTTAGTTTAGGGATCAGGGCTTAGGGTATGAGGAACTGCGGGTTTAGGAAAGGGCTTCTGTGGGAGCGGTATGGGGAGTCTACAAGGATTCCCTTGGCTTCAGGCTTTTGGGTTTCTTTGGTGGGTTGGTTTTTCGGGTTTAGGGGGGAGCGGGTTTTTGTTACACCACAATCCAGAAAGCTCAAGTACCTAGTGGAAGGGAAGCTGTTTTGCAGCTCTCTGCCAGGACTCCTTACGGTAGGTAGGTAGTTCTTTAAGTAAGGGTCCCTTTCAGGATCCTGTTTATACGGGTGCCGCACTATTTTGGGGGGACCGACACAGGGGACCCTACTTCAGAGAACTCAGCGTGAGGCTGCTCTCAGGTCTGCATGGGCTAACCATTGATATTGGAGGAGCTAAGGAGCCAAGGATGATAAATGCTTATTGAATAGGGAGCTAGAGAGCCAAGGGAACCCCAAAACCACTGGTCAGTAGGTTATTCAGGCAGGGCATAATAAGGTCTTTAATCGGGTCGCAATTGGGATTACGCCAATCTATAGATCTTAAACCTAGAACATCCTAAAGCTATCAGTATAACTTGCTCAAGCAGGGCCTCCAATCCTTCCAGCAAGCATGGGTTAAGTGGAAGCTTCATCCGATCCTGGCCCACCTACTTTCTCTTGGGCCAAAGTTCGCCCACCCAAAGGGTCCAAGTAATGGTATAGAAAATACTTTTGGGGCTCGAATATCTACTAAGTACCTACTGTTTGAGTACTTGGACCCTTTGGGCCAAGAAGCGCCGGCACGGATAGCTGCGCGATCATTTCACAGGGACCGCATCGCGGTGGAGCAGTGCAAAAAGCCTCAAGCCATGAATTCTGCCGACACCATACTCCCAGGCCCGTGACCCCAACCCCGAAACCCGAAGCCCTAAATCCAAGACCCTCAAGAACTAGGTGGCAATTTGGGAAACTTGTTAATTTCCCTTATGGTTCCTATAGAGGTACCTAGTCATAAATACTTTTCAGAGCCCCATAACTACAACCCAGAGAAGGAGCCTTGGCTGCATGCCCCAACTCCGTAGGAAGCTGGACAAGTAAATTAAGATTGAATCCTGCGGCCCTACCTTGACGGTCATATAGGTCATACTGAGAGGCCCAAGAGACGTAGTAAGTAGGGTATGAGTAGAGTTATATTATGAAAAGCTTAAATGGAGTTACCCCAAGCATAACCCTACTTAGACGCGATCTACGAAGTCCCTTGGGTACCCTACACTTGTTTTTTTGTTGGGAGGTGGCTTGAGAAGTAAGTAGGTACCCTGAAACACAGGGGGCAGCGGATGGCAAGGTCCAAGTAAGTCGAGAGTCGGTTGCCGGCAGGACCCCTTGCATTGAGTACACGATTCGGTTGAGGACCCTACAAGGGACCCTAATTCAGAGAACTACGCGTATGAAAGACATGCGACCAAGGCTGCGGCTACGCTGGCCGTTCCCCGCTTATCGCGCGGTCACTCAGCACGAAGCTAAGTTCTGTCGCTCACGAGGTCAAGACTTGGGCTTAAGCATTCTGTTCTTATTTAGGGAGACGTAGTGCTTTTCGGGTTCAGATTCAGGATTGCCGTGTTTTAGGGGCTTTCAGCAAGGTTGACCTATAAAAGATATTTGCGGGCAAGTCGACACACAACCACACAAAGAGGCAGATCAGTAAAGTAAGTGACTGATGAGCTAAACTGTTTTCTCCACTGCCGTCCCTCAGCAAACAAGCATGTCAATCAGCCTGAGTTCTTCATCTCTGGGCCGGTCATAGTTTTCGGCGTTGCATGGGTCGACTGCATGGTGACGTTCTTGTTATCGTTATTGTTGTTATCAGTGCTGTCATGACTGTTAGTATCAAGTTGTATAATATTCAAGATATAAATATATTGGGACCTTAATCGTAGCCATATTATCGACTCTCACTGTATGGGGGGGGGGCAGTACCTTATATTTTGTCATGGTTAGTCGGTTAGTACTCTGCAGTCTACTGATGAGCCAAAGGGGCGAAGACGTGCGGTCGCAACTTAGACGCTCAGCAACTCACATAATGAATTATCTGCGTCCATAATATGGGTACCTGCACCTGCTTCTGGGGGCCTTCTACAACCCCTGTAACTCATACGCCCTAAGCGCCCCCCCTCCCCCAAAAAAAACACAAACAAGCGACATACGTTAACAAATCAAAACACAGAAAGAATATTAAATTTAAAACCCCCAAACCCTGAATCTTAAACCCCCGAGCCCCAAACCCTAAACCCCTGACCCTAAACCCTAAACCCCGAACCCCAAGCCTTAAATCTGGAGATCTATAACAGCGAAGCTGACCGCTCCGAGGATCGCTTCCGTCTTTCGTTTCAGGGCATCGATGGAGGCGCGGCGCACATTCAGGGGCTTGGGACGGGAGCGGGGGGAGGTTCGAGTTCGGGGGCTTGGGGTTTAGTTCTTGGTCTACGGTTTTAAAGCGTTGGGTTTTAGGATTTCAGGTTTTGGGGTCTCCGTAGCCATTTTGGCTCAAGGCGTCTCGGCCCGAGGCTTTTTCATGGGGGAATTTCGCTGAATGCGTGTTCCCTTGTGTAAAGTTGACCAGACCCCAGCGGTAGTAGGTAGTTGATCTTCTTCATCTGCCATCGCCGCGCCGCATTCCAGCTTGAAGCTGGGTGCACTGGCACTCCGGCTCGAAGCTGGGTGCCTGGCGTCCTGTCTGGATGCTACGCTGCCTCATCCTGATGCTGAGTCATTGTGGCGGCGATGTGACTACGATTGCTGCGATGTGGAGCTGTTGCGACGGTCTGTGGCAGTCTCTCAACAAGCTCGTGGTGCTCTCTGACCTGGTGACGGGATGTGTCGGTAATCCGCGGCGGGCAACTTTCGACGCTTGTGCTGTGGTTTACGGCTCATGGCTCACATTAGATCCTGGTGGTCAGCTCCTCTTGCTGTTGCCTGTTAGGCATCACCTTACTGCTGATGCCGCAGGCTCCGGGTCTGGCTTCGTAGTCTCCATGGCCACGGTGTGGGATAGCTCGCACATGCCACGGGTCTGCTGGGATTTTCTGTTCTCTTCGGGTGGAACATCTACCGTCAACAACTTCGTCGGCTGAGTCCTTTGACTGGGGTCAGGCACTCATCGGCCAGGCTGTAGTTTCGGATGCTGACTTTTCGTCCACGCATCCGTCCTTAATCCTGTTTACCGGCAGCGCGCTTGCTTGGCCAAGCACGTTTCTTGCGTGGTGCTTCCTTACCTGGGGCCCGCTGTTGCTGCAGCTTAGAGCTCTTTTCCAGACAGTGGTGTTGCCGGTCTTTGCCTCGTGCTGTCAGGGGCGACCGCTGTCTCGGGGTTAGCTGTTTGCTTGTCTGCCCGTCTGGGCTCCCTCCTTTCGATGGGGTCGAGCTCGGGGGGCCTTCTGTTTCACCTTGCATCGTCGGGCTGTTGTGCTATAGCAGCGCAACTTTTGAGCCCTTCTTCTTAGTCGCTCAGGACCTTCGGACCTCAATGCGAGTCAGTCAGTCAGTCAGTTTTGGGGTCTTGGTGTGGTTTGGGGGGACCCTTGGCCCTTAAACCCCAAATCCCAAATGGCTCTGACTCCCAAATTCCCGATCTCGAAGGCTACAAACCATTCTGAGGGGGTTTGGGGGTGCCGGGCTCAGATTTTTGTAGGGTTTAGGGTTTGGACGGTTCAGCATCTAGATCTTCCGAGGTTTTTTTCCCTGACAGCTTGTGATTTTTACTTGGAGGGTCGGGGGACTTAGCAAGTAGGTAGTAAGTAGACTTATATGTACCCTAAAAGGGACCCTAACTGGGGTTGTGGTACTTATAAGTCCCTAAAATAACTACTTACTAAGTCCCCCGACCCTCCAAGTAGTGTCAGGTGAGGGATCGGAGATCTGAGGGTCAAGAGACCTTGAAGCCTAAAAGCGAAACCCTACTGCTGATGGACAAAATCCTGCACGACCCTGAGAATTCTAAACTATAGGACCTATGGTATATTCCCTATAAAGGGTAATGCAGATTTTTGTACACCAACAGTATTACTACGGTATAATGTAGGAACCTGGTTGTATACGAGACCCTGGGCCCATAACCCCCAAAATAGTAGGGTTCATATAAGGAACCCTACTTAAGGCCCAAGGTTTCTTAAAAAGGTTCCTACATCAGCTATGCCGTAAAACGGTCATCTCTAAACATCTAAACCGCAACTCGGAGCCCGCGAAGCCCTAAGCACCCAACGGCGCTAAACTCTAAAGCCTAAACTGGGTTGTCCTTTGGGTTCTTTTTTAGTTCCCCCCTACTATTTTGTAGAGAACCATAATAATAAATATTTTTCAAAGGGCTTCAAGGACAACTCAGTAAACTTTCAAGTAACTATACACGAAACCCGCCCTAAACTCAAAATGCCAGACCCATTCGAGGTCTCTGTTGATAGAACCTTTCTGGGAACCGCTCCAGTAATCTTTATTGTTTAAGACAACTTGTAGACCCTATACTCCAAACCCTAAACCTTAAAGTAACCCTGAACCCTAAATTAACCCCAACCCGAAATCCTAAATTGACTTCAACCTTAAATTATAAGCCCAATCCCTAGATCAACTTCAACCCGACCGTAAACCCTAAACGCATTTTTGCTCTTGCTTCAGGTCCCAGCGCTTCGCGTGCCCAAGGTGTGCCGCGGGGGTCGAATCCGTCCTGGCCTGAGCGCTTTACCAGGACCCCCCCCAATGGGCCTTTTTTTAAGAGTCCTTATGGCCCTTACTTAATAATTAGCGGGTATTTGGGGTATATTGGAGGGTCATTGGTTGGGGGTGAGCGGGTCGAGGTACGGTTTTCGGTTTTGCCGGATTTAGGGTTTTAGGGTTTAGGGTTGAGGGTTTAGTGAGTTAGGGTTTAGGGCGAGTTGAGTCTAGTTTCTATAGGGCTTTGGGGTTCGGGTGAGATCGTGCACCGTGTACAAAGGTCCTGAAGGTTCGAACCGGTTGCAATGGTTTTGTATTCTTCGAGGGTGTGGGTACAAGTCCCAGATGATGGTGTTGTATAGGGTTCTTTTGCCCTTTTACGACGGTTCTACTACCCTACGGGTCCATGTACCTAAATAGTAATTACATTGGCCTTAAAGTAGTCCCTACATAGGTACATTGAGGCCAAAGTACATATATTTGGGTACATGGACCCTTGGGGTTAACGTCTTGCAATCCTGCCGCAAGAGCACTCAGGCGCTGGCCTTGCTGCGGGAGGAAGGCTTGCGAGGGTTCAGGGCTCTGTGTCCCAGACGGTTCAAGGATGTTTAGGGTTTCCGTAAGGGTCCATGTACTCAAATAGTATAGACATTGGCACCAAAGTACCTAAATAGGGATTACTTTAAGGCCAATGTAATATGATTTGGGTACATGGACCCCTAGTGTTGAGGATTATTTAGGGGTTGGGGGAGTGTAGGGTCGCTTGTGGGTTTAATGAGGGGCGGTTAGTGGTTGAGGGTCTAGGAGTCAGGGTTACGATGGAGGTGAATATTCGTAGTAGGCGGGCTTTGAGTTTCGAGTCATATGGGGCTTTTCAGTTTGAGGTAGTTGGGGTTACCATGGAGGATTTTTCGTAGTAGGGTTGCTTTGTGTTTTAAGGCTTAGGGCTTTTCAGTTTGAGGTAGGTAGTGTTACTTGATTTTTCGAAGTAGGGTTGCTTTGTGCTTTGAGGCTTAGGGCTCTTCCGTTAAGGTGCTCTCGTCTCCTGAAAGCCCTAACCCGAAGGCTCTTGACTCGAAAACCCCAACCCTGCGAAACTTAAGCCGTGAATACCAAATCCCAAGCCCCGAGGCTGTAAGCCGAGCTGGCCTTGCACCTGAAGCCCGATTGGATCAGACGACTTATGCATACAGTATATGCTTTGGCACTCCTCCATAGTCCTTTCACGCGTAGCATATACAACATATGTATATAAAGCCTATACAAACCAATTTGGGATTCCTTTAACCCGAATGACACCTCACACGATGCCTCAAACAGGAGCCCTTAAAGGAATTCCAACACATAGATGAAACGCTTTCCAGGAGCCCTTCAAGGAACCCTTCTTGAAAGTTAGGATTTAAGGAGATAGCGCATCTTTGAGGAACTCTTCAAGGAGCACCCAAAGCGAAGCCCTAAATCCAAGGAACCCGATTTAACCTTGAAATCCTAGGCCTCTCCTGGGTTTAGAATACCATACTTGAATACTTGTTTGGTACCTCTTCCTGCAAGGAACCATTATGAAATAAACGTCTATACCTTTTTTCCCCTGCTTACTTCAATTCCCAGCTCTCAAGGATTTATGGGTGGTTGTCAAAAATATGATCCCTTTTGGGTCCCTATTATAGTACGGCACCTAATATTTAGGGCACCCCCAAAAAGGGACCCTAATTTTGACAACCACCCTTATAGAGCCTAAACCCCTAAACCCCTGAACCCCTAAACCCCTAACCCCTAACCCCTAAACCCTAAACCCTAAACCCTAAACCCTAAACCCCTAACCCCTAAACCCTAAACCCCTAAACCCTAAACCCCTAAACCCTAAACCCCTAAACCCTAAACCCCTAAACCCTAAACCCTGAACCCTAAACCCTAAACCCTAAACCCCTAAACCCTAAACCCCTAAACCCTAAACCCTGAACCCTAAACCCTAAACCCTAAACCCTAAACCCCTAAACCCTAAACCCCTAAACCCTAAAGGTTTGGAAATCGAGTTGGAGTCTTCCCAAGCTTCGAGCTGGACTTCGACGGCCGTTGTGCGGAGTTCAGGAGATATTTAGGGGTTTAGGGGTTTAGGGTTTAGGGTTTGGGGGATATTTAGAACCCTAAACCCTCAATTTTAAACCCTTACAGTAGGGCTTAGGGATTAGCGTGTTTAGGGCTCGGGTTTAGGAGTCCAGGGTTGGAAGTGTTAGGGGTTTACTTATTTCTGGGGTGGTGGGAGTAGATTTTAGGGTTATTGGTGGAGGTTTAGGGCGTGTGGTGTTTATAGTTTAGGGTGTAGGATTTTTAGCTGTAGGCTGTAGGGTTTAAGCTCCTGTGTAGGGTTCACGACTTAAGGTCTCGGGGTGTCTTTTTGGGTATATAACAAAGGCTTACATAGTGGGACATACTTGAACTTTTTTTAATGGGGTTCCAGTAATAAGGCCAATGTACATACTACTACTAATTGCATTTGTGCAAGAAGCTTTAGGGTATGCTAGTGTTAGATCATTGAGTTTAGGGCACGTGTACATGCTGTTGTTTGCCCTGTTGTCCGGCTGCTCGGAAGGGGCAAACAAGCTCGACACAGAGACCCGTTCTTCCAATGCAACGTGTGCCTATGCGCTGCGGGGATGCATCACAGTAGATTCACAGTATTATTTTATAATAAGGAGTCCTAAGGGAATGATCTCTGTAAGTATCCAGGCTTTCATGCCTCACAGGGTTCAAAGACATTACCATCATGGAGTTAGGTCCCCAAAACCCTCGGGATCAAAATAGGCCAAAAGCCTTATAGAGTATGGTCTTTGGGCCCAAAAGCCTTAATATACGAGTCCTTAGATCCCTAAACCCTAAACCCTATAGATCCCTTTAAAGGACCCCTATATAGATCCCTTTAAAGGAACCCTATATGAGTCTTTAGATCCCTAGGGAAAGACCATTCTAATCATGGCCTTTGGGGGGAAGTTGGAGGCCCAGGGGCTCTGAGGGTTTAGGGGTTCAGGATTTAAGGTTCTGGATTTTTGGGGTTTAGGGGTTTAGGGTTTAGGGGTTCAGGGTTTAAGGTTTCGGGTCGGTTCTTGCTTAGGGTCTGTGTATAGGGTCATATTATACCCGTTTTAGGGTACCCCCTGTTCTATATAGCAGATCCTAACCAGAAGACTAGCTACCGTAAGAAAGGGGTCGGGTATAGCCCCTTTGAGTAGGGTTTATAGCTCTGGAGGCCTTGATCCAAAAACGCTTGGCCCTGAAGCTCTTTTTCTCCAATTGCGGCATTCTCACCACAGTACTCTACATGACGCTTTGGTTAGAGTTTAGGATTTAGGGCTGAGGGCTTAGGGCACTCTACATGCACCTTAGAGAAATTCAGCACAAGTCATCTTGAATCCGTGTGAGAGCCTTAATCCGG